CAAAAACAGGACATCGTATATAAGTGTTTACATACTTTTCTAAAGAAAATTAAATTCCGCGTCGAATGACGATAAAATCATCAAAATCGGTTCAGTCGTTCTGCTACATTGGGTCGTGAAAGTTATGTAATTTTAAAAAAACTAAAAAATGAGTAAAATCGGCCTAGGTTTTTGCTTCCCATACACTTAGCTCACTTCAGAATCCGTCACAAACTCATTTTTTTTACTTATTTAGGATCTCCAGAGCAGATTAAAACGGTGTCCAGCTTTCCCCCAATTTTTAAGAGCTACAAGTCTAATTTGCCTGGGCTACAATGCATTTTACAATATTAACTGATAAACTTTTTAAATGTAAAATATTAATGAAATTTGGTAATAACTAGTATGAAAAAAGTCTGTGTATCTCAAAAGCAATGATTTACTAGGACACATAAAAACAAAAAATAGGCCTTTTCGAAGACAAAGGGAACCACCACAGATATGTAGAGTTGACTTAAGGGTAGGATATGCATATGCAGTGTATTTTATGTACAGTACATGACTGGGGAAGGACCAAGTTTGTTTGATCATGTCAGAAAATGGATCAACCGCTAGGGGTTGCTTTGGATAAATATTTGATTCAGTTTTGCATTATCTTGCGCTTCATACAAAGCTGTATAATGCTTGCGTTACAATTGTTTACAACATTTTTATAGCTTTTAGTTCACTCAGCACAGTCTGGAAGGTGTGTTAAGGATGTTTAAATTGAAATGCTATTGAACGGGGATATAAAAAGAAAACTTAGTTCATACAATGGCTGTATGACATTAAATGTTTTCATAGAATTTGAATTAACTTTAATTTCAATTTGGAAATTGCGAAGTTATAATTTTGGATTGGAAATTTATATAACCTAATTTTTTTTAAATTAAGGGCTTGAAAATGGATGTATATTCAGATACCTTTTTAATCAATGTCCAACAAACTAAAGTACTAAAAATATATGCATTAAGACGCATTATTAGCTTAACGACTTTCCAAGGTTTATAATTGGCTTAGTCATCTATCTACACACTAGTTCTGCTTGGGTTACAAAACCACTGCAGATTACATTACTAAACTTATGTTGTAATGTATAAAAGCATAGCAACTTTCTTTGATTTTTTTTTTGCTACATGATAAATAGTTTTTACCTTTTTGTAAATCCTGGGCCCAGACCTTTCGTTTCACTCCAGTCATCCAAATCTATAAAAATAACTTTCAAAACATGAGTATTAAAACAAAACCTTGGTAAATCACACTAAATAAATCAGAAGCCCAGGATACCGGAAGGACATTTCCTGCAGGATCACCCCAGGATTAAACGCCTCCCTTTTGATGTCCTCCTAATTGTATCACAGGACAGAGTCTTGTCTTGTGGCGTGATTGGAATAAAGACATCAACCCCCCCCCCCCACTATCTATCATCCCCTCCTCCTCGCACCCCTCAGGCTTCATCGTCTCACTTGGCCTGTCTTTGCTCCAGTTCCTTAACCTGGATATGGGGTTGGATTTTTAAAGTATTTTTTGCTTATGTTATTTCAATCGTATTTTTTTCAGAATTGGGTACTTTTTAAAACTAGGATCTAGCTGGAATTGTTTTCCACTTTACTGAGGCTAGGTCTTGAGGTTGTGGTGGTACTCAATGGTATTACTTAAATAAAACCCATTAGTGATTTCATTTTTATGCTAGATATCTCAAATGTGTAAGCAGTTTAAGCACATTGTAGACATGTAGCACATACATCCACTACATCTCTTGAGATGTAATCATTATCCAACCGTATACAAGGAAGAATACTGTCCCTGAACTTTAACTCAAAAGAGGGCAACAGGTAACTGTGTACCAGCCGGTATGTAACTTATTACACGTCATAAGTTGTCAAAACTTATGGTAGAATATTATTAGAATGTAGGTGAATATGCACCTCTATGGTATGAATACCATTACAAGAGGCATTTCCCACATTTCTCATTCAAATCAAAAACATTTTAAAAATCAGTCAAATAAACTGAGAAAGTAACAGAATATACAACACCGAGAGGTACTGCCTAATCGCCCATTTTTATGATGCTAAAAGAATTAAATTTGATATACGTACATTTAAATTTAAATGCAGCAAATCATCTTAAATATACATATTTTTTTACCAATAATCCAGAGAAAATGTTTGTTTATTGATGAAATCAAGTTAAGTTTGAACACTTCTATATAAATAGCTTTTTCAAACTCCCCTCAGAGCAGGAAAACGAATGAAGCTTCAAAGTTGACCTGAAGTTGAGATAACTGCTCTATTCTTCCTACAAAAGTTGGCAAACTTAATAATCCACACTCGATGTAACATTTTCCTCTATTGAAAATAACAACCTTACTTGTTGTAAATTGTTCTTGTGAAGAGGAAAATATTATCTAGTACTAGCCAAGGGGTGCAACTTAGTTATTTTTATCAATAGTGGATATGCCACTGTTTTCTAAAGTAGATACCACCAGTGTCTTTCTGTGTCACAATCTCGATGCAAATGTGTAATATAGGTTTGTGGTAAAGCAACTAGTTAGTTATACAGTTTTTAAAATCACCAATCATGGTTGTAAATACTAAATAGATTTTCTTCTTTTTTTTACAACACAATAAAAATGTGGGTTTTAAACATTTATTTATGTCTATACATGTTTTAGAAGAGGTAAACTCCTTTTAGGCTTAAGACAATTTCTTAGTTCATAAGAGATATTATTTTGAATAAATTTTCTTCTCTATTTCTTCTATTTTCTTCTATCTTCTTATTTTGATTGATTGAGCTTTGCTTACGGTGTAAGGTTTAATTCATTCTATTCATTCTTTTAGTAGTTTTTCTAATTGTGATTATAATATAAATTTTGAAACTCTTAGTAATACATTGATTAAATTATAAACCACCTGAACTAAATTTATTCACTGGAAAACTGTAAAATGTAACATTTAAAATTCAGTTATAGAAATGCTCTTTTTGGCTTTGTTTATTTATGTTTAAAAACTATTTTTAAAAGTAACATATTGTGGTAGTAGTACATCAGGCTAGCTAGGGGCTGAGGAGCCAACCTGTTTACTGCCTACAAGACAGATCGCACCACCAGCACATTGAGCCAATCCTAACATTAACTTTTCTCCTATCTTCCCTCCCCCTCCCTCCACTAAACACTGACTCTCCCTTAACTTGATTACCCATTAAATGATGGTACTTAACTTTCCAACTGAAAATGTCTTTATCAGAACATTTCCTGTATCTTGGACAATGGACACATTACGATAGTTGGATTGGTAGATGGTCTATTTTTATTATCAACGTTGATGACAAAACAGGATATCACCTAACTCCTAACTAATTTATTAGTGGCAGTGGTTGGGGGAGGAGCAGTTACCCCTGCACTTTTAGAGGCTTATATTCATAAATTAATGTAATGTTTATTTATAATGTTGGCACCATACCTTCAGGTTATATTATTTTAACCTTACTTTTCATCCCTCTACTTATATTGGTCAATCATGGTCAGAGGTATCTACAGCTGTTTTTTTTTACCCCTATCAACTATATGGTATAAAATATATCACGGATTTTGAAGTCCTTATGTGACGCAGGTTGCTAGTTCATATTAAAAAGGAATTAAATAATGTTGACAGCTGTTTCAACGAGACAAGTTGGTTCTATGATATTCAATAGCATTAAAAAGTTATAAGGTCTGTTGGTAAACCTTATAACTTTTTAATGCTATTGAATATCATAGAACCTACTTTTCGTTGAAACAGCTGTCAAAATTATTTAATTCCTTTTTGTTCAATAGACTATAGATGATACAAAATACTAGAATTATATCGGCCAGAGACCATCCTCTTGGATCATAAAAATAAGATATTATCATTATACATCGCGTCACGCACAGTTTAAAAAATCATGTTACGATAAAAAATTCGACAGCGATTAAATTACAATTAAAACTAAATTAAAACCATTTTGTTTAATCTCCAACTAAAAAATCTTACAACATAAAGTCTTGAAACTGAAAATGCCGCGACTCTTCAGCTTCTCCAAGTAGTATAGTTCTTTCATAGCTGTATCAGCTCTTCTAATACAGGTGAAGACACTTTTCCAACAGAACAACACATTCCAGCAGTCTTATCTTTCCATTTTAATGCTCTGCAGTGAATAGTATAGTGTATAGAAAAGTGTCTTTACCTGTATTAGAAGAGCCGATACAGCTGTGAAAGAACTGTACTTGTAGAAGCTAAAGAGTCAGGTAATTTTCAGTTTCAAGAATTTATGTTGCAAGATTTTTGAGTCGGAGATTAAACAAAATGGTTTTAATTTAGTTTTTAATTGAAATTTAATCGCTGTAGGATTTTTAACTCGTAATGTATAATGATAATATCTTATTTTTATGGTAATGTATAATGATAATATCTTATTTTTATGGTAATGTATAATGATAATATCTTATTTTTATGATCGTTGGCGAAGCCACAACAGATAATTATTGTAATGATTGCAATACTCTGTTTATTGCTTATATGCTATATAATATTATGGTTATACCATCGCAGGCAAAGTCGCGGGTACGAGCTAGTAGGATAATATAGCCTAGTTCATTCAAAAATTCCTTGCAATAAACCAATCAATAAAAGATTTGTAGAAGGGTTATTAGCTTTTGTTACTGTAAATGGATTTTATGAATACTTACTCATAAAATCTTGAAAACACTTTAAAAATAATTATAATAATGGGGAAAAAAGTAACTACGGCATCTGGGCAACATTAACTCAATTGGAAGTACAGGTTTTGGCTTTAAAGTCCGAGCCAAGTATTATTAATTATAGAAATCCATGGATAAAAACATTTCTATTACCAAATTCATAGCATACCGTGTGGGGTATGCTATGCAGTTTTGGATTTTTAATCAACGTTTTTCAGAAAAAAACATTCCTGGAAAATATTAAAACAAAAATTGGTAAACTCTTTTTATTAATAAAAAACTCTCATGAGTATTCTGGCATATAAGCTTCTTCTTTCTCAAATGTAGGGAATGGTCTGGTCTTGAGCTCGCTGGCCATGTTCATGGTAGTGCCAAGGGGGCAGTGAAAAGCGAGCGCAAACTGCTCAGAGTTGGCAGCCATGTTGAATACTCTGAACAGAAATGTTCAATAATCAGGTTAGTTAAAAAAATTAGACGAATCAAGGTAACACATTACGGTAATAATTTTCAGCATAGATTAAATTTACTACAATGCCAACACCACAGAGTGTGTTGTTTAATGTGAATACGAAAGAAGTTTGAATGAGACGTACACAGTTTTGCAGATAAAATTACCCATGTAGCAAAAAAAATAAATTGAAAACTAGTAGGCCTATAAGTGTTTAAATACAATTTTAAAACATGTTGACATAATTTTTTTATCAGAACAACTTTAATATGAGTTTCAATGAAGTTAAAAACTGTTTTATTACAAGATATGAAACAAATATTTAAAAAAGTTCATGTTTTAAAATTGTTTATAAACAATTTTAATACAAGCCATACAAAATTGTATTGATATAAGTTTTAATATCGATTTGAACCGTTTAGAAATAATTTTAAAAACATTTTTAATACATTAATTGTAAAAATTCATATTAAAATTGCTTGGAAATCTGTTTTAACAGTTTTTAAACTATTTTTAAATCAAGTTCAATACAAGTATTCAAACTTATTTTAAAGATGTTTAAAAATCAGTTTGAACAGTTTTAAAATCCTTTAAATGGGATTTTAGTCCAAGTTTAAAAACTGATATTAAAATTATTGTTATATCAGTTTGGATTTGGTCTGAAAAAATTTTAATACAAGTAAATTGTATTATTGTAAGTTTTAATACAAGTTTGAACAATATTAAACCCATTTTCAACGAGACTTTAAGGTAAGTTTAACAACTAACTTGTATTATTTTCGTTTGAAAATCTGTTTTAAATAGTTTTGAAATATTGTTAATACATTCAATCGAAATTAAATTGATACAAGTTTTAAAACAATTTTAAAACCATTTTCAAAACCATTGCCCTTAATGTTCTCAAATGAATTTAAAATTGTATCCAAACATAAATCATGCGAAACGAGTGAACAAAATTAAGCTAATATAAGTTTTTATACAAGTTTGACTAATTTTGAAACTATTAAAAAAATTGAACTTTTTCATAAAAATTTAGCCTAAGTTTAAAAGTTTAGATTTTTTTAACAATATTAAACAGGAAAATTTAAATTGTATTAATATAAGTTTTAATACAAGTTTGAGCAATATTAAACCCATGTTCAACGAGATTTTATAGTGAGTTTAACAACTAGTATTATTTTTGTTCTAAATTTATTTTTAAAAAGCCCAATAATCAAGGACTACTTGGTACAATATAAAAAAATCAAATAAAAATGTATTCAAACCTTTTTTCAAAATCTTAAGGTAGAATATATACATTTTTGTGGTCTTGTGTCTTGATTTGATTGACTATTTTACATGAGTTTTGTCACATATTTCCTTATTCTTGAGACATGTGGTTTTTTAAATATGCAGAATCAATTATCTTACATATTACAAATTATAATAAACATGACCTTAGAGTCAGTTGGTATTGATAGGTAGAGAGAGATGGATAAGGTATACATAGCCTCTTCTATAACAAGGCCGCAAGACAAAAGTGGCAACACTGCTTTCCGGGCAAACCAAAACAGCTGTTGCACTAATTTATAAAGGAGCATATGTGTGCAGTGTTTATTTTTCACATTTGTTATTACTGTTATTACAATGGTAACAGCACGTAACAGGCATCTTGATGCTGCCACACACCAACACCGTGACCTTTTATTAGAGGAGGCTTCGGTATCTGCATCCCCCATCTAAATTGTATTCTTATACTAAGCTGTTTTTGTATTTCTTTTAATGCATTCCAATAAGCAATAGTTTACCTGTCAAAGGGCAAAAGTGAAGTTCCTTCGTACAATGAGGTGAACATCTGTGGCATTCTCTTCTTGGAACAGAAACTCTAGAAATAACAAAAACTTGCTTAAACCATAAACCGTAAAAACTGGTTCAATATCAAATCATTATACTAGACAATAATTGTAATGAAATCCAAAATATTTACAGGTCTTTTAACCACACTTTTTTTTACCGCACCAGTCATGCTACCAGAGAGTTATGATAAATATCCAGCTTGATAGCTTAATCTGAGGAGGGTTTGAAACTCCTACCTGAGCCAGGGCAAGGAAGTAGACCTGTGATGAAGAGAAGGGAGTCCAGGGAAGAACAGTGTCTGCAGTGCCCAATATTGCTGAGAGTGAGAGATTGGCCGCAGTGATGTCAGACAGACGTTCATTGAGAGTCAAATCGGGGTCTAGCTGGGGACATTAAAAAGTTTCTGTCATTTTAGATAACAAAATATTTGTGCTTCTTGATCTTTTTTGCAAGGTCAGTTGACTAAAAATTTTCAAATTGATTATCATTTTTTGAGTGATCTAACTAGAAAACCTTTGAGGTAATACATTTGATGATTGGTTCTTCAAGGACCAAGGATAGTTAATTATCTTGTAGGGGATTCATTAATAATAGACGAGTATGATTCAAACTGTATTTACCAGGTAGGAGAACACTTTTCCATCTTCTCTGTGTGATTTAGTCCAGCTGAACTGCATGTTGCTATTCTCTACGACTGTCTCGTATGTTGGGTTCGTAGCTTCAGACAGCATCATTCCAATCTTCCCTCCTGCCACAAACTTCACTCCTTTCGAAAGATAAAATGGCGATAAGAATTAATCGTTTGTTTATTGAAAGTGTCTAGCGAGGAATAAATGGCTTACAAAAATATACTTCTAAAGGATTACTTAAGGTCTGAATTAGGTGGTCTGATTAAAGTAAATTTGAAACCCCGCGTGTCCTATAACATATTCAGGTGTAGCCTTACTTGGCATGTTTGATTATACAGTAGTACTATAATTTGTTAAAAACTAAGCAATTTAAGCTTATTGTGGTAGACTAGACTTGTTAGCAGGCTTACACAGCGGATAAAATATACTTATGAAAAGATTGAAAACCCAAAACTCACATAAACGTAACGTAGTGCAAAGTAAAAACAAAACAAAAAACATAGTACTTAACTTAGTACTTACTTACCTAACATAGTACAAAAGTACTATGTTTTTTGTTTTGTTTTTACTATGCATAGAAGTAAATGGTTGACATTTAGACTTGGATTTTGTATTCAGAGGAGGGTGTTGTACTAACCTGTGTGGTCAAAGTTATGGCCAATCCCCCTGGCCAGAATGTTGCCCAGTGTTGCCATAACAACATGCTTAGGCATCTGAGGATCATAGACTGGCCAGATCACTGACAAGGGAATCACTGGAATCAACAGGTGTTACATTTTCATATCTATCATCCATCCATATATAAATCCAAAGTACCCATGAACTTTTGAGAAAACTACAAGTCACACTCCCATAAACCATATACTTAAAATTTTCGTCATGACGAGAATCCTTGCGCAAAACTATCCATTAAAATATTATAAATTGTCCTTTGAGGTCGGATTCCTTTCTAAAGGGAACTTTCCATATGCCCAATGTTAAAAATACCTCAGCTGTATGTTATTCTTTCAATTTATTACCTTATTGAAATCAGGTGTGATTATTGTTTGTATTACTGTATTCTGTTTTGTTTATTTCAGCTTATCTTAACCAATGAAGTCAAACGGGTTAAGCCCATGGGTAACACCTAGTTACATATAAGTTAGATTACCACTAAGTAAGATTTGGAAATTTTAGAGGACAAAAACGGAGTATTTATGACAAGTTTTTATAATTCATCACTAAAACTATACAAATACTTCATTACTGGATTTTTTAGTTGATGGCTTCTTTCAACTCCACATTTTAGCCCTGCATTGGTGTTCAATGGATCACCAAGGCCTGTTCATGGAATATGTCAAACTAAAGAAGAAGTAGAATGAACTGTAGTGATAATTTTTATGTGGCGGCACTGTGAGGCCAACCCAAGACATTACTGCGGTGGATTCAGTCAGTAGTGCTACTTATTGAGCCATTAACAACTGAGTTGTTAATTATGAGGTGACTTTTTAACATAACTAAGATTCATTTGGATCAGTAATAAAGTAACCGAGTCTTTTGATAAGAAGTCATCTGTATACAATAAGATAAAGGATAAATATAAAGTTAAGTTACATATAGTCGCATATAGATATTAAGGCTATCCAGAAAGTATAGAGCGTTTCGTTCAGACAACGCTAGGGGCGTGCCGATCTCGTACATTTTGGTGCATGCGCACTCGGCAACTCAGTCGGCGTCCAGCGGTCCAGCCGTGACAACGGGAGCAGTTTCGCACTGCCCGTTTTTTTCACAATTAAACTTCAGATGAGCCCTGCGATTAAAAATCCCACCAGTTAAGAGGTGCGGTCAGTGATGCGTTTGTTTGTTTTTTTTAACTTAAAACCTTAATTTTAAAACTTTGTTTGAAATTGTCACACAACAAATTGAAAGCTCTGTTATCGGGAATCTCGCAAACCTTTTCATCAACTTTAGCGACCAGTTCCATCAGTCACAATGCTTGGGCGTCCGCCCTTCGCTTCGTCATGACTCATGAGCATCAGATCGGTAATTTTGAATCTGAATGCATAATTTTTTCAGAACTTGTATTCATTACGTTGTATCCTTAAACTTCACACACTTGGCGATAAATGTCTATCGGTTTTAAGTTTTTTGCCAACAAAAACCGTATCACTGACGAACCTCTTAACTGGCGGGATTTTTAACTGCAGCGCTCATCTTAAGTTGAAATTGTGAAAAAACGGGCAGCGCGAGAATGCTCCCGTTTTCACTGCTGGACGCCAACTGCGAGACACGCACCAAAATGTACAAGATCAGCACGCGCCTAGCGGCGTCAGAACAAAACGTTCTTTACTTTCTGGATAGCCCTCATACATATATAAACTACAGAATAGTAATACCTTTTTTAGTGACTAGGCTATGTTAAAATATTATAACACTTACTAAACGTGTTCAATCCATATACAAAGGCAGTTTGTGTAGAAAATGCAGTCAGGAAATGTGGCCACCTGAAAAAATTGTTGTGAATAAATTATCAAATTCTGTAAGTTATTGGGGCAAAAAAACCCTGTTACATTTTCATTGACAGGCCAGCAGAATAATTTAGCACACATTATTTACTCTTGGTAATTTTACATGGTAAAAACATTGAACTCACATAGCATGGTCGGAATGAGGGTCCAAGGTGTATCGGGAGTACAGTTGTACCTGAAGATGCTTCAACATACAGACAGAGTCCTCTAGGTAGTTGCCTGCCAGGGTACACTGTACAGAACAGATGATTTTTGTTTAATCCTTAAAAAGCAAATAGCCTAATCTTAGCAACTTTATCAATTGAATCTCCATTATGTTTTAGAAGATACCTAAGGTTAACAATCGATATAAATAACCTAACTAGATGACGTCTTAAGAGTTCTACAGCTCTGAAAAAAAACCACCCACCCCCCCACCGATGAAGGTGCTCAACAGTAGATCCTACGTCTCTATAATGTCAAAAAGTTTAACAAGACTATTTTGTGTTTCCATTAGTACATTCATTGGGATGACAATGTATGGAACTATTAGATATGTCATTATAAACTTAGTTTAACATTCTTTGTAGTAAAACAATATCAAAAATCATTGATGACTTCTTTGCATTCACAGTATACTTGCACAAATAAAATAATTACACAATGATTCCTTGATAAAACAACAAAACTAACAGATAAAACCCCGAAATTGTGAGAGCCTTTCGGAATAGCCTATTGAAATTTTACACACTGCACTGTCTTTTGTCTCTTCATCTGACTACAGTTATTGGGAAACCGCCTTGTAATACATATTGATTAGCAGACAATTAAGTTTCAATTAAGAAGGTACAAATGTTTACCTCTCCTAGACTTGAGTCCAAAATAGAATTGTTAAACCTCCTAGGCAACTGAATAGACATAAACTTTAGTTTCTTGGAGATTTCATTGGATGTTTTCTCATCTAGCCAGGTAGCTGTGGATATTTTCTCCTCCATCGCTGCCTCCAGATGTTGATATGTGAGGACGACCTTGAAAATAATTATAACAAAATTAATAAGGGTTCATTTTTTTAAGTTTTAACTGTTAAAGAAAAATATGCATTACAACTCAAAATTCTCTACCGAATTTCTCTACTTTAATTATTTAAAAAATGTATATTTGTACAATTTATGCTTTTGATTATAACCAGAAAGTGTTTCCCAATACAGAGAAAGTTGTTGCTAGAGAGACCTACCTATCTTGACCGACGGTTTAAGGGCTCTGATCCCCCTAGTCACTTAATAACTGAGGAGATTTGTGATTGGTGATATTCAAACCTGTCTACAGAACAGCAGTCTTACACTTTGTGTATGAATGATTAGACGATGAGAATTCAACCAATGTTATCCAAAGATTTTGATTATTCATGTGAGGAACATGGTGTTCAGCTTTTTCACTGCTCTGGTGTAAAATTGAGTATTGTTCATAGTTAGTTGGCATATTTGTTTCTATTTGCAATTACAGTATCTTAATAAGTATTGGTGTCATCCTTTCATATGCTTGTGTAACTGTATCTGACCTTTGATGGAATACCTGATCTTTTGGTGCTTTTCATCTTTCATTAATTGGTTTAACTGTCTCCCAATGTTGTTGAATAGAATACCAAATCTGTAGGGGATTTTATTTTCATAAGATGGCGTCTCCCACCCACGTTGGAATTCCTGATCTTTTAGGGCTTGTAGCTCATTACTTGGTATATTTTTCTCTAACCTTGTTCAAATTTATTGTTCTCCGGGTAATTTTATAAACGATGGTATACCTGTTTTCTCAACTCCCGGTCCACCTGGGTTGGGAAGCTCTCCAGATACAGGTTGGATGTGATGACCGGCATCAGAGCTGCAGTGACCTCCAGACAGTAACTCTCTCTGTCACATGGCTTGTGAGTCAGCACCAGGTCTACGTAGAGGTCATGAGCGAAAATGGCCAGTAGGGAGTTGTGTACGCTTCTGTAAGCAGGAATAAGAGTGAACTATTTGAACTTTTAATTGAATGAGTATATAGGTAAGTCCTGTATTGTCTTGTTACTTGTACATGAATGGAAAAATATTTTGGAATTTATATACATTCCAGAGTCCCGCTATTCTGAACTAATCGGGACTGAACCCTGTTCGGATAATCAGGAATTCAGAATAAGCTAATTGATCATATCAATCACTGATGATGATGTTTACAGTTTTGCGCCAACCGCGGAGAATGTTTATAATTTTGTTGTAACCGCAAAACACGTTCAAGATTTTGCCATAACATCGGAGGATTTTTACTATTTTGCCGTGAATGCACCGAGCTTATATTTTCATCAATGCAGAAAGTGTATGCGAAGATGCGTGATCGAACATTTTGTCCCGATTGTGTGTGGATGTTCACAATCATGTGAACATCCACATGCAAATAACAACAACACAACAACAACAAATAGCACAGAATAGAAATAATAACATTTGTCACAACCACAGGAGATGATGATGTCTCTGGGACAACGGAAAAGATGTTTTCTTTTCTGCCATGACTGTGTAAAATACTATTAATTTCATGTTGTTAGTTGCTTAAATAAAGATTGAAAAAATATGAAACTGTAACAATAATATGTAGCCGTTCTAACGTTAAAACTAGAAATTTTTGCACTTAAATTTACACATGATAACTTCATTTTTATTTTTTTTTTCAGAGAAACCACAGTATTGATAAAGGAAAAAGTACCACTATGTATTATAGTCGTTAAAATATCAAGAGAAAATATAAACATTCTTGTTTACATCTTTCGTCTATACATGTGTGTATATAATATTGCTACAAGACAACATTCTAAAGGCCAATTTATCTTGCTTGATACCTTGCTTACCTCACACTTTTTGTTTGAAGCTGATTGAAGAATTTCTTAAGATAGTCTATGAAGTAGACCTGAACATTGGATGCATCAGAAATGTCTACATTGAGCAGACTGGAAAATAAGTAGCTCCAAGCAATCTGTAAAATGTGTACGATTGGTTAAACGTGGGAATGATACTTTTTACAGTAAGTTGATCCATTGTTCTTTTTAGTTATCACTCTCTAAACATTTTATATTTAAGTGTCAGGTAAATTTAACTATTTTTTATACAATTCTTCTAACAGCAATTAAGTTTCACTTTAGCTCATGAACTTAATTGTGTGAGAAAAAATAGTTACCATACTCTCTTCCCATTTAAAATTTGTACGGTAATGATATTCTATAGTGGTCACAAATTTCTAAATTAAAAACAACAAAAAAACAAAACATTGTAAAATAGCAAGAGCATGTATTTTCAATTTTTACAATGGTTTCAAATAGCCTTTTATTAAAAAAATCTATGTATCAAAGAAAATATAAGAATTACTGAATAGATGTAATACCATTGGTAGCTCTGACTCCAGTCGTATTTTTGGAGTAAGTTTGTAAGTCTTTGATTGAGTTTCCTTGCTGACAACATCAGGGGATGGATATTCCTGGAACAATTAATATCCATTTGATGTTTAATTTATTTGTTTCTTTCATAACAAATGTCACTTTTATGTTCAAACATGTAATGCTTTAAGAGGTCCACTTAAGTGATTAACACATGATAAACCAAATGTAGCTAAACTTATTGCAACAAGATAAATACTAGGAAAACATATCTCATTACAACTTATGGAGGTTTAGTATTCTTAATTCAGTTGTAATGTATATCCCAGGTTATGAATATGTTTAAAAAAATCAAAGATTTTCGACAAAACATAAACAAATCTTTGTCTTATAAAACAAAATTTGTAAAACAAAAAAGTAAGTGCAAAATAAGTATATTTAATATACTTATTCTGCACTTACTGATCACAATCAACATAGGATACACACCCCAGTGATCAACTTTTATTATTACAGTATTTATAATCTAGATTATAAAATAAAGCACAAACCCTGAGAAGCTCTAAAATGTCAAACTCCATTGATATCCGTATCTCCTGGATAAGCTGTGAGGCGTTATATGGTGGTAAATAGTCAAACACTCCAAAGAACTCAAGTGCTTTCTGAGTGGTGTCAATAAAATCTGAAAAATTCCCCTGCAACAGAAAATGAAAATAAATTAGAGATCATATTCCTTAATGGTATTCAAACTCAAACAGAGATAGACTTATAGCTTTACTTATGTTTTGCATTGGTGTACGAGTTGAAAGTTTCTAATCTGCTACAAAGAAAATTATTATTACCAAATACCAATGATTATGTATTTTACATATGCTATAATCAATTATCAATTATTAAGATGGGGACGCCATAAATTATTGTAGAATAAATAGCCACATAATGAAGCCAAGTTTCCACCAGAATTTACAGCAAAATGTAGTTGATTTAAGACACTGACAGCATGAGCTGATGTAGATTACCTAATGCTTTTCAATATATTAACTTTTTACTAAGCTTACCTGATGAGTGAAAAGACACTTGTCGACTATAGCATATTATATGTGACATCAATCATCCCAGTATTAAAACTAGGAGAGAAAATCTAAATTTGATAGTAGCACATTCTGTGAATCATTTATTCAACTATGTTTTATTCAAATGCAAATTTACCATTAAAAAAAAGATTTTTACAAACGTTTTATAACTGCATTTTGTAATTTGGTTTTGTGACTGGCAATGTTTTTGAGATGTTCAGCCATTACCTTAGACTGTGATACATTACCATACAGTGCTTGTATTCCTCGTACGCTGTGACGAGCTCAGCCGGTACAGACGTCACCTTGCAGCGCTCCGTTCTGTCGTAGAAGTGGGAGTTCAGCCAGTCCGGCACTGTCACTACCAGCTGGAACTGGGACGAGTTGGAAGAATCCACATCCAGACGAAGGTCAAATAGAGGTCGGCTGTGTTATACAAAATATAGGATATACTAAATATAATTTATTTATTACTGTAGTACAGTATATTGAGACTCAACTCTTATCTGGACTCATATCCTAGGAAAGTTTGAAACAGAACTTGTTAAAAGACACTTTTATTCTGTAACATTTCTTTTATAGTGATATTTCTTCCTATAAAATTAAATAAACTTACCTTGGACTTGAAAATTAAATCAAATTACAAATCCTGTCTTTCCATAAATTTCCATAGTAAAAAAAAAAATTTGGTTAAACTGAGCTATTTTCACTCAAACTACCTGCCATGTTGAAACAATCTGATGAGTAGTTCCGTAAAATCATTTTCTGGAGTACTTGAAGAGTCTGCAAATTTGGCAACATCATCCAGCACTCTGCGTCCTACAAACATACAATTTTCTGTCAGTAAATATTTCATAAGGAATTTGTAGTACCAATTAAACACAAAAAATCCACCTATATAAGATATATAAGCTAGCTCATCAATTAATACCTAAATCTAAAATACCATCTCTAAATTTGAGATAGTATACAAAATGTTTTCTTTCTTTTTTTTAACAAACATTTTCTTTTTTAATTCTTTATAAATTATATATATTTTTATTTTTGCTAAACCATCTGACATAGAGTGGTAAACACTTCTATTTGTTTTGTTTGTTCCTGAAGAAGGCTAATGCTAATGAAATATAGAACGTTTTTTGTTAAAAGTGTGTGAATAGTTGATTTTTTATAACAACCTATATAAGAGTAAGTTTATAAAACAAAACACATCTTTAACTATGTTAAACACTGATAAACCTTCACCTTGTTTCTTCCTCTCCTCCATTGTTACAGTTTTATCATAGTTGACACACCCATTGTAGAAATTCTTCAGTTTTTGGTGAGCATTGGGACTGGTGGTAGATATGTTTTTTACACCCTCTGAAATCAGATTAAAAATTAAAACACTGTGAGGCACCATTATCTATTTTTATCTAGTTTTCTAGGTAGTTCAAAGTTATTAAGCTGAATATAATGGTCGGATTTGTAAAAATATTGCTTGTCTTAATATGTTATAACAAAAGGGTAACATAAAACTCATAAAATCTACTCTAAAATAATAATGAAACATTTAATCTACGTCAGCAAACTGAATGATTGTGGACAAACTTTAATAACAAAATTAAAACAGGCTTCAGAATTTAAAATAGGATGAAAAGGTCTACTTGGAATATTCAAAGTTTAATGTTATAATCTTCAATAATCATTGAATTAATTATTTCCAACAACTTGACCCCAGAAGTGTGACTTGAAAATTAATTGAGGATGTGACTTTAATAAGAACCAGGGTTTGAATAGAATCATTGGAAAATTGTTAAAATGAGGAGCTAAAAGGTCCAGAGTACCTGAATCTATTAGACCTTGGAGAATTTTAATACAGCAGTAACAGTATATTTCAAACGATTTCTCTTTTGAGAGAAAAATATAAGGTGCTAAGCCATAGAGATCCTGCTTCACTTGTGATATTCTAAGTGGTGATAAAAGAAACACAATAAAGAGTCTCAATCATCCAATGTTCGGTTGTCCAACCTTCCATAGTCCTATGCAGGTAGAGGTATGTTGAGATAATCCCTTTTCCAAACTATACTGTAAAAAATAAAATTTTCCATTACAGTGAAAGTTTTCAAACTTACTGGCAATCCTAGCCCAAACATCGGCCTGCAGGTCAGTCTCCAGTAATGTTGGATTGTTGAACACTCCTCCACAAGCGTAAGAGTAAAAGTCCTCACAGGGGTCTACGGTCACATTGACTAGAGATAGCATCCTGGAGGCAGTCACGTAGCACTGGTTTGTCTTGCACACAGGAACCTCTGTTGAAGATTTAGTCAGATTTATGTAAATTTTGATTATATTTCATTTGCTAAAATACCTTCATTCAGAGTTAAATTTGTATATATTATAATTATACAACGCTGACACATTACTATGCATATTCTAAGGAAGAGCATTCTCCTCTCAGCTATAATAAAGCTCATCTCAGAAGGACATAAAGGTTAAAATATGTTGAAGAAAACGAAAGAAAACGATAGAGAAAACCAGATAAAATCCCTGGTTTTCTACTGGGGAAAAAATTATCATTGTAAATTAATTTTAACCAATTGTATGTACAGTAGTGGTGATGGTAATTATCCATATTTTTATTTGCTTTTTACCTTTTTCCTCATAGTTTTTTTTTTTTTTTACCCTACAGGCACACAATTTTTATTTTTAAAACTAAGGAGTTATAGTTTTAACTTAAAGATACTGTATGTTTGCTTTAATAATGTGTCACCTACTTTAAAGATGTGCTATATTTTGGTCATTAAATTGGTCTGTATGTTGTATATTTTTATGGTTCATGCAAGAAAAAATAAAATTGAATATTCCACACATATAAAATCAATATTTGCGATTATTAAATTGAGAAACCAAATCCTTATATATAATACAACTAGACATTCCATCCCCATGTTAAAGTTGTAGCCAGGTTTTTAATAAAATTTGTCTTAGTTGATGTGAGCCACCTACAGATTGCGCTGATCTAAATTACTGATTTCTGCCAATTACACGATGGTTTTTACCAAGTCAAACCGATGGAATGACTTATTATGAGCTATAGCAACTGTTGTGACCCACCAAATATGTCAGTAACAAAAAATAAGGTACAAAATAGAGTTTAGACACTAGCGCAATCTGTGACTGGCTCACACAACTACATTCTTTTTTAGTAAAAAGTTGGTGACAGCTGATCCGTATAGATGGAATGTCTTCTTCAATACGTGAAGGCGATTTCTATAAAACACTACTCCTCCGTTAATAATGTACGGAATTTTACAAACGAAGTGTCAAAATTAAAAATTTTTTTGTAGACGCCCCCTTCACCAATTCTTGTAATAAAAGTCCGCGGGCTTTGCCCCACAGGCCATAAAAATCCCAATGTATTTCTTGTAATGAAAAGATTTTGTTTACTTAAAGACAAATAAAAATGTGTATTAATTGCAATTAAACTAAAACATATGTTCATAGTAAACACATGATACACACAAGAGCGTTTGTTTTCAGAGTGAGTTCGTTTTCAGTTTCGATAACTGGAGTGAAGTGATTAATTACATTATCTTTGAGTTGACTGTTTTAAGTCATCGGAAATTATGACTGTTATTCGTTTTGAGATAATGCCTGTTTGCAATTGCTGGAATTCGAGCAACAGGTGCACCAGTTATTTCTAATTACAGTATGACAAATGAAACTGATTTGTAATACCTGGTTTGGCAGTTGTTGAAGGTATAGTAGTTGAGGTGATTGTCGGACAAGTAACCAAAGGACACGCAGGGCAGGACGTCTCAGGACATGTTACAACAGAACAGGTTATCGGTGGAACAGTTACTATCGGAGTGGTCGAAGTCCTCTCAGTTGTAGGCCTACTACTTATAGTTGTTGCTGGAGCTGATTCTTCAGTAGTTGGGACACCAGTAGGTTTTTCAAAATTTGTAGTTCCAACTTCTGAAGTTTTAGTGTAATCTTCATCTGAAGTAGTGTCTGCTTCGGTCAAATCTGAACCAACTGTTGTCTCAAGTTCTTCTGCTGTAGAAGCCAATGTTGTAATCTCTTCCAGCTTCATACTTACAAGCATTTTTGAAGTGGAAATTTCTTGTGTTGAAAAGTCTAAACTTGATTCTGTGCTGGGAAGAGCACTAGATTCTACTGAAAGAGAAGATGGATCCTCATTTGACGTAGTAGACATTAAAGTTTCAATAGATATTCTAGTTTCTGAAGTTTGGGTAAACTGTGAGGTTGAATTTTCTAGATTTTCACTTGAAGATGCTTCAGTTTTATCGTATTTATCAGATAGTGATGTTGGGGTTGTATCACTCTCATCTATTTTTGTTGCAGGGTTTTTATCTAGTGTTTCTTCAATACCAGCTGTACTGAACACGGATGATGAGTTATCTTGGACTTTTATAAAATGTTTATTTTCTTCTGTTTCTGTTGAAGGGGTTGTAGTATGTGGCACATCAGGAGTTGACGGAAGAGTTGTTTTAATATCATTTCTGATGATCTTCCCAAGCCAAGAAGAGTCTGATGGTGGTCGATGATGTCGTACCTTAAAATATTAAACTTGTACCGGTAATGAACCAATAATTGTTAAATATATAATGCAATGGTTGCAGCATCAATTGGTACATTATTACAGTCTTTATTCCAGTTGGGGTTTTGGTTTTGAATACTACTTGTATCATTTTCATAAGTTTTCAAACCAGTTGCGGATCCAGAGGGGGGGCGAGGTGGGGACCGCCCCCCCCCCCTTGGTCATAGGCCCTATATATATATATATTTTTTTTTACTGCATGTAATACAGTAGTGCATACACATTGTGTAAAATAATTTGTCACACTAACTTTGGACAAAGAAATTGTATAAAACTGCCATTTTGGAGACTTAGTTTACACAAATTTTTCAGGGGGGTACCCCCGAACACCCCCCCCCCCCCAGTGACTGTTCTAGATCCACCACTGTTTCAAACACGTTATCTTTTATTAAAGAAACCAATTAATATTTTTTTCATTCAACCCCAGATGGACTGAAACAATCACTTACATTGGTAACGTAAACTCTATGAAGTGTTTTGTATTTGAAAGTGATCTAAACATTTCAATCTTAACTGGCTGTAAAAAGGTGTTTGAATTTAAAAGATACATGGAGTAGTTGGACATCACAGGGTTTAAAAAAAGAAAAGTTTCAAGATTTAAAAATACAGTAGCCTACTTCATATATGAAAAAATGAATATGTATGGAAAACCAATTGTGAGTGCAATATTAAAATCTGAATTTAAGGTAATTCTGGTTAGAAACATAATTATTAAAATACCCCAGCCGCAGCAAACCTGACGCCTAAGCGAATTTCCATTTGGCTGAATTGATTTTAAATTGATCTATTTAAATAACATTAGGTTTAACGAGTACCTAGGTTTGCTGCTACAAGGAAACTAATAAAGTGTGTGTTTTAAGTAAAATAATTATTGCTTAGTATAATACCCCCGCCGCAGCAAACCTGCCGACTAAGCGAATTTCCATGTGTCTTAATTGATTTTCAATTAAATATATTTTAATAACATTAAGTTTAACGAGTACCTAGGTTTGCTGCTACAAGGAAACTAATAAAGTGTGTTTTTTTGTAAAATATTGATAGCTTAGTACAAAATAAATAAATTTGATCAAAATACAAAATATATCCATAAACAAGCAAACTACAATATTTTACAATAATCTCCATAAGAATAACATGGGAATTATAAATTTAAAATTTTTTAAATTTTCTCCGTTACTATTAACCGAACAAAAATACTTTTATATACTAAATTAATTGTTTTTTTAAGCTCTTTAAAAAGGTCTAAAGAGAAATTGGGAAATTTTGTGTTTTGAGGGTCAAAAGTGAGAAAACCCAATTTTTACCCCATAAAACCCCCCGTAAAGCCCCGTTCCCATGGTCCGATCATGCTGGTTCGCGAACTCATTCAAGTTTATCCCGCTTTACACTTTTAAACCAAATTTCATCAAAATCGGACAAAAATTACTCAAGTTATCGCGTTCACGGACGTATATATATATAAGTCTATATATATATATATATATATATATATATACATATATAAAAATTTGAACGAATGGTGTTTTTGGCCTCTGGGGACATCAAAATGAAAAAGTAAATCGGTCCCGGGTCTAGGTCTTACCGTGCCACCGGCGGTAATAGCTACTTCCCTATAGGGAAATTCGCTAAAATGAATATATTTGCCAAGTTTGATCAAAATATATCCATAAACAAGCAAACTACAACATTTTACAATATTCTCCATAAGAATAACATGGGAATTTTAAATTTACCATTTTTTTAGTTTTCTCCGTAACCAATAACCGTACAAAAACACTTTGATATACTGAATTGTTTGTTTTTTTAAGCTCTTTAAGAAGGTTTAGAGAAAAATTGGGAAACTTTGTGTTTTGAGGGTCAAAAGTGAGAAAAACCAATTTTTATCCCATAAAACCCCCCATAAAACCCTGTTCCCATGGTCCGATCATGCTGGATCGCGAACTCATTCAAGTTTATCCCGCCTTACACCTTCAAACCAAATTTCATCAAAATCTGATAAAAATTACTCAAGTTATCGTGTTCACGGACACACACATATATATATATATATATATATATACACATATATAAAAATTTGAACGAGTGGTGTTTTTGGCCTCTGGGGACATCAAAATGAAAAAGTAAATCGGTCCCGGGCCTAAGTCTTACCATGAGACCTACGGTAATAGCTACTTCCCTATAGGGAAATTCGCTAATTGTATAAAAAAGCTCATCAAAAACTTATTTATATAGTAGAACCTCTTTAATCCGAACTAATTGGGACCGGGGGTAGTTCGGATTATTGAATAGTTCGGATTACAGAACATATTGTTGTTTTTACATAACAATAGATAAAACATGGCTAAATTGGCTCTTAATTGTAACAGGAAAAGTGAAAAAATGCTATTGGTATTGGGAAAAATGCAGTGTTTATTTAATACAGTAGTAAACATAGTGAATAAACAGTACTGTAAGTTACATTTCAATAGAAACAATTACTGTGTATACGTATACAATAAAGAACTACTGTACTGTGTATGGAGTACAGTTCAATGAGGCGTTCGGATTAGTGGACGTTCGGATTACGGGGGTTCGGATTAAAGAGGTTCTACTGTATATAGACAACTTTCTGAGCTTTTTATCACCCCCTTCCAGTTTAACATGTCCCTAAATAAGTGGCTTTTGTGTGTATTCATTTTAAATAATTTAAATATTTTTGTCCAAATAATTTTTTTTTTATTTAGCTTTAGCAGTAAATACTGGCTTTGCACTATTGTTAATTCGTTTCCTGCTTACCTTATCATATACTGTATTTGCTACACTGATTAACATCATAAAGATCCAGCTCCCGACAGACACGAGATTTACTGCAATAATAAAAAGTCGCTGTACTAAAGAAAGTAAGAAAAAGGTAGAGCTTAAACTCATGGGAAGTTTTACCTGATGATAAGATGATATTTCTTGAAATCTCCACAGAAATATGGAAATGATTCCAAAAAGAGCCAAGAACAACAATAATGTGCACAAGCACGCTCGAAATGATGAGTCATCGCGTTCAACTTCACGCTCGATATTGCACTTAACTTGGTAACTCTGCTTCATGTTGTACACTGGACACAAGAGCAGGACCACAGGATATGGTAAAAGGATGTGGTTCGGTGGTAAAGACTGTGGTTCTATGGTTATAGTTGATGTTGCTGTGGTAATGGTGGTTGCTGAGTTGTGCGTTGAAAGTGATAAGGATTTAAATTTAAAAATGAAATATTCCATGGTGATATCTCTGATTCAAATCGAGTATTACTGCGTTCATTATAATAACTATGGAAAAGGTTGCTTAAACTTGTATAATATAGCAATAAATGGTTTAATGGTTAAAGAGTTGTTAAATATTTAAAGATTTGCAAAGTCCTGTTAATTTATGTTACTTATAACTTTGGAAAACATCTAAAGTTGATATTATCACTAAAGCAGTTATTTAGTGTCTTCCCGAAGAAATTATTGTTTGAGAAAAAAAACCAAATAGCCCTATTTTTAATTAAAGTACTCCAACCCTTCATCTAGACGATTTGTCTTCATTTCATAAAGAACTTTTAGATTAAAGTACCTTAAGTACCTGACAGTCAAACAGTTGGAAATTGGGCAATTTTAAATTCATTACAGTGATTTTATAAAAACTTTACTGATATATACACTTTAAAACAAATATAAGTTAAAAATATTTGCTGATTGGTTCTCCGAGAGCTGCTTCCAACTCTTGGACAACTCTTCTGCAAGTTTTCTCCACATTTTCGTCCTCATCTTCCAATAGTTCTGCCAAGAATGGAACTGTCTCAGGAAGTAATGGCAAGAACTCTTCTCCTAGCTTTTTAGCAATCTCACAAACTGCCAGGACACCTCCGATTCGAACCTGAAACAAATAGGATGTTTAACAATGGAATTGATAAAACAAGTTACAGTGACAGTATAGTGTACATATTATAAGTGATAGCGTGAAAGGATAATGCAAGTACAGTAGACTGGGTAGCTTTGACTAATGCATTTTAAATAGACAAATATCAAATACTAGCAGAGTACCCGTCCTTCGTACGGGGTTGGCATATAGTATAAAATGCTTATTGCAGTTATACTCAAGCTTTGCGTTTGCAATGAGGGAGGACACAGTTTGATAAAATTTGCTTCTTTAAATTTACAATATTCTATAGTATTACACATCTACCATAGCCATAATGTTCTACCACTTCACCTAAACAATTGAAAAAAAATAAATTATCAAAGATTCGCAAAATATCACAAATTATTCATGAAATTAAAACATCATAACTGTAAACAATCCTACTTTGACAGTTACTTCGCATGGTGTATCACAGTTTTTTGTTGCTGCTTAGTTCAAATGAGCTGTTTTCATAAATGCAAAAAATATAGTGCTGCACCCTGTGGGCAAATCTTATAACTTTTTAATGCTTTTGCATATCATAGAACCAACTTTTTTTAGTTGAAACAGCTGACTGTTTAATATTGTGTAGAATACATGTACATGTTGCAATGTACCTTTAATTCTCTTTAAATATGAATACTCATAAGGTTAACATGGGGAACTACAGAGCCACTGGGGCGGAGCCCGAAAGGATTTTTGAGATAAGAATATGCCTATATGTTAATCGGGAATGACAGCTATCATCATGCCAAATTTCAGCCCAATCCGTCCAGTGGTTTATGCGTGATTGAACTTCAAACAAACAAACAAACAAACAAACAAACAAACACACAAACTTTCACATTTATAATATTAGTAAGATTCAAATATCCTTTAGTATCTGAAGTTATCAAGTTCAATCCTTTGAGCGCAAGAATGGTTTGAAACTAGACTCAATTATAGAGCCTCTCCCGTTCATTTTGTTCACAATAAATGGTTCTAGCTAAAGAAAGCAAAACAGTCCTAAAAGAAAAGTAAACATTTTCTCTTTTAAACTACCTGAAGAAATAATAGACTATCACAGAGAACTACTCTTGTTTAAGTAAAGTACTTTTGATATTTAAAATTACTTGTATCAAAAACTCAAACAACTCAAACAAAACTCAAATAACATAGTGATAATAGGTGTGGAGGCAGTGTGTTGGTGAGGCCAAGTACCTCTTGGGGTACAAATGGCCATGGGAGTAAGTAAGTAAACTCAAATAAACCAATTCAAGCAATAATCCCTTACCAATGATAGGTTATGCCTTGTCTTCAGCAGTATCTGGTAATTGAGCTGCTTCCACAAAGTGTCGTCTGCTGCACTCACAGCCATCTGTGTGAGACAAGGAATCACCAGTTCTGTTGATCTATCTTGCATCTGATCATCTCCTCCCAGCTGATTCTCCAACTGCAACAAACAAAACCAGTAAACAGGTGATTGATGTGAGGGTTGCTGCAAATTGACAAATTGTTCTGTTTAAGACCGAACATGAGAGGACCACCTGGAAGGCCTAAAAGAAGATGGTAAGACAGCGTGAGGACAGACATGGTAAGAACAGGATAGGAAGTAGATGAGGCATAATGTAGACCAGGAAAATGGCAAGCAATTGTTGGTGAGGCGAAACCCTTCTAGGGTATCGATGGCCATGGGAGTAAGTTACTTTTTCTTTTCGTTTTATTAACAAAAAAATATATAGAACAGCACATTAATTATAAGTTAAATCAAATCTCAGTGGGGCTTTGGTAAACTTAATGATTAATAGCACCACAGAGGTTTATGATTTTACCGTGCAGCTGCAAGACTTATCATAGATTACTCTCCACTTGAATGTCCAATAACTACATCTACCTACTTTAAAGCAGAAGCAGTTTAGGAATGTCCACTCATTTCCATAAAAGGTTCAGATTTTAAGAGATTATTCTGTCTCAAAAGTTATTCTGAAGGAGAATTCCATGATAAAAAATCCTACTATCTTCAAAATAAGAGAACTCTTACCCAAAATTCATGAAGTTCAGTGAATAGCACGGTTGCCCGGCCACATATGACAACTATACTGCATTCATTTATACAATTAGTTCAGACTTTACCTGGTCAACAATAGGCTGCATGAGAGTGTCAAACCTCTCCTTGTTGATGAAGTGACTAGCATCATGCAGGAACACTGTGTGTAAAGCTCGCAGCACTGTGTCCAACAACTCGGAGGCTTTAGTCTCCTCCCACGTCAAGGCCTGCTTGGCCACGTTGTTCTCGTCCAATAGGGAAGCAGCGTTCTTAAGGAAGTAGTGGGCGAATGAGACAAACAAACCCTTCAAAGACTCGGCAATACTGCATGTCAGCCTAGAGATAAAACATGTTTAACACATTGGATACTACATACACATGGATACTTGCATTCAAAGTAAATTATTGAATTTTCACCAAATACATGCATTTTCCGAAGTGTCCAGATATTGGTAACAGTATTTAGCTGAAAAGATGGTTGGAAAAGCGTTGGAGTAATGTTAGGAGATCCTAGTATTGAACTGGTAATCCTCTTTGGTTTTCAATGGCACAGTATTCAATTTAAAGAACCAACTGACTAGAATCACAGTACACCAGTACAGCAGACCAGTGGTAATAGTTAAATGTCATAAGCAGCTATCCAGAACTGTTTTCCCAGTATATAATATCTGTAAACATTACTTTAAGGGGTTTCTTCTCACCGAATAATCAAATAACCTTATAAAAAAGAAATCCATCTCAATGAGTAACTACTAACGTTAGGTTAACACATTCAACACAGTTAACATTTGGGGGGAGGATGATTAACACGGTTCATTTGAACTTACTTATAAAATGTAATGGACCGATCCCTGTGCCCCTCCGTTTGAATAGCCCAGTTGAAAATCTTGTAGTAAAATGGACGGAAGGCAGATTCGGAGAGTTTAAAGACCAGAGCAATTATTGCTTTGATGACAGCTGGCTCTACCAGCTCCACATCTTCAGACGCGGCTTGGCTGCGAAAGTCGAGGGCGGAGAGGAAGAATGAGGACAGTTCTGGAGACAGGTCTTGGCCGCTCTTGAAACTGTCGGCCAGCAGAGACAGCAGGGGAGCCACCGCGAGAGTGCGAGAGGACACTGTCAGTTGAGTGTAGCTCTCCGTCACAGCTGGTAGCAAGGCTCTGAGTGGCACTTCTGACGAGATCTTCTGCCTACAAATTTAATTACATCAAAAACATGTATACAACAAAAACAGTCCTTTGAATGTGGAATTCATATGTTAGCTAATGCTAAATATATAGCCTTCCACTACTGTACCAAGAAGTCTTCTAATGCCTCATTTGTTGAATGGTTTAATGGAGAATTGTGCAATTTGAGCCAGTGTGATATCACCGTCAGCAAACCACCTACATCTAGTTGCAATGGCAATGGAAAACTGTCAAAAAAGGAGCAAGATCCTTTAAACATAAACTCAGTTCAAGCACAACATTCAAAACAAAAAATAGATTCGAGGTGTTGGATAGTGTCACTCAGAATGGTAAATGTGTTGAAGTTTCGGATGAAAGCACAAACAGCTTAACTGATGCTGCTTTGACTACTCACAGAGCTACTTCATCAAGAGAAATAAAAAATACAGGCAATAACAGAAACACATAACCCAGCAATACCTATACACCTGGAAAAACAAAAAATAATCATAAGTGATAGCCATGGAAAGGGCCTCACAAATCATCTTGATCAAGCAAGCAATAGACACTTTAGTATTACTAATAACTGTCAACCTGGAGCTCCCTTAGGCTACATTGTAAACACTACTAGTAAATCCAAAGAAGTCAAAGAGTTGTCTCCAAATGATTTTGTCGTCTTGGTAGGAGGTACCAATGACATCACAATGGATTCCCTTACTAATCCTGGCCAATTCCTTCAATCATTCAAGAGTGAGCTGGACAAAGCTGTTCTGCTCTTCAAACACACAAAGCTCATATTATCTACACTACCATACAGGTATGATTTGAGAGCTTCAAGTCAAGAAAACCATCTGATCAAGGAAGCCAACCTGATTATTAGACAACTTGCGTATAGCCAGTCTCACATAGAACTCTTGGACCTGTGGACTCTCGAGAGACGCCATCACACCAGGCATGGATTACACGTAAATAAAAATGGTAAAAAGTTCATATCCAAGGAGATATTGAAAATAATAACTAATTACAACAGCAACCCCTTCAGCTCAGGAATCTGTGTTACAAAGTCATTAGTCAAGGATGTCTCTGAAACCCCTCCACCACTTTGCCCGACCATCCACCAGAACCTACAGCATGATAGTTCAGTTGCACTTTCTACATCATCTTCTTTTCTGGGGTTTTCCTCTCCAGACACCAAAAATGTACAACAACTGCATAATGTAATATCCGGAATGGAAGAGAAAATGAAGAAAGAAGCTATAGTTACCAGTAACAGTAAAAACACAACACATAATACAAGCTTATTCAAATCAACTTTAAGCAGCATAAACTGGGATGTGAAGTTAAAGGCAATTTTAATGATTTTAACAAGTTTTTCTCCACCTTCAAGAATGCTATGGATGTCTGCTTTCCTGAGAAAACTATTACACCAACAGATGTTAGTAAAAAATCCAAAGCTAAATGGTTCAGTCGTGAATTATCTGAGAAACGTAAGGAGGTAACAAAGTTATATGACTTCTGGCAGTGGGCCCAGAGGTATAATGTGCTGGTTGAAGAGACAAAGCTAAGGTACAAACAAGCTAAAACCAGCTACAAAAAAGCTCTTGCTCATGCTAAACTAGAATCAAATGCTGATTCATTTGCTTCTGCATCCAATCAATGCAAAAGGGCCTGGGAGCTCATTAACAAGTGTAAAAGCAGAGTGATCTCTCCAATTATTGACTCGCTTACACCACAGATTTTCTCTGACTTCTTCAAGTGAGGAAGTGGTGAAAATAGTTCATGGTATGAAAAGTAGCAAGTGTCGTGATATCTATCAAATTAGCTGTGATCTAATTAAAAGTGGGCTTCCCGAAATCTTGCAGCCCCTAACATCTTGTATAAATCTTTGTTTACTTTCTGGAAATTTTCCTGAGTGTCTCAAATTTTCAAAAGTAGTTCCAGTTTTTAAGAAAGGTGATTTGTCAAATCCAGAGAGCTATAGACCGATCTCCGTCGTACCAATCTTTTCCAAAATTTTAGAAAAAGCTATGATACACCAAGTGAATTGTTTTTTTGAATCTAATAACTTTTTTTCTAAATTCCAATTTGGCTTCAGAGGTGGTTTGTCAACTGTGGATGCAGTCGGAAGCCTGGTCTCTACTGCTTTAACAGGTTTTGAAAAGCATGCGGACACACTTGCAACCATGTGTGATCTTTCAAAGGCATTTGACTGTGTTCCGCATGACATTCTTCTTGCTAAATTGGAATATTATGGTATCAGAGGTGTTGAGCTAAACCTTTTTCGCCAGTATTTGACCAACCGCTCGCAGAGAGTTTGTTACAAAAATAGTCTCTCTGATGCAGAGGTGATGAAAAGTGGTGTACCCCAGGGGTCGGTCCTTGGCCCTTTCCTGTTCTTGGTTTTGATTAATGACTTACCATCCTATGTTCCTACACCCTGTAAGTCAATAATTTTTGCTGACGACTCAACTTTTTTTTGTAATGATGTCAATATTGAAACTATTAAGGGTCAGATGGAAAATTGCATTTCTGAATGTAATATATGGTTTAAAAGTAATGGTTTGTTGTTAAATAGTAGCAAAACCCAGTCTATTTTGTTTAGCTTAAGAAACAGGAATCTTAGCTTATCTTATGTGAATGAGAATGTAAAACTGTTAGGAATACATTTAGACTCAAAACTCAATTGGAATTCCCACATAAATAATGTTACAAGTAGACTATCAAGAGTAGTTCATCTTCTTCGAAAACTAAAAACTTGTATACCAAAATCCTACTTGAGAATGGCTTACTTTGCTTTTTTCAATAGCATTATAAGCTATGGTATACTACTTTGGGGCTGTGGCCATGGCATGAAGAGTCTTGTCAAAGCAAAAGGAAGCTATTAGAATAATTACAAGTTCTAGTTACCATGCACATTGTAAACCACTTTTTGTCCGTGAAAAAATTTTAACTGTTTATAGCTTGTTTATTTTTAAGTGTTTGTTACATGTAAAAGCAAATCTAGGTTCCATAGCTTTAAGAGGTGAAACTCATGTCCATTTAACCAGGAGGAGACATTACTTAGATTTACCTCAGGCAAGGCTTTCAAAAACACAAGAATCCTTTTCTTATCTTGGTATTAAATTGTTTAACAGGCTACCTCTTGAGTCACACCATGTTAGCATGAAGTCCTTTAAATCTAGTCTAATGGCCTAGCTGCTTGAAAACCCGTTTTATAGCTTGGAAGAATATTTTAAATGTTCCAGAATTAATTTAAGTTTTAGTAATTAATTATTGACATTGACTAGTCTTGCTCTGTTATGTTTACACCTTGTTACCTTGTTTATAGTTATATAGATGGCATTGTTGATCTTTAGATATATATATATATATATTCACTCTTGTTAATTTATTAGTCTTAGTATCTTGACGTCAACTGTACAAGTGTGCAATCTTGTTTCTTGTTGAAATAAATCTTTGAATCTTTGAATCATGTACCAACATTAATTTTACAATTTAAATTGTTCTTTATTATTAATCTATCAACCCAGTTTTCAATACTCAGGAAGTTTAAGTAGGAAAAGTACCGATATCGTTGTCGAAATGTAAGTAAGTAGAAACCAAAAGTGACACATTGGAAAAGTGAGTTTAGCTACATCTGTAAGTTAAACCTCGGTTACGATCACAGCAAAATCAGAAAGATCTTCCAAGATCGCAGCAACATCCACTATCTCGCACTGCAGTTGTGATTTTTTACTTTGCACTTTACACAATTGTCCTTGAAGCGCCGTCAATGAGTGGAAACCTTTTTTGTAAGCTATTGGTGACAATGATTCAAAAAATGTAAGTTTCCCAGCACTAATACAATACTGATTCACGGTATTTTACCCTGTTATCAAAATTCAAGAACAATTAATTGTTGCACTTGCGAATAATTAAACCGGTTAAGTAAGCCACAACATTTTTATTCTCACTTGGTTTGGATGTGCTAACAAAACTTGATCGGAAATGGTTGCGGTATTTGTAAACAACTTTTAATGTAAACATATCAGTGACAGCTAGAAGTGAGAACTAATCCAAACAGCTGATTGTTATTTCATAAAAGCCCGGTTTCCCCAAAATGGTGTAAACTACGTTTATAATAAACTAGTTTATTTTTAAACTCCAATTAAAATGTGTGTTCGGTTTCTCCAACATTTTACTGGCTTCGTTTAAGATAAACGGCAATTCTAGCGGTTGGCAATCCTGAATGTGTATTTGTAAGGAATTTTCGGTGGGCTTTGGGCTAGTGTTTCCTACAACCACCACAGCGCTACGCTACAACTCAGTTTAGCAGACAGCAATGCAGCAATGTGCGAATGCAGCTAGAATAACATCACTGTTTAAGGTTATGTTATCAAGTTATTATAAGTTGTTGTCAAATTCAGATTCATTCCATTTATTGAAATGGTCAATTCTGTCCCTTATTTTAGTAGGCCCTCTTGTTCTAGGTACTAAAGTGTCATAATCGTCATCTTCTACTTCTTCGGAAATGTCTATTAACTCTTCCGTTTGAGGGGGTAAATAAGTTACTGCAATTAATTAATAGTAGCCTAACTTGAAATAAAATCTAATTTACTAAAAAAAAGAACTTATTAAACAATAAATTCAAATATAAATAAAACTTAACTTAAAGCTACCCCTAAACCAAGCCTAATTTCGTCCAAATGAGTTCGTAGTTGCTTCAATTATTATTGTTTTAACACCTACTTTTTGTTTTGATTTGAGGTTATGTTACTGTTGTAATTTACTAATTTGAACTCAGTTTACTTTATCCCCAGTAGTTAAACCAAGTCAGGAGGTGGTTTAGTTTGAACTTAGATTAATACCTAGTTTAAATTTGGGGAAACACAAATCAAAGTTAAACTAAGTTTAAATCACCGTTTAACTTAAAACTAAGTTTAAATGAGTTGGGGAAACCGGGCCAAAATGTAATAGTAAACAATGGGAGAAAATTTGACAAAAATCTAACAAAATTGGGTTTTTGGTGGTTCGTTATTTTGTTTTCAAAGAAGCGTGTTTTTAGTAGCCAAAGACACTCTCACCAATCCAGTAGATACAGAAAAATGATAAGAACCTTGATTGGTACTCTAGTTTTCTAGGAGCAGGCAGCGTAAAATGACATTTTGGCGTTACAGACAGAATCACAGAATGGACAAACAGACAAACAGACAGACAGACAGAAATTGAGATAAGACTCGTTTCGGCTTTTTTAAGCCTTGAAACGTAAAAATAACCAAAAACTGCATGATTCTAAGCAATGTACAGACAAAACTGTAATTTTATTTATATAGATTGTAAACATTGTCACGCTCCTTTTAGCTAAACATTAAGTTTTATAGTAAAATCGACAGAAGAAGGCGAACTGAGATTTAAAAATGACAATGGAAATGAATAAAAAATGTTTTCATGGCGTTGTAATCAGTTATCATATCATACCTGATGGTTTTGATTTTCTGCAGCACAGGTTGCAGTTTAGGATTGTCACTGTGTTTAGAACACTCAGCTGACAGGACACACAGCTGTTCCAACAGCTGACTGAGGTATGGGCTGAGGAAACATGCCAGACTGTCCACAATCTTGTTGAGAGCAGACACCACACTCAGCAGCAACAGGTCTCCACTGCAGCAAATCAACAAGTAAAACGAAATTGTACAATACGTTAAGTCTGTGCAATTTCATTACAACTTATTTCTTATTTTCAAGCAGTTTTTCAAACAATGTATTATGATTTGTTTGATGAGGTATAACTGAAGCAGTCTCGACACCTAGAAGCATCAATCTATCTGTAGAATCATGCTATACAATACATTAACAACAAAGACAAAACACGTACACTAGGCACCCTCTTATTTGGACCAGATTGAAAATAATAAGTAAAAAAATCAAACAATCAGAAGTTGGTACGAACTTCTAAAAACCTCTTGTGATTTGCAAGTAAACTTCAGTATGGTACTATAAAAGATAAGGGATACAGTAAAACCATGTGTACAAACAATGCAGCACCAGAAAAAAATGGTTGTGATATCTATTATACTTATTTAATACGCAAGCAGGATTTTTGTGACAATTACTCCTCCGAAACTACTGAACCGATTGACATGTTTTTGGTGTCATTGGAAAGAGCGTAACGTGAAGTTGTGCAGGAAACTTTCTTTTTAGGGAAATAATTAGAGAGTGAGGCCCTGGGGCCCTATAAAGATTCGTATTTCTCCATAAGGTTAACATGGGAAACAAAAAATGTTTTGAAACTCCAGCTGTTGTCAGAAATTAAATATTCATAATTGGTCTCCATGGAAGCATGATAAAATTCACAATGTTAAATTTTCTTTGACATTTAAATGTAAACAACCAGAACCGTCAGATGCCTATTTCACAATTTTCAGACAGCTGGATAAAATAATAAAACAACTATGTGGTAGGTTTATTTAATCTTAAACTTTATGATTATTTATTATAAATCTATTTCAATGATTATAAAACAGATTTTTCCCGTTGCGAAGCAAAAATTAATAGTTAGAAGAAGAACATATGTTAATTGTAAACAGTCAATGTGTAAATTATCCATGTTATATTAAAAATGAGTATAGTTTTGGATGGTGGTTTGTGTTTAATGATATAAGTGATTAGTTATTGAATTTTTATTTTAAAGATTTGGCATATGTGTAAGCATATGATAAATAACACCATTTCAGAGTTCTGCCAGAACTCTGTCCTGTAGAGTTTAAAGTAGCCTACACCTTAATGTCTACAAATTAGCTAAATAACTTAGGTACGGTACTTTATAAAAGCTGACAGCCTTTTTACGTTGACTTAAATTCTAAGCTTACCTTTTCCCGTCCATGGGCAGTTTGATTGTTAAAAATTCACCCTTTAAACTGGAATAGGACTGTTAAATGTAAATTGTGAGTATTTCCATTGGTTAATAATCTTTTAGTTGACTCTTTTAAAATCATTGGAAATTATGACTGTTATTAGTTTTTAAACAAGTAATTTGTTTATAAATAACTCCTGTGCTTCTTTGCTTCTTTGTTGCTCGATTTCGAGCAACATGTACACTAGTTTTGTTTATGTGGCTATTGGCTAAGCCTGTATGAGACTTTGAGTGACTTGGACGGCCATATGCATGTCCGATTCACTCACAGTTTGAACAATAGGACATGAACAAGAGGAAGTATACTATACGATTAAATATTTATGCATGCAATTATTCCCTAAACTACTATATAACTAATATTTCCTAAAGATTTCACAATGTCAAATAAGATTTGTTTGACTTTCATATAACTCTTATCTGCCACACTGTGTATGACTTGGTGCTTAGTGTCCAATACTCGTACCTTGTGACTAGTACGTCACTCCCCACCACGGCCAGTAGTGGAGGCATCAGTGAGGGAAGGTGAGCGATGGCATGAGCTCCCATAGTGTGACACAACTCTCCTGCACACAACACAGCTGACGCCAGCACTGGGTCACCTACACTGCGGCGCTTCACTAGCTTCACTGCCACCTTGAACACCTTCGGGACAGTAACAATGTAACAGAATGAAACAACACGGACAAGTTCTGGTGCAAGGGCTACACTAGTCAGGACACGGAAGACAAACAATTACTTACAGAAGTATGCACATTGCATTTAAACAGCAAGTCCCTATCCATGTCCTTTCCTGTCTAGCACTTCTAGCCAAAAACTAGACGGGAAAGGACACAACAGACGGCAAAACAAAACGGCACAGGAAATTGTTGATTGAATGATCTTTTGAACATTGAACAGATTATGGAATGTCATGGCATGTTATCTCATCACATGTCAAGTCCTGTCTAGTGTAGCTAGGTGTGCAGCTAGGGTGCTCAATGTGTCGCCGGAATTGTACCCCCCACCGATAGTCGACGTCATTTTTACATCACAACATTTGGTGGTACAATTCCACCCCTACACTTTGGATTTAAAGGAATCTAATTTATTTAATGTGATGATGTGTTAAATGATCAGTGAACCAGACATAATATGCTTTATTCTTCATTCGGTTACTAATTAATTATGAATAGCTATTTCTGGGAAAGGTGGACCAAATACCTATTGTAAAATGTAGTTGTAAACATCTGATACAAAGTATTTCACCTATTGTTAAATGTAAGCTAACCTATAAACAGTAAGTACATGGAAAGGTAAAGGAAATATGAATGAAAGCGTACAGAGAAGTCCGTTAACCCTTTTGGACGTTATTCGGAATGGCCTTAATTTGCAGCTTCTTAGATTATCCTTTTACAACAAGCCATTCGAGTTATTACGATGTCAGGTCACTTGGGTCAGTTCACTTTCGTGTGATTCACCTCTAATTTTCAACCTAAATAATATTTTTTTATGGAATCTAATTTATTTAATGTGATGATGTGTTAAATGATCAGTGAACCAGACATAATATGCTTTATTCTTCATTCGGTTACTAATTAATTATGAATAGCTATTTTATTTTACGTGGTAATCAAAATAGAGAAGCTCCTAAACATATTCAAAATTAAGGCACCCATGTTGATTAAACTCTTGTTTCCTTAGAGCACTAAATCTTTTAGTTAAAGATTCGATAAAAGACATAGGCCTAAATTGGATTTAATTTCTTAATCTTTAATCAAATCATTTGTGCATAACAATATCAAAGTTTTATGAGTAGGGGTACGATTCCGGCCCGTACAGTTTTGGTCAAGAAAATGAGACGTCATCATGACATCACAAACCTGATGGGGTTACACAACCCCATCAAATTGTTTAGTAATATTCCAGGGGGTTATCCTACAATTCCAGGGGAGTACAATTCCACCACCCCTGCACAATAAGTTGAATAACTGCATTGTACATCCCTTGAAATCAAGCAGAGTACAGCCCTTGAAATCAAGCATGGCTCTTGCTTGGTAAAAAAGGACAGCTAGGCTCTGTTTTGATGCATGAAAGAGTTACTGATTTTTCTCAGGACTAAACTTTTCTATTATTGGTTTACCTATATTTTATCATAAGCTCACACCAAGATATTTAGCTGAATACTAAGGTAGTTTTCCAAAAAATATAATCTTCCTTACAAATAATATTCAACACATCAATCTTACCGGCTGGAACTCATCAGGGTGATCCGCAGCGAGTTGTCTAGCAAGGAACTTGACGGAGAGCAGCGCGGTCTGTCGCATCAGCACTGCCTCGTGCTGAGTGTCCTCACTCTTGGCCAGCCTCAGCAGACAAGGCAGCAGAGTCAGCAGTTGCGGAGGCTCCATGGGCTGAGCCTGCTGCAACCTCCAATTGAGCAGTTCCAGAGCCTTGACTCTCAGAGTGATCAGTTCATGAGTGACCAGGCTGGCCACTACGGACAGGAACATATCTCCTGGCAGCAACGCATTGGTCTGCAAGCAGATAAAAACAAAATAATGAGCACCTGCCATACAATAATCAGGGGGTTTTCAGAGAACCATACTAAGCAATTGTCAGAGATATTAAAAATATAATTAAACCATACAAAGCGCATCCTACAGTGGCATAAATTTTAATGAAGGCACAGTTAAGTATCTACATATTCCTACATGAAAATTATATTCCGGTGACTAATATCATTTATTTGTTGAAAAATGAAGTTTATCAACAGCACAATTTCCAGCTGCCTCTAACCTCACTTTTCACCTCAACAAAAAAATTTACTCAGATAGGCATACAAATATAACATGGTTTAGAGTTTTAAAAACTTACTAAATCTCTTGTAAACAGTGAAACATTAATGGTAAGCTATAAAAATTGGAGATAAATTGTGAAATATCATAGGTTTCAGGGCACCTGAAGAAATATCAGGAACTTTTCCAGAGTTTGTTGGGTTATCTAGAGCTTTAAAGACCCCCTGATAATGGACTTGCTATGGTAATGAATAGAGTTAAGGCATAGACTAACCACCACTAGTAGACTTCTCATCCCATTGTAAATGTTGAAGCTCGTTTTTCGTGTCTAGTTCATGTACGGTGACTATGGGCGCTAGTGTCGACAAAATTTTGTTTCTATTATTTTAGAGTTAATTTCTTAATTCGTGCTTTACTGTGTGGTTGTATAACTAGGGGTTAAGTTATTTTTTATGATTAGATCGTATTATTTGTATTATTGTATTATTAAAGGAGGTTTTAAAAGACTGAAATAACAAGAAACAAATGGTAAACAAGACAAAATCTCTGCAGTACACCGTACAGAACTAACAATAAAATTGTCTTCAGCTGTTCCATAAGGATGAGAAATCTACTAAGGGACAGGTTTTATCCATGGTTAAGGTTACAGTCCAGGGACTCTTGACACAAGAAAATTTGCATAACCCTAAAATTTCATTTCAGCGTAGTACTTGAATGCTAGATGAGGAAAAAAATTAAAACTGTTAAAACAGTTTTGAGAATAATCCTAACTATCTGAAATAGTGAGAATACTATGAGTGAGGTATACAGTGAGAAGTCAATTTATGAATGATAATACAATTTATTAAAAATCCTGAAGTTATTTAAAATGAAATTTGTAACACATATACCTTAGTCAGTACATCAAAGCAGATATTGAACATGGACTTCCAGTACTTGGCGGTCGGTTGGCTGGCAGAGCTGTCTACTTGTTTGGAAACGCTCTGTGTGAAGGTCAATATACCTTCAAACATCAGCTGGAATACGTTTTTCAAATCTTGGATCCCTTCAAGGGTTAGAGTTGCAACCTGGAAAAGCATAAGAATGTGCAATCAACTCAACATTACCCACTAACTTATCTGATAAGTATATAAGATGAAAAAGATGGAGAGGGCATAGTTTAACAGAATTTAAACTTATACAGATAAATTAATATGTTTTTCATTATGTACAGTAAATTAAGAGGAAATAATCACTAGCATTGATTGAAATTCCAGCAGCAAAAACACTTCTTCACTCCTTTTAGCGAATACACCATATAGGGAATAAGCTATTACCCTAGCTAGTTAACTAACGCGCGCGTACAGATTGGCCAATGGTTTAAGGGTCGTTTCTAACATACAGATTGACCAAAGGTCCTAATGAGCAGGGGCAAAAAATGGGGGCGGAGCTTACAGCAGTGATGTGTGTGGGGGAGGAGCTAGTCTATTCAAGTAAACTGTTTGTTAACGTTTTCTAATCTTACCAGATACAGAGGTGGTCTCTTTAATGCTATTGAATTTCGTAGAACCAACTTGTGTAGTTGAAAAAGCTGACAACATTTTTTAATTCATTTTAAATATAAATACTCATAAGGTTAACATGGGAAACTATGGGGCCATTGGGGCAGAGCCCGAAATGATTTTTGGGATAAGAATATGTCTAGATATGTTAATCGGGAATGTGAGCTATCTTCATACCAAATTTCAACCCGATCCGACCAGTAGTTAATGCGTGATTGGATATCAAACAAATGAACAAACTCACCAAATTTCACAATATTAGTGTACTACGATATATTGTAGTTTTTAAGGGTGAAAACATGATGTCTCATCATATCTCTACTATTTTCATTGCGTGCGCGATCTCTTCAAGGAAACTTCAGAAAGATTAATAATACTAATGACACATACTATGAAAACAAAAAATCTAACGTAAACCATTTTCTTCTTTACATTTTATACAAAACTAGCTGTTGTACCCGTGCTTTGCAACGGGAAGAGGACACAAAATAGAAACATTTTAATCTTTACATCTGTTGTATATAATAAATATCTTTTAATTTACTACTGACATTTTAAATAACAAAAAGTTAGAAGTTTAGAAGTTGCAAAAATACTAAGGTAAACGCACCAGTAGCTGACAGTATAAGAAACTATACGCACTTAATAATCCGTGGTTTTGAATAAATAGGAACTAAAGAGATATTACGGATTTTATGTGATTCTAAATTTAGTGTAGTTTTCAAATTTGTTATACAAAAAGGGTTTTTAAAATATATTTTATAACATTTTTGAATTTAATTCAACCTTTATACGTGTTCCAGTGGCTGACAGTGAAAAAAGTGCTTGTACCAGTAGCTGACTATGTGTTGTCCCAGTAGCTGACACTGGAACTATAAATGTACTAGCTGCTAAACCTAAGGGTTTTATAATTTATAAGACGAATAAAATCTAACTTAATAATTAAGTTATAAATAAAATCATGTAAAACGTTATTAAGAAAATTTATTTTACATATTTTAAAAAAAAAATATTTACATTAAAAAATATATATATTTTATATTTAAAAAATATAAATTTTTTAAATATATTTGGCTTATTAATTAAAAAATTAAAATCATTTTATAAAAATGTGAGATTACATAAATTATAAAAAGCATGCAAATTTCGATTGGTAAAACTAATTTAATATTGTGCAAGTAGCAAATATCCCCTGTCAGCTATTGGAACTTGTATGGCTTTTGTGTACCAAAGCCTGACATTGATATAATTTTAAATCCAAAACCCCTAAAACCCCAATTTTATCATGAAATTGTCAACAAAGGTATAATTGATAAAAATAATGAGCCTAACCATTAATAATATTTAAGAAATTTTGCGAAATGACAAAAAACCAAACTTACCTTCTTAACAGTTTCATTAAGGGAATCGACTAAATGTGATGTGTACAGACAGGGTTGCTTTCAAACCACCACCATTCAGCGAGTATGTGCTAAATTTCACAGATTTTTTTGTAATCAAATCAGGAATAAACATATGTTCTTCTAACAATGCAATCATGTGTAAATATTTTTAAGAGACCACACTATAATGTAAAGAAACTCAAACTGTCAGCTTCTGGAGCACTGTCAGCTACTGGTGCGTTTACCTTAATTATTAAATTTAAATGAACACTTTTTTTAAATTTCACTCTTCTTTATATTAAATCACAAATCCTTCCATCTTCAGTTTCTTCACTCACAATAAATCATTAGCAAAACTAAGTCAGCTGTTATAAACTTTAGAAATATTGCTGTGCCTTATCAATACAGTCTTTTGAAATATTAAAGAAACTATATCTATAGGTACTATAAACAAATTTTAAACAAATAATTCAGCATTAAAGACAGCAGACAAAACTAATATGATTATCAAAGCATCAAGGACTAAAAAATATAATAGCAAATACAGTATATGTTTCATTGCATCTCTGATTCTACTCTATAAAAAATATCAACAAACAACTTAATATACAGTACAAACCAGTTCTTTTAATCAGTTCCATCGTCCATTGCCTTTACATTTTCACACTTACCATTAAGTAAACATAGTAACAGATATTTCATTGATTTTAGAAACAAAAGAACACTGTGTAATGCTTAGTTTTATGATATTTTCCTTGGTTTAATTTAGTCAGTGGTGTGGCAAAACGCAAATAATAAATGTATCAAATAAAGAAAATGTGAACTGAAAGCTATGTTAAGATAAAAAAGAGTATTTTGTATTACCATTTGATAATTAAATATAGTTACACATATACAACAGATTTTAGAAAACAAAAATCAACATTTAGTTATTGATGATATTCTTTAGTTTAATTTAAGCATAGGTTTAGCAAAACACAATAGGTAACTTAATTTACCTAAATATACATATAAAAAACAATGTGATGTGCAAGTTATGTTAAGTTAATCTAACACAAGTTAAGCAGTTTGAATTTATTTAAAGTAGCCTCCAAAATCATACAAAACATCTATACATTGTAATTTTCATACTGTTTCCATGAAAACATATCAATAACATTATTTTCTTAACTTAGACGCTTTAAAAAATCCAAAGCAGAGCCGGAGTTGATACAGCAACGGTTATAGAATCTTTTAGCGAATTTCCCATATAGGGAATAAGCTATTACCGTAGGTCTCATGGTAAGACCTAGACCCGGGACCGATTTACTTTTTCGTTTTGAGGTCCCCAGAGGCCAAAAACACCATCCGTTCAAATTCATATATATATATATATTTATATATATATATATTTATATATATATATATATATATATTTATATATGTGTCCGTTAGCGCGATAACTCGAGCAAAATTGATCCGATTTTGATGAAATTTGGTACAAACGTGTAAACCTACATTTATTTGAACGAGTTCGCGAACCAGCATAATCGGACCATGGGATCAGGGGTTTATGGGGGGTTTTATGGGGTAAAAATGGGGTTTTCTCATTTTTGACCCTAAAAACTTTAAATTTCTTAATTTCTCTCTAGACCATTTTGAAGAGCTTAAAAAAACAAATAATTTAGTATATTGAAGTTTTTTTGAATGTTCATTGACTACGGAGAAAATTAAAAAAATTGTAAATTTAAAATTCCCATGTTATTCTTATGGAGAATAAATAAACTGTTCTAGTTTGCTTGTTTATGGATATATTTTAATCAAATTTGGCAATTTGTCTTATTTCATACTAACCTATCAATATTTCAATTGAAAAAACACACCTCAACATCTTCCCCGTAGCAGCAAACCTAACTACTCACTAAAATTAATGTTATTTAAATAGGAAATAAATCTGAAAATTTATAGGGAATATTTTAGTAGAAATCAAGCCGGGTAAATGGAAATTCGCTTAGTATGCAGGTTTGCTGCGACGGGGGTATTTTTCTATAATCATTGACATAGTCTTAGAATAAATAATACATTATAAAAGGTTAGATTAAAATAAACCTACTCATAGTTATGGAAACTATAATTTCTTTGTATCAGCTGTCTGAAATTGTGAAATATACAGTTTAGCAGTTCTTCTTGTTTACATTTAAATGTCAAAGCAAATGTAAACAAACATTGTTAGTGTTCTCATTGCAGCCATGGAGACCAATCAATATTTACTTTTAAAATGTTCACCTCAGAACTTTTAAAGCCAAAGGGGCAAAGCCTACGGTCAGTTTTGAAATGTGAATAGTCCAATAATGGTCCTTGTTGTGGTAGCTATAATTTTGTAAAATTTAAGCCCAGTTGGTTCAGTAGTTTTTGCACCTATTAGTAACACACATACAGACAGACACGATTAGATTTTTATATAATACTGTAGTATAGATAATACAACATTTTCTTGATTCAACTTAAACATCACCGACTTACAGATAACCCAATTTTCGTATGGATGTAAACAAAATTGTACTATGGACATATGTTTTGATGTAAACAAAATTTCATTGTAAACTTGAACAAGTTCAGACGATTGACAACAGAATTCAGCACAAACTATGCAATTTTAAAAGCTAATATGACGAGGTTATATGCTTTCACGGGATATCATCCAAACGGAATAGTACCTCCAATTTGGAGTTATTATTTTCTTTTAGCGGCAACTGAAAATGTAGCTGACTGAATATTAATAACAAATTATTATTTATTTAAGGATTTTAAGGCAAAATGTTAAGAATTATTTGAAGTTTAGAATTTTAATTTTTGGTTTACGTAAATGTTGAATAAGTGATTAGATTTTTTGATTTTTATACTCTGTGGTAGAACATTTTATTCAGGTTATTTCACTTCCAATGGAATATCTTTTTCTTTTTTTTTACTTTTGTTAAAATGCTACTCCTATAATGAATATTGCTAGATTGGTTTTGTGAACTTAAAAATGAACATCGTGTGCGAAATACTAAGACAGATATTCAAGGTAATTTTCAAACAATGGGTATAAACATAAAAAACGAGAATGCTTATGCTTTGAATCTTAAAAGAACACTTCAGGACTTTTAAATGGTAACATTATCCCTATTGCTATAACTAGGTCAAACAAACTAACAATTTCGTAACCAACTCGACCTCCCAAAAATGTACTTTGTGTACTTGAAAAGAAATTGATAGTGAGTTAATAAGCAATTAGTTAGATTTTATAGCCTATTATTTGTATTAGAATACCACACTGTTTTGTTTAAGTTAAATGTAAAAACCTTATTTATTTACTTAACAGTTTACATAAAACTTAGTGTTTTAAAAAGTAAAATTCGTCTCTTGAGCTTGGCCACCTCTGTGACAGGTAAGATTAGAAAAAGTTAAAAAAACACTTGACTTGAATAGACAAGCTCCTCCCCCACGGGACATCAATGCTGTAAGCTCCGCCCCCATTTTTTGCCCCTGCTCATTAGGACCTTTGGTCAATCTGTATGTTAGAAACGACCCTTAAACCATTGGCCAATCTGTATGTGGCCTAACTAACAATGTATAAAAAATAATGGTTATAAGTTATAAGAGTAATACATCTTTGATGATAACAGTTTATTACTTTACCTAGAATCAAAATCATTTTGTAATCTCTGTATTCATTTCATACACATTCTGAAATTTGATTGTAGTAAAAAATAAAATTCAAACCTACGAACAATTTAACATATCTTATAAATATTAACATAGACATTTTCATTTGCTATTCAAACTATGTCTGTTAGTCGATTAAGGTATGAAGGGGGTAACATAAACAAAGAGATTGATTAACGTTTTTGACTCACCATTCGGAGAAACTGTTTAGAAGACAGCAGCAGTGACAGGAATGTCAGCCCAGTGTAGGTGTAGTGGCGCAACTGCTTGTCAGTCACTCGCTCGACATCAAACAATGCTCCTACATTGCTCTTCTTGAACGCTTGGGCCTTCTTGTCCCCTTAAATTCAAAATTTTACAATTGCACTCATGGTAAACAAAAATTACAATTGTTTATTGAATTGTGTGTACAGTCTATGGTACCATAGATAAATCATACTCCCTTAGTAGATTTGGCATCCCTATGGAACAGCTGAAGCCAATTTTATTGTTAGTTCTGTACGTCCAACTGTAGAGGTTATGTTTTGTTTACAATTTGTTTCTTGTTATTTCAGTCATTTAAAACCTCATTTAACCAAATAAAACGATGTAATCATAAGCAATAACTAGTCTCCTAGTTATATAACCAAATAGTAAAGCACAAATCATGAAAATAACCCTAAAATAACAGAAACAAAATGTTGTCTACCCCAGCGATCAGTGTGGACGTACATGAACTAGACACGAAAAACAAGCTTCAAAATTTACAATGGGATGAGGAGTCTACTTGTGTTGCCTAGTCTATGGTACTACTGTCAAATTATATTCTGTATTGTTTTTGTTTATAGAACACTTAAATTTAAATTTATTTAAAATGTCTATGGCCATGAAATGTGTAAATCATAATGTCCAAGCTTGTAACAATTGTGTTACTAACAAGAGTTAGCCTACAATAATTGTTCCCTTTCTTTTAATTAAGTTGAATGCAATGAGTAATAGCTCTACTAAGGAAGCTTGAATCAAGGATAGCATTTTTCTACAAAAAGTTATTAAGAAAAGTGTGATTTGTTACATGTATTTTAGTAAACCCCTAACAGTCCAAGAAAAGGTCTAAAAAGTCTAAGAAAAATATTTAAGATCATTTAGCACTTAAATCCTCTATCACTTTCTCTAGACTTAACAAAGTTCCCAGGGGACGAAATATTGTGTGTTCGTTCAGTGTCTCTTCTGTATGTTCTATCATAGACAAAAAGAATTAAATATAGACTGTCAGCCGTGCTGCGGTTACCATGGTTACCATAGGTTCCGGCGCACACCGCTGTAGTTTACGTAGCGCGTACGCCGTAAATACATGGCGCTCCAAGCGGTGTGCGCCAGAAGCTATGGTAACCGGAGCACAGCTGACGGTCTATAATTAATTCTTTTTGTCTATGGTTCTATGCTCTACCTGCACTTCTTCATTGTAGGCTAGCTGCTATCCTCCTTGTTTTACAATTTAAAATCCTGAAATCCTGGCCTAGAGCCTTTCATTGAACGACTAACATTTAAGAACATTAAGACTACCTTGCTGTCAGAAATACCGATTGTTTGGTCTCCAGCAATCTGATTGTATTCTAATTTAAATTAGTAAATAAAAACAGGAAGGCAGGAAGGGTATTTTGAATATGTAAAACATTATGAAATGATAAAATTTTTTGATAGAAATTTTTGAGCGCCTCAGCAGGAGGCCAAATAAATTTTTCTATGAAAAGTGGTTGATATTTCTATTTCAAACATTCGTTTTAGTTTACTTAAAAGATACCTAACAATATACTCCCAAATGTATAGGGTTATTAAATTCCATCCCATTTATCACATAACTATAAGAAGGGATGCATACCTTTCTGCGTTGGCAGCTGACACAAGTAGCTCATGATGTGGCAGCCGGCTGACAACACAGTGGCTGGGGAAAACTGGTGACAGAGTTGTAGACAGGCCTCCAGTCTCTTGGGTATAGACCCTGGCTCCTTGCCTGCACATTGGGCAATATTGTTACTTATGACATTTATGCTGGACACACTACTCAGACCACTAAGGTCGGGTAATAAAAGTGTCAGGGAAGCTGCAAAATGAGTGGCCAAAAAGTGGTAAATTTGTTTAAAAGGAAGTGGTTAAGTGTCATGACCGTTTGTCTGCCGACTACGCGCTCTCATTGTCAAATTTGTTTTTTATTGTGGTCACACTAGATGTTTTGAATTTTGTTTTGTTCTCATATGTTTGTGTTGCGTGTCGAACAAATCTTCACACCATACAGGTTGAAGAGAATTAATTACGCATAATGTCCACGTAGACTTGAAAATGAAGCCAATAAGGTTTTGAAACCATGGTATTCTATCTACAAGAGCGGTTTTTCTTTGTGATACATAAAATTGTATAACCTACCATGGTAATAAATCTTTTTATTTTCATTAAAACGCTTGAAGATAAAAACACTTAAGACACAGAAGAATAGCTTAACATAACATGTTAAAATACATGGAAATGCAAATATTATCTTAAGACAGATGGCACAGCCTGCAGGTAGGCCTGGAATCATATGGTTTCAATGGTCAATGGTTATGGAATAATCTGAGAAGCTTATTTTCCTAAGGTCAGAACACGGAGGTGTGTAATGCAAGTTCCCAAATTGTCACATCAAATAAGTGATAATAATAGTTATTGTGGTCCATACTAAATACACTCTTGCCAGCTTCTGATAACTTATAGTACATTTTACCTTGGTTTAATTTACAACTCATTGATGTAACTGACAACCTCACATACCAGCACTGTTATCAGGATGTAGAACGTGGCACTCAAACACTAAAGCTAGGAAAGCCCAGAGCACTCGATCCTGGCGCAAAGTGATGAGCAGTTTGGTGTACAGGGGCACTCGTCTGTGCTCAGGGACATCCAATAGAGCGCCAGCAAACACTTGCAACACTCCGACAATCTCTGGCGTCAAGTCACCTTGGTCCGATAGATTAGGTCTCTCTTTGTCTAATACTTTATCCTGGAAATATCTGACTTGTTATTGGTGATTTAAAAAAAATATATCACTTGTCTCAAAAATATTTTGATCAATGAGGCAAAAATTAGACATATATTAGGGTGTTGGTGCTGACAAACATGGCAGTGATTGCAGAGCAATAATATTGCATTGGATACAAAAAATGTTAAGATTGGTCTAGCATAGCATTCATGTAGTGAAGTAAAAGGAAAATTTTAACCTTTACTAAATAAAGTGGTTAAATAAGCATACCTTAGAGAAATTTAAAAGCGACTTACCATCATTAATATCGGCACAATCGTTTCTACTATTTTGGATATAATCTGGAAACTGTAGGCGTCATCTTGTCTTAAAACTGATGATCCCATGAAAGTGAAGATTGGCATGATTGAATGAAGAACTCGTTCCTGGGCATAAAAATTGTGTAAACAAAAGCTTTTGAAGAGCTTTTAGTTTTAGAATTGTTTTTGTCAAACAAATTAATTGTATCTTTAAAATTTGCCAAGACCTTGGAGGTTGCTTTGTCATTAACAAAACGGATAAAAAAGAAAGAAATTTAAAAAGTCTCACAATGAAAAGATTATCTATGACTTTAAAAATATTAGATAATGGAGATTGCTATACTTCATATTTGTATAATTAATCTAAATCAATCAATGTTATAAAGCAATAATGTTAAAGTGTTACAACCCTCCAATTTGCTACCCAACCCTATTGTTACAGTAAACAACGTAAGTTTACATGCCAGACAGACAGTTTATGGATACTTACAGGAATCATGCTGGCCATGTGTGCTAGCAGTAACAACGCATGGTGATGAGTCTGAGGGTTAGACGACAACCTTACACACTCTACCACTGACTCTACTTGTAGACTAGTCTCTGGTACATCTACTACTGGTGAGCCATCTGGCGACAGCTTGGTACAGCAGTGTAGTAGTGCTGTGAGCAACACCTGCTTGGTGTACTCTACTGGTGACTGCTCCTCAAACTGTAGACATCTACACACAAGTGATCAGTACACACTCTACCACTGACTCTACTTGTAGACTAGTCTCTGGTACATCTACTACTGGTGAGCCATCTGGCAACAGCTTGGTACAGCAGTGTAGTAGTGCTGTGAGCAACACCTGCTTGGTATACTCTACTGGGGACTGCTCCTCAAACTGTAGACATCTACACACAAGTGATCAGTACACACTCTACCACTATGACTCTACTTGTAGACTAGTCTCTGGTACATCTACTACTGGTGAGCCATCTGGCAACAGCTTGGTACAGCAGTGTAGTAGTGCTGTGAGCAACACCTGCTTGGTGTACTCCACTGGGGACTGTTCCTCAAACTGTAGACATCTACACACAAGTGATCAGTACACACTCTACCACTGACTCTACTTGTAGACTAGTCTCTGGTACATCTACTACTGGTGAACCATCTGGCGACAGTTTGGTACAGCAGTGTAGTAGTGCTGTGAGCAACACCTGCTTGGTGTACTCCACTGGGGACTGTTCCTCAAACTGTAGACATCTACACACAAGTGATCAGTACACACTCTACCACTATGACTCTACTTGTAGACTAGTCTCTGGTACATCTACTACTGGTGAGCCATCTGGCAACAGCTTGGTACAGCAGTGTAGTAGTGCTGTGAGCAACACCTGCTTGGTGTACTCCACTGGGGACTGTTCCTCAAACTGTAGACATCTACACACAAGTGATCAGTACACACTCTACCACTGACTCTACTTGTAGACTAGTCTCTGGTACATCTACTACTGGTGAGCCATCTGGCAACAGCTTGGTACAGCAGTGTAGTAGTGCTGTGAGCAACACCTGCTTGGTGTACTCCACTGGGGACTGTTCCTCAAACTGTAGACATCTACACACAAGTGATCAGTACACACTCTACCACTGACTCTACTTGTAGACTAGTCTCTGGTACATCTACTACTGGTGAGCCATCTGGCGACAGCTTGGTACAGCAGTGTAGTAGTGCTGTGAGCAACACCTGCTTGGTGTACTCCACTGGGGACTGTTCCTCAAACTGTAGACATCTACACACAAGTGATCAGTACACACTCTACCACTGACTCTACTTGTAGACTAGTCTCTGGTACATCTACTACTGGTGAGCCATCTGGCGACAGCTTGGTACAGCAGTGTAGTAGTGCTGTGAGCAACACCTGCTTGGTGTACTCTACTGGGGACTGTTCCTCAAACTGTAGACATCTACACACAAGTGATCAGTACACACTCTACCACTGACTCTACTTGTAGACTAGTCTCTGGTACATCTACTACTGGTGAGCCATTTGGCGACAGTTTGGTACAGCAGTGTAGTAGTGCTGTGAGCAACACCTGCTTGGTGTACTCCACTGGGGACTGTTCCTCAAACTGTAGACATCTACACACAAGTGATCAGTACACACTCTACCACTGACTCTACTTGTAGACTAGTCTCTGGTACATCTACTACTGGTGAGCCATCTGGCGACAGCTTGGTACAACAGTGTAGTAGTGCTGTGAGCAACACCTGCTTGGTGTACTCTACTGGGGACTGTTCCTCAAACTGTAGACATCTACACACAAGTGATCAGTACACACTCTACCACTGACTCTACTTGTAGACTAGTCTCTGGTACATCTACTACTGGTGAGCCATCTGGGGACAGCTTGGTACAGCAGTGTAGTAGTGCTGTGAGCAACACCTGCTTGGTGTACTCTACTGGGGACTGTTCCTCAAACTGTAGACATCTACACACAAGTGATCAGTACACACTCTACCACTGACTCTACTTGTAGACTAGTCTCTGGTACATCTACTACTGGTGAGCCATCTGGCGACAGCTTGGTACAGCAGTGTAGTAGTGCTGTGAGCAACACCTGCTTGGTGTACTCTACTGGGGACTGCTCCTCAAACTGTAGACATCTACACACAAGTGATCAGTACACACTCTACCACTATGACTCTACTTGTAGACTAGTCTCTGGTACATCTACTACTGGTGAGCCATCTGGCGACAGCTTGGTACAGCAGTGTAGTAGTGCTGTGAGCAACACCTGCTTGGTGTACTCTACTGGGGACTGTTCCTCAAACTGTAGACATCTACATCATAGATCAGTCAAACTGTAAGACCACAAAGTAAAGTAGCCCTGCGAGCAACCTTGGTTGCTTCAATAGCTACACAGTAGCCCACTTTGTCTATGTCATTTGGGTCTAGGACTACTTGTGATGAGACAGTGGCAAGTGAGTCAGTCACTTGTACCTAATGCCTGGAACGCTAGCCAGTCAGTCTGACCAGTCTGAGTCAGCAGCATAACCATCTTTTTTTTTTCAAAAAAAGTAAGCAAATTCATTTGTTCAAATTTGTCACAAATCAAAGAAGAATACTGGCCCACATTTTGCTGAGTTTGTGTGACTGTGATATACTGAAAATTCTATTTTTTCTACAAATTCTAATCTTATATTTCTTACCATACCTCTAATAAATTTACAAATTTCAAACCAGCTATGTTCTCTTACATAAAACTTTCAATTTGATCACAATCACAGGTGAACTTGTTCTAGGCTTAAATAATACGAAAAAAGTAGTTAAATGTCTGATTTTAAGTAACCATCATATTTGAACTTACCGATTTAAAATTTCAAACAGTCGAGGTAGTAATACTTGAACATTCTCCAGTTTCTTTTTGTTCTGTATGAACTCTAACAAGCAAAGACCCTGCTTCCAAGCAGTGGTTGTCAGTAGTTCCAAAGGTGGAGGTCTTTTGACAGCCCAACCTCTGTAAAATTTGGCAAAATTGAATTAGTAAAAAAACTACCTTCATTTATTTACATCAATCTGCAACCAGTTAACTAATTTTTAATTCTTATTTTTTATTTTAGTGGTGCTTGATGACATTTTTTATCTTTTAAGGAGTCATTAAGGCTAAGTGATCATGTTCTTTATATTGAAAATCAAATACAAAAACCTATTTGTAAAAGATTAAGCAGTCCAAATCCCAGTCACCTTTTCTTTGTAGTATCAGCAGGTGTTTCGACAGTCACGTCTCTCATTTGCTCCAGCAGATTGGCAACAATGTTGGCATCAAGGACTATTCTCTTGAAGCATGAGGCAGCAGCACTGGTGACATCGCTGGCCTCCGTCTCTGTCACACAGCTCACAATCAGTGCTACCAACCGTTGCTGCTGCTCCTTCTTGAGGGACGCAAACAACTCCTTGTCAATCTGAAACAATAATTAAGTGATATGACATTTTATTACATTCTTTCGTGATTGAGAGTCAGTCAAGTCAAACCTTTGATTTACGATTAAGTCAGATGACTGATAACACAGACTAGTAATATAAATAACTTAATTAATTGTTGGGTAATCTCATCTCTAACTGTTTTTCACTATATCGAGCAAACATTAATAGTTTTAAATTTAATTTCTATTGTGGCTCCTGAGCTGTTTCTCAATTTGAAAACTAGGTTTGACATACCTTATTTATTCAACACACGCCCCTAAACTCAAACTAGTACTATGTATTTGTACGTTTACTTGTATACATAAAATCATGTTTATGTATGGATATATGTTAACAAATATGGTCTTATGAGCTATATGTCGGATAAATGTGGAATGTTAAACCTTGTATTCACATGACTAGTCTACTAAGCTAATCAAATGTGAATTCAAATATTAATTTTAGGGGTTTTATTAACAATAAGTATATTCTTGTTAAAAATTTGTTGAGAATCCAACGCAAATGGATTTTTAAGTTCCCACATGTCTGGGAATTTAATTATTGATAAATCAGCAGCAGTAACTTCTTTATCTATGAAAATATTGTTTTCAAGATTGTTTTCACTCGCCAGACTAAAGAGTACAATGTCATAAGGCTATAACATCAAACACACTGCAGGTTTTATATATATACATTTTTTTACACATAGTTGTTTGTTAAATGGATGGATATAGGGATGGATTTAGGGATGAATATAGGGATGGATGATGTAGGGTTGGATGGATGGATGGATGGATGCACGGATAGACAGATGAGTGAGTGTATTACAGTGTATAATCATATTGGTCTAAGCTTTGTAAGTTGTACCAACCTGTTGCAGCATCAACACAGCAGCTATGGCTCCGTCGTGAGCCAGAGGCTTGTGGTCAGACAGACAAGTCGCCACAAAGGTCCAGGTGACCTCACTCTCCAGTGCTGAGGCGGAGGTGGAGTTGAACCGACCAATCACAGCCTTCAACACACACACCTGCACAGCCGACCTCTCCTCACACTGAAGCGTCTGCATGGCCAGTGGGATCATCTTCTCCAGCAAACTCTGTTAATGTTGCAAAATAATTAATCATTTTTACCCAAAAAAATTTAATGAAATTTGAACCAACTGGTTAATTTGAATTAATAGAGATTATTTGTGTATGCTAAAAAAAACCTTTACCAACATTCCTTACTCCCTATAAGTGATTATGCTTAAGATTTTAAATAAATAGTGAAACAATACACAGCATCACTAAATAGTTCCTAATAGTTTAAAAATCACCTTCAAAAATAAAGTTTCAAGAAAGTTTTTAGTCAAACAAGAGAAAATAGTAAGTGGAAGAAGAAACATAGTACTGTAGATGAATAAGAGGCCTTTTTAAAGCACCAGATTATACTGTTGCAGAAGCAAAGATCCGGCGAATGAGATGGGTTGGACATATACTAAGGAGGGAAGATACTGCATGGATAAAGCAGATGTGGGAAGAAACCCCTGTTGGTTTACACAGAAATTGGGAAATTTTATGTTTAGAGGGTCAAAAATGAGAAGAACCAATTTTCACCCCATAAATGCCCCTATAAAACCCCGTTCCCATGATCTGATCATGCTGGTTTGTGAACTCATTTGAATAAACGTAGGTTTACACGGTTGTACCAGATTTATCATTTTTGCTCGAGTTATCGTGCTAATGGACATATATATCCTACTAATATTATAAACGAGACAGTTTGGATGTATAAGATTCACAGATGTTCAGAATTAATTGTTATTATGTTTGTTTACTGTCACTTTAGGTGAGAGTCCTACACACCAGGGTAAAATACACCTTAGACCCTCACGGTACATAAAGCATTTCCATATTGTAACAACAAATAGTCATTACATTTGAAAATCTTCTAAACGGTTAAACTTTGCAAAGAAAACTGTATGTATCAATACAAAAATTGAATGGGTATTTTTCACCATGAATCCAATTCTTCAGCTCATATGTTCAACCTACCTGTGAGTTGACTTGGTCGAGGACGCTGAGCAGTTGCGCCACTATGTATGCCGGGGTGTTCGGGTCCTCAATAATGTTCATCAACGTATCTAGAGACTGGACCAAGGCCTGTCTGTCTGACTTGCTGAGTAGAGACTGCACGGAGGGGTCGGGCGACAAGCAGAGATAAAGAGCTACGTTTACTTGCCTGGGGTAACACAAATTTGATGCAATTAGTATTACGGCTCAAAATGTATTTCTTAAAAAGATATCCCAAAATTAAAAGGCGTACTTAGACAACCACTTTAAGGTATTTAGATCGCATTTATGATTGTTTTCATTCCCTAGAAACTAAGTGACTTTGGCTGGTTTGGAGGTTTGTGCGAGATTTTTCTGAGGTCTATGCTTAGATCCCGTAAATCACCTAGAGCGTTTATGTGATCTTTTAGTTCAGAGCCCATCTCCAAAAACTCCCTCCAGCAAAAGCAAAACAATGATTTAATAATGTTAAGTGCATTTTTATTTTAACCAAGATTGCATTTAAATTATGGTCAGTTAAGAAAAAAAAGATTAAGCCTAATATGTTTGCAACAGACTTGTGAGTTATGTCTTCACAAAGACATTGTATTTTAAGCTTTTGAACAAGTTTATTGTTCACTCAAACACTCAAACCCTACAACTGGGACCCTTATTTCATGAATGAAAACGACAATATCTTATAACGTGAAGGTATCGTATACAATGTTAATATCACATACTCGGAGGGGTTCAAAGAGTTTTTTAAAATAACAAATTGAAATGATTTAAATCAAAATTCTCCCTAGATGTACCTAATTTGATCACAAACACTCACTCGCCATCAAGACTCATCTCTTCCTTATGCTCGGCCAGGTGGTGCACTAGCTTGTGATAAGAAGGTAGAGCCAACTTCTGTGTCAGAGCTTGCAGTACAGTGAGGGCGTTGTGGCGCACCTGCATATCAGCTGATCGTAGTGCTGCCAATATTGCTGGCACCAAAACCTGAGTCATTGTCATTGTCATATATTTGGGTAACTTAACATATTTGTTTGGGTTACAATGGAATAACACCATGAATGTTGGTTAATATAACTGCTAATTCTAAATTTGTTAATGTACGAGAGTTACTTTAGTTTAACCAGAGCAGTTTTAAACATTTTGCAGATAGGTACATAGGGGAAATCAGAAAATAAAGAGCTGATTAGTCAGTCCAAAAAAATAGAGCAATTCTGTTCCAATTCCAATCAAGCCGCTCTTACAGTTAAATGAAGAAAATAAACATCAATGCATAATTATTTTTTCATATTTATAAAACAAGAGCTAAGTTGTGTGCTATCTACAATTTTTATACAGCTAGAGTAACAACATTAAAAAATATTTTTGTCTTAATTTGTCTGTATTGAGGCTATATTTTGAAATCAAGAACTGCTTCTAGGATTCTTTTTCAGTTTTAGAGATAATATTTTGAGAATATAAGATATTTTTTCCAATATTAGCTGATAAAATGCTGATCCCTTGCATTTTGTGATCTCTTAATCACTGATGAGCCAACACTCATGGTTATGAAGAAATTTGAATAAACTTTCAGCTACGGTTCTGTGAGTAAAAAGTAAAAAACCAAATGTGTAATCTTTGACCTGAGTTGTTTTTTGCAAGAGTTGCAGGGTGGAAGTGAGTGTGACAATATGCCAAGTGTCTCACCTTTTCCCTCACACTAGCCAGTTCCTCCACTAGTGAGCTCAGCCTCTTCATACACTCCCCTGTCAGGTCTGGACAACCCAGCGCAATGTTGGACAACAGGTCTATCTGATCTTCCACACCCTCACAGCACTTCTGTCAAACAGATCAAGGATGGATGTTTTGTAAAACAATACCTTGTTGTGCTAACCTACAGTAGGATGTTATTTAAGTGAACTTGATCTAGAGGCAGTAGAGTGGGGCTTTTGGTAAACCAGTTCGTGTTGGGGGATTTATTTGTCAAATCTAATTAATAACATTCTTCCCGGCTACTTAACTTTTTCGTTTTCAGCCCCTCTGTACACTTTTATGTTAAGGCTAAAGTTGGTTTTGATAGAGATATTTTGTTTTTGATTCCTGAGCTACATCGCCTAAATAACTGCTGGTAAATCTCAAGATAGCTTCAAGGATTACTCTCACATTGTGTAGTCTTGTTTATGTTCTCCCTTCACATTAAAAAAGATATTTTTGTAAATAACAGTTTGCAAAAGGGGCAATTTTTATCATTAAGTTTGCCATACTAATATAATACTATCGCTCATCATTGTTTTTAAAGTAGGTTCAACTAATTTTGCTGGATGAAGGCTGGTACAAATCCTACTTGATTTTAGATGATTCTTTAAAGCAATCAACCAGGTTTGGATGCAATAGTTTTAGAAAACTTATTTATAATAACACTAGGTATCATGAAAATAATTAAAACCACACATAATCTATGACCTCTTGTAAAAACAGGTTAACATTATTCACTAGGGACATAATAAGGATGAAGATCATTGTAAACACTAAAATCGTATACAAGTTGAAGAGCTAGAATTTTCAAATTTTACCGAACAAAATATTAAAGTATGGAATACTTACCCTAAACATGTAGTTACAAAATTCTGAATATGCTTCTGAGATGCGTTTGTTTTTTGTTCCAATCATCTCTACTACCAATCGGAAAATGTCCACAATAACAGCAATAGACGGCTCGCCTACATCGTAAATATGTTTCCCTTTAAAAGCAGGTGACTTTAATTTGTCGATTATCTTGGCAAGAGCGTACAAACCGCCTTGATAAGGAGCTTTTCCTTCTTTACAAACTGATACAATAGCTGCGATACTATCCTCACTCAATTGTTCTTTCACCTTTGCACTGATCTATAAACACAATAAGCAGGTGAGTATTAGTAGCTGTTTAAAACTATATCATGAGCTAGTTTTTTGTTTGTTTTATATGTGCTATCAAGCAGGTGAGTAATAGCATAATAGTAAGTATGCCTATCTGTTTACGACTATATTATGAACTATTTTTATTTTGAATATCTAATCTTTTTTAAGAAGTTGGCAGCCTCATTTGACCTTTAAGCATTTTCTCGCCAGACCTTAAATGACTGTATATGGAACATATCACGGTTGAGAGGTGAGACAGTACAATTAACTGTGTAAATAAATTTAAAGTGGAAGCAGTGAGTCACAAACCCACAATCGCTGCCTTGGTAGCCCTGAGTCACGAACCCACGATCGATGCCTCGGTAGCACTGAGACACCAACCTACGATCGCTGACTCGGTAGCACTGAGTCACAAACCCACGATCATTGCCTCAGTAGCACTGAGTTACAAACCCACGATCATTGCCTCAGTAGCACTGAGTCACGAACCCACGATCATTGCCTCAGTAGCACTGAGTCACGAACCCACGATCATTGCCTCAGTAGCACTGAGTTACAAACCCACGATCGCTGCCTCAGTAGCACTGAGTTACAAACCCACGATCGCTGCCTCAGTAGCACTGAGTCACAAACCCACGATCGCTGCCTCAGTAGCACTGAGTCACAAACCCACGATCGCTGCCTCAGTAGCACTGAGTCACAAACCCACGATCGCTGCCTCAGTGGCACTGAGTTACAAACCCACGATCCCTGCCTCGGTAGCCCTGAGTCACAAACCCAGGATCGCTGCCTCGGTAGCACTGAGGCACCAACCTACGATTGCTGACTCGGTAGCACTGAGTCACAAACCCACGATCATTGCCTCAGTAGCACTGAGTTACAAACCCACGATCATTGCCTCAATAGCACTGAGTAACGAACCCACGATCATTACCTCGGTAGCACTGAGTCACAAATCCACGATCATTGCCTCAGTAGCACTGAGTTACAAACCCACGATCGCTGCCTCAGTAGCACTGAGTTACAAACCCACGATCGCTGCCTCAGTAGCACTGAGTCACAAACCCACGATCGCTGCCTCAGTAGCACTGAGTTACAAACAAACGATCATTGTCTCAGTAGCACTGAGTCAAGAACCCACGATCATTGCCTCGGTAGCACTGAGTCACGATCCCACGATCATTGCCCCAGTAGCACTGAGTTACAAACCCACGATCCCTGCCTCAGTAGCACTGAGTTACAAACCCACGATCGTTGCCTCAGTAGCACTGAGTCACAAACCCACGATCGCTGCCTCAGTAGCACTGAGTCACGAACCGACGATCATTGCCTCAGTAGCACTGAGTTACATATTTTATTTGCACATAACATTCTTCACATGTGTTGGTACATATAGAATAGGTGCAGTATCAGAGTTAAATTATCAGAATATAAAAGATAAAATACTAATCAAGAAGATAACGTAAATTAACAAAATTGAATGATAAAACTATTCTAAACTAAAGGGGTATTGTGAAAATCTGCAATTATATAAAAGGTTCTGTCAAGTAAGTGTTCACCTATTTTATTTTTAAAATTATTTTCACTTAACAATTTATAGTTTGCAGGCAGCACATTGTACAGCCTCAGCCCAGCATATAGTAGACTTTTTTCATAAAGGGAAAACTGGTATAATGCCCTTTTAAAAAACTAATTTTTAAACTGTAAATAATTGTAAACAAAAACATTGCATGCAGAGAACTATTAATGGGCATGTTAAAAACTAACTAGGCAAACATCACAACCTCATTTTGGTATCTTCTATCTATATATTAATAGGCAAGCATGTTTCTTTTAAACCTTTTTTCTCAGCTCGTGTGCATCGCAGGGAAAATCTACGCATACTGTTGGAAAGATATTTTCCTGTAGATGTGCAGAATGCCTTTATAAATTAAAATAGGCTCAAAAAAATTTAAATAAGCACAGAAAATTAATTTAAAATTTTGAAAAATTAACATGGATCTTATGGGTTTTGATGGTGTCATTGGAAAGAGCGTAACTTGAAGTTGTGCAGGAATCTTTCTTTTTAGGGAAATAATTAGAGAATGAGGCCCTGGGGCCCTTTAAAGTTTCATATTTCTCCATAAGATTAACATGGGAAAAAAACATTGTTATGAAACTCTAGCTGCTGTCAGATATTAAAAGTGAGAAGAAGAACATGTGGTAAACAGTTAACAAGTTTGCTAATTTAACAGTTTGCTACAAACATTTACTGACTTGGTTGAAATGAAATATTTACTATTTGAATTTGGGTTGGCGTAAATATTAAAATGGAGAAAAGCGAGAGAGCCTGGGTAAATTAATATACTAAAAAGAAAACTGAATTAACACTGTGCTGCATTTATTAGTAATCATTGAAAGAGCCGATTTTCAAACTATGGAAACATAGGACAGTCATAGAACACCACCAAGGAGAAGAAATAGAAATAATGAAATAATGTTTCTTTATATATATATTCGTTATTATGGACAACCTAATACAGCTATGAGTAAAGCCCCGTTCACACGGGGCGAGTTTACAAGCTACAAGCCGGTTTTTTACACGCAGCTAGTAAAATAGTTCAGTGTGAACGACGTACTCGCTCAAAAGCTGCTTGCAAAAAAGCTCTGGAAAAAGTTGACGCAGCCGCTACTTTACACGCCAGCTTTTGAGCGAGTAGGTGTGTAAAGTAGCCCAGTGTGAACACAGTTGCTTGTGCTTGTGCGCATGTTATTCGAAGATGTCGGAGGATTCAGTTCAAGCCAGCTACTGAGCGAGTGGAAAAAACATCGTGTGAACGACTACAAGCGCACTCGCCAACTCGCCGGCTTCTTACACGCCGGCGAGTAGCGCGTAAACTCGCCCCGTGTGAACGAGGCTTAAGGCTATTTGTAGAAAACACTAAAAAACAAGATTAGCTTTTTAAAAATGATAAGATATTTACAAGAAATGTTGATTATATCGATCTGTTATGTACATCTTGACTATTTCCATAATCTTTGAGTCGAATCTTTTAAAGTCATAAGAAATTATGACTGTTATTCGTTTTAAAATAACATCTGTAATACACAGCAATTGCTCGAATTCGAGCAATAGGGACACTAGTTTAAAAAAACTGGACTGATACAATAGTTCCACAGCCTAACAAAACTCATAATAAATAGTAGAGCTAATGAATCAAACTGATAAGAGTAGACTATATTTCCTGAAAATTGAAACCTTGCATACCAATTGAATAACAATACCTTGGAAGAACTGTTGAAGGTTTTTAACAGTTGGAGAAAGTTTTGAGCTTCTTCTGAGCCACATTTCTTTGGCATTGCTTCAGCTACCAACAGCAAAATGATCAGCTGGTAAACAACACCATAAGACTCCAACTGTTTCCCAGACTTGAGCACTGCCTCCAGATCAACAGTTTTAACACCCGTTTGGAGAATACTGAACACTTCCCTGGAGAAATCTGTTTCTGTTACATTATCTCCAGATTTTTCAAGATCTGTTGGCAAACAAATATACACATTTCTCACTAAATGATGAGTGGTCAAGCATTGTAAGGTTGCAGGTTTGATTCACAGATGAAATGTGTACAGTAGTGGTAAGACGTTTTGGTAAATGTAACGTACCATCGGTACTTTATTTCAATATTTAGGATAGGCTACGTAATTTTTCAAACAAATTTTTTTAAATTTTTAAAACAAAATAAAAATATCAATATTTCAATTTTACAGTATTTTGCATTAGTATAGGTTGGTACAAAACTTAAGGGATTAAGAAAACAGAACTTATTTGTACACTTAAATAACCAAACACTAAACACATTCAAATCAAAATAATATATAATGTAGCAGAAGTGTTAAAAATATTTGATGAAATTGGTGATGTGTCGATACCAAAATGTATCGATTCTCAATACAGATACCTAAACAAAATCTCAATACCAATACCATTTTTTAAATAGTTTTACCAAGTTTTGTGAATGGATTGGTTGAACCCACAACCCCATTTGGAATGGATAAATACAACAACCCCTGTCTTTTTTCTTTCCATTAAGTATTTTTGAGGTAGATTAGGGTAATGCGTATTACGGAATGTGAGCGTGTATGCGCAAACGCCAGTTTCCTGTTGCTGATTATTTCAATAGCATAAATCTACATACCAAGGCTCCTTTTTTTTCTTTTTTTTCATGCAGTATTGTCCTTTTGTATATAGGTTTGAATATCTTTTCCTATTCTTAGGCCTATTTTGATTAAAAGTTGTAGTTCATCATGATAATTGAATCTCGGATTTACATTACCTCGACATTTTATTACATAGATGTAGTAATTTATCTATTAGAATTATAATAGTGATAACACAAAAGCAGTGTTGGGGAAGCTACTTTTAAAATGTAGCTAGCTACAACTACTGCTACATTTCCAAAAAAGTAGCTTAGCTACAGCTACAGCTACAGTTCCGAAAAAGTAGCTAGCTACAACTACAGCTACAATGAAATGTAGCTACAGCTACAATTTTAGCTACTTTTCCAAAGACGTTACTTTTTATTCCACGCACATTAGGTAAATGTAAAATTAATTGCAACTACATTTTTATTGAACAAACATTTAAACAAAAAATGTCAGTATTGTATCATTGACTATAAATACCTACAGGTATATATAGTCAATGATTGTATCTAACATTACTTGGAAAACAAATTATTCCTAGATTGTATTTAATTTGTTGGCATTACAAACCTAACATTACAACAACAGAACCAAATAGTTGGGTGTCCCATCATATTTAGTAGGCTACTTATTTTTAAATATTGCATTATTTTTTAGGCATCTTAAATGTAAATTTCATTAAGTTCAAAGGGCATACAACCAAACTATATTTTAAAAGCTAATTTTATTTCTTTAATATAGATTCATTTATAGATGTCTTATATCAACAATTAAGACCAATAAAACTGTAAAACGATTATTTAAAAATACTTTTAGCGAATTTCCCTATAGGGAAGTAGCTATTACCGTAGGTGGCACGGTAAGACCTAGACCCGGGACCGATTTACTTTTTCATTTTGATGTCCCCAGAGGCCAAAAACACCATTCGTTCAAATTTTTATATATGTATATATATATATAGACTTATATATATATATATATATACGTCCGTGAACGCGATAACTTGAGTAATTTTTGTCCGATTTTGATGAAATTTGGTTTAAAGGTGTAAAGCGGGATAAACTTGAATGAGTTCGCGAACCAGCATGATCGGACCATGGGAACGGGGCTTTACGGGGGGTTTTATGGGGTAAAAATTGGTTTTTCTCACTTTTGACCCTCAAAACACAAAATTTCCCAATTTCTTGTTAGACCTTTTTAAAGAGCTTAAAAAAACAAATAATTTAGTATATAAAAGATTTTTTGTTCGATTATTAGTAACGGAGAAAATTAAAAAAATTGTAAATTTAAAATTCCCATGTTATTATTATGGGGAATATTGTCAAATGTTGTAGTTTGCTTGTTAATGGATATATTTTGATCAAACTTGGCAAATTTATTTATTTTGTACTATGCTATCAATATTTTACTCAAAAACACACTTTATTAGTTTCCTTGTAGCAGCAAACCTAGGTACTCGTTAAAATATATTTAACTGAAAATCAATTCAGACAAATGGAAATTCGCTTAGTCGGCAGGTTTGCTGCGGCGGGGGTATTTTTGTGTTACAGAGCCTAGACTACTGAAATTGGAGTTTAATGCCTTTCTTTACTTTTAAAGTTAAAAACGACATTGCTATAACTTTTAACCATAGTGATAAGTTACTTTTTCTATGAATAACACTTTTCAATGTCAAAAAATCGTCCTTTATTGTCATTATGTATAGGGCAAATTGTGCTTCAACCTAGTTGGTACAGAAAACAGTATTCAGCACCTTATTCTGAAATCGGCTTTTAATTTAAACATGTTGAAATTTGTAAAGTAAAAATAAAACGTAGGCATAGTTGGCTATGTAACAAGTTGGCTATAGTAGGCTTGTTCTTGCAAGGACTAAACAGATATATTCCTAATAATTGAACTTGGAACTTGGTATTCGTCTTAAACCATAGCATAGCCTAGGAATTACAAGAGCTGTTAGAAGGAGCAAACTATGCTATTTTTTCAATGCAAGTTTCATCTTATATGGAGATTTTTTCTTTACAATTAACATTTAGTCTAGGCATATCTTAAAACACATCAGGTAATTTCCTCTTTGTTAATTTAGTAAACCTTTGAAAAATCTTCGTAATCTAACCAAGGAAGGGCTTGTGATGAACCACAATCAACAGCTGAAGCAAAGGTTGATAGACCAGCTTTCTCATTTTTTTAAGGTTTAGTGTTGGTTTCCATTAAAACCCAAGTTGAAACACTATCGATATAATAAAGAAACTAAATTTATTACTAATTCCCCTGTCAATCACTTGCAAGCATTCAATAGCTTCTCTTGTTACCGGTAACGTTTAAAAGTCGTCTGCATCTAGCGATTTTATTTAATCTGACAGGACAGTAATCATAGAGTAGTAAATTAAGGAAATGAGAGCCAAAAATGTGGATAACACTAATTTAATGGCCTCCATGTCCACACAACGTTGTATAGGGAATGAAACGGCTGCAACCAGCTGTATGAAGCCAAGAAAGTAGGCCTAATTTTTTTGAAAATCTCAGTTTGAAAGGTTTCACGTAAGGTTGAGGTTATGATAAAAATCACTATCCCAAACAATGTTAATGTAGCGAGAAAAGTAGCTAAAATTCCGCTACAACTACTTTAAAAATGTAGCTAGCTACAGCTAAAGCTACAAAATCTTAAAAGTAGCGTAGTTACAGCTAACGCTACAAAAAAAGTAGCGCGCTACTGTAGCGTCGCTACTTGTAGCGCGCTACTTCCCAACACTGCACAAAAGTAATATAGGTAGTTAATAGCTAATAGCAATATATTTATGTCACAATTTAATGTAATTGATACATCTATGTATTTGTTATAGTATAGTATTTTCACTTGATGTATGCGACTCAGTCCCTGCACTCAAGCTTTGCTTTGCAAGGACCTAATTTCAGAGTATTTGATGTAAAAATTATATGTAATGTTTCTTTTCCTGAATAAATTGAATTGAATTGAATTGAACTAGCCATTTTCCGGCCAAGAAACGTCATCGTCGTGCGATCGTGGCAATATCGGTAATTTCCGGCATTATCGGTACCAAAGGTACCGGTACCGACATTTCACCACTGGTTCTCGGTTCCGGTTCTTTTGCCAAGAACCAGCGGAAGGTGAAGTACTGATCCATCACTACTTTTAACCCAATAAGAACTATTGGGTAGTTGTAATGACATTCTAAAATAATTGTCAAATTGTATGGTCAAGGCTTTTAGATTAAGTTGCATAACCGATTTTGTATGCATTGACACTATTCATGTATGTAAAATGTATAAAGTGAATAAAGATAATTTGATTTGATTCGATTTGATTTGACTCATCTGTCGGCTATTCCAAACATCTGTTGTTAGTACTATTAATTGGCGAATGTTTTCATGTCCATATGTATTGTGTAAGAGTTTGTAACGACGCTTCATAACCCCAGAGATGGGGATTTTTTTAAACTGCTTGGTATTCAGCCTGAGAATGAACCTTGATGTACAAAACCATAGTTGACGGACAAAAACCGGATCATTTGACAGTACAACAAGTTCAATCTTCAAATTTGCATAAACTAGATCTAGAGGCTATACATGTTAAAAAAAAAAAAAACACAATCAATAATACCATATTAATAATCTCATGTCTGTTTAAATTATGTGTTTTTAAATGTTACAATCATAAGAAAGTAGGAAAGAAATCGATTAAAGAATGAACGTGAAAAAAAATAGTCCTATAAAATATATAATCATCTTCTAAAGGCTTTTTAAAAACATATTTTAAAATTGCTAATACATTTTTTTAAATATTCTGTGCTTCAGCCTGATATGTTTTTCAGATGAAATCCATTCAATATAGAAAGTGTTTAATTTTCCAGAAGAAACTTATTTTATTTTGTAGGGCTGAAAAATGTAAGCCATGACAATACAGGATTACAATGTTTTACTTATCAAACAAATGTAAGCCAAATCTATACTCACTCTTCAATATGGGTTTTAAAACTGACAATTTCTTCATTACTGGGCAGTTCAGCATCTCTTTGGCAACTGCCAAACCCTTTTCCCCCGATGGGAGCAAAAAAGGAATTGTCAGAATGAGGATCAACGAAGAGTCTACGGCCATATTCATGAGTCTGTCAAGCGCTACTGGTCCAAGGAACTTGTTGTTGAGCCAGCTGTGAGTAACTACCTTGATCAGCTGATTTAATAGCTGATCTTTAGGTAAACAATTAGCCAAATCCAGTGCTGCTTTTACAACTTTTGAGCTTTCATCAGACAATCGAGAAGAAAGAGTTTCTTGCACCCATTCTTCCTGTTAAAAGGATAAATAGGAAATAAGTTTTAACAATTCTAAAATAAACAAACAACAAATGTATTATATTAGGATTAAATTTTGCTATATACAATATTTTGCTATGTACAATATTTTGCTAGCAATTGAGGAAATGCCAGTTTCGCAGAACCATAAACGTTAAGGGCCTACTTAACACTGAGGCTATCTGAAATCACAACGTTAACCGTTGATTTAAAACCTTACACCAGATGTGTGAACAAAGATATCACTAATTAGTTATATCTTCAATTTAGTCCCCAACACAAAACTATGTACCTTTAACATGACTATTTTGTTCAATAATTTAGAGCTTTAAAATCCACAAGTCTACGGGTCTTTACGTAGCTAAAAACATGGCTAATAATGACAATATATCTGGAGGCAAGCCTTTTATTACTGCTAGGCTAAAACACACTGTTAAAGTTAAATTTAAATAAAGTGAATCCAACCATTCTATAAGTTTATAAACATATCTCCAAAACATTAATAATCTTCTACTATAGGTTCTCAAAACTTTAAATTACCTTCAGGAATTCCTGGTGAGATTTGATGTACTGAATTGCTTCCAGTCGCACTTTGGATGACGGATGGTTCAGTTTTTGGAACAGGTCATTCTTTTCGGACAGACCAGGGACAATGGAGATCAAGTTGGAATTTGTTTTCACAATTTTGTCGAATGCTTCCGGATAGGATTTCTCCAGCTGATGAACTGTGTTATGGAACCATTTATTGCCTGTGAGAGGTTTCTCTGCGAACAGCCTGAAAAAAGTCAAATACAAAATATCTAGTGTAAGATTTGTGTATCAAACTTCTGAAGTGTTGAATTATAAATTGACTTTACACTTTAGTTTTACTTACAATCACTTTTTCTAAGGTATCAATTATCAATCAATTATTTAAGTTGGGGACGCCACTATGTTCGTAATTGAACCCAAATATGAGTGCGATCTTGTAGTCTTGTTAGTGACTAAGGCCGACATGTTCCTTAGACACAGCTGTTAATTAATAGCCTATTAGTCCATACAGCCAATGGTAACTAAGGGAACTACAGTTTATAGTGGAATCTGAAACACATTTTTTTCCTTGTAATTAACTAATTGGTCTAATTATCAGGATAGTTGTAGTACTCCATAGTTCGGACGTTAATTCACACCAGGGAGCATCACATCCATAGTGCATGCCTGTCCACAATTTGTGACCTCCTAGTAGCTGGATTACAGGACCACGCCATCGTCCCAGTCGTAGAGTAATATCAATAACTCAACTGCCTGTCAGTAGAGACCACTGGTCTGAGCTGTGATCTAAATACAGTGAAGAGCGATTACAGATTAGGTCACTAGGAAACTTTGATTACTATGTTGTAGATTGTATTTGGTTATTTCAAGTAGTATTTAGTTTAAAATTAACTACAGTTCAAGTATAATTCACACTCAAAAAGCACATACTTGAACAAACTGCCTGCTTCATCCCCGCTGAATGACAGATTCTCCAGCATTTTGGACACAAAGTCCTGCAGTTGTAGTTGATCGTTGTCTGTGTTTTTTACAGCCGTCAGACATTCGGAGACAAAGGCTTTGACCAATGGGAAGACAACGACTCCTGAAGCTGCCAGGTCTGTGAGAGCAGGAAAGAACCAGTCGGACGACGCGAGATGCACAACGGTTGGCAATGCTGCAGCCAGTTGACCACACTGGGACATTACCACAAGGACCAGAGCTGCCTCGCTGCGGAGTCCTGGTTGATTACTCTGAGACAAAAATTTAATGATTGGTTGGCTTTTTTCAAGTCAAATACTACAGCATTAACCTGTAATATTTAAAACGTATTTAGACATGTATCCAAGTCTAAGTGAGTGGTTCATACATTAGTGTAACCATACTTTTTGATGTGATACAGTAAAAACCCCTCATATCCAACCACCATCGGTCTGAGCCCCTGGCAAGGTAAACCAACCCTTTATAAAAACGATAATTTATACGATGTTTATATTTAATAAATGTCGTCAACAATAGTGTTTGAGTTTTTTTGTAAATTAACCAACAGAAAATGCTACTATTAAGTTATTAGGTAATTAATATATCAATATTATGATGTAGGCTAATCTAAATTTAATGAAAGATGGAGGTAAAAATTAATACAAATAAATTTGCTTTGAAGATTATTTTACCTTAAAATAGTCTGCAATTTTCTGATCAATTTTCTTGTCCATTGATTTTTTTTGTAATTACACAACAATGAATTCACATGTTTATATTAGCTTCCGAGAAGTGGCCAGATAAACTGAAGTCAAACCGAGGCCGGATATTAGAGGTTCTACTGTAGTATTATATTAAGTGCTACAACTCCTTTGATACATTTTTTTTTAAAAAGGTCTACCTTTACCATACAAGAAGGATTGCAAATTAAATATCCATTAAATTTGTTTAGAAATAATAACTCATTTGATTCTTTTCACATAAACAGCTAAAAAGGAAACATGTATAACTTTTTTATTTTGTATATTTCACACTATTAGATTGTAATAGTTTTTTAATGGATCGGTCCAACCATTGGTGCTACCAAACACTGAAATTTTATTACACAGCATCATTATTAGTAGTTCGATGATAAATGACATTCTAATGGACTCAGGTCCTGAAATGATCTAGCTTGGGATTAAACCAGCAAGAAATGTAGTTTGTGTTCATTTAGAGTTCCAGTTAAGCGGCCCACACACTAGCGCGCATGTGCCTTCCGTGGCTCGTGATGAGGTGACTGCGAGCGGCTCTAGGCACATGTGCGATTCAAATGGTAACCACACACTACAGACACATGCGCGCGCACCACCGTCTTTGACGATGATAATAGTGGGCTATAACAGCATATCCAACAGTTATATTGAAACCATTCTAATAAACTAAATTGTATCTTCACCATGTTATTTTTTACTATTTATTTTGTAGTTTGAAGTTTATTTTTTTTTTTTACAAGGACATTTTTTTTTAATTGCAAGCAAAACTGGACTAAAATAGACTTAAGAGTATGAGGGTTATAGACTTATATTTAATTAGTTTAATTAGTTCTAATTAATTGGTTCACATCGTTATGAAGCTCTCAAAGAGTTAATTTTAGTCTTCACAAACTAAATCGTCAGTGTCAGGAAACACTCCTTTGCATTTTGTTATCAATAGCTACTTAATTTCTTTTCTCATTTATTTGTTTGAATAGTTAACACTTTTCACGTCCCAATAACTGTAAAGCTCAATAAACTCAGACCAAAACTTTCTTAAGTCATTAAAGGACATCTTAACCACACAACAAAGAAGTCCATAACCAAACAAGGACAAATAAAATACAACACTTGGAGCAGTGAATGTTACACGGTGCCACGCAGGCGCAGACCTTGTAGTTCCTTATTTACAGTATATGCAGCTATGGTTTTTACTGCTAGTTCGTGAACACTGAACATGTGCCTCGGTTTCCCACAGACTGGCACGCATCGTAACAAGCTCGCGCACTTGTGACGATGCTCGAAGGTCCGGCGGCAGGCACCAGGCACCTCGCATGCGCGTCGTGAGCATGGGCACATTTACCCACCCATTGAGGCGCATGTGCGTCGAGCTGTTCGCGCGTCACATGTGCGCGCACAAGCGCCCCAGTGTGTGGGCCGCTTTAGTCACAAACATTACTGAACAAAGATTATACCAAATATCGCACAACTCATGTATTTGTTGAGACAGTTATTTCCAAGCAGCAGGTACACTAGTTAAGATGAATTTACAAAACACGTATGTAACGGTGAAGATACTGGAAAAACATTTAACTAATAAGAATAAGGAATCTTTAACCTTATTTCACAAAATATTTTGATTATATCTTGGTTACATACCTACTTATTATATTATATTTATATATTGGGGGAGCAAGCTGGTCTAGAGGTTAGAGCGTGGGACTTCAGTCCCTAAGGTCCTGGGTTCAAATCCCGCCAAATCCCCAATGGATTTTATCTAAGTGATACTGTCGCAACCCCTAGGTCTAGCCTGAAGTAATGTGAAAAACAATCCCAGGTTCCTGCCTAGCCTCTTAGGACAAAAAAAATATTATATTGCCAATTTTGTTTTCACAGTTTATTTTTAACTCCCTGCTTACTACAATGTCACACAACACAATATTACAAGACTACACTAGGCCTATTATAAACCTTCATGAATGTAGCTTGTGGCAGTTTTAAAAGTTATAGTTGTGACTGAAAAACAGGTCTAATCAGACTCTATTAATTTTACTCAGAACGTGGAACAGTTTATACGCACTTACTTTGGCAACTTTATAGAACAGCTCATTGAATATGCCAGCAGTGAGATGAATCTTGGTGACCAGGTGCCCGAGAATCATGTAGGATGAAGCAGTGAAATCCAAATGGGAGGAACTGAGCCCAGCGATCAGTGACGGTAGCAAATGAGTTACTTGAACCTCAGAAACCTGTGAAAGAGAAAATATTTTAATTTGATTACAAAGTAGACTCTTGATGATTCAAAGTTGGTGGGTTATACTATATATATTTTCCTACAGTCACCTGACAAAGTGGGGGCTTTCTTGCACTGATTATAGAACAGAAAGTTGCTAATTGCTGTGTTTACTTACTTTTGCCACACTCTTTTTTTTTGCCGCACACCAGTATTCCAACCAAACAACACAAAACAGCGCGCTTTTATTATGCATATAATCCATGTACGCTTGAAAATAGATTGGCAACACTTAAAAATACTACGACTACAATCAGCTGGTGCAGTTGTTTCTCATTTTGTCCAACGCTTGGATTTAACGTAACCTAAATCGTGTTGTTTACTGTTTGAAAGACTAATTATTTCTACTATTTGTTACCCACGGGCTTCACCCCGTTTGACTTCATAAGTATTAATAAAACTATCGATTGGTTAAGTTAAGCTGAAATAAACTAAACATAATACAGTAATACAAACTAGATAATCACACCTGATTTTAATAAGGTAATTAATTGAAAGAATAACATACAAATAAGTACAGCTGAGGTATTTTTAGCATTAGGTATATGGAAAGTTCCCTTTAGAACGGAATTACGACCTTAAAGGGAAATTTATACAAAAATGGATAGTTTTGTGCAAGGTTTCTTGTCATGACGAACATTTGAAGTATATGGTTTATGGGGGTGTGACTTGTAGTTTTCTCAAAAGTTCATGGGCACTTTGGGATGTATATATGGACTAGCTGAACCCGACGGACGTTGTCTTGCCTTTGACTATTTATAATTTAAGTACCGTAACGTTTAATTGTCTTATTGTATATGAAGTGCTTATAACTAAATTAAAATACGTACGACAACTAATGAAACACATATAGTACAAAGGATAACCGATTCTTTATTATTGCTCTTATATTAATGCTAGGTTATGCTAGCTTAATTATTAATGGTTATTTTCATTCATGGTTATTAATGACAGTATTTTCAAGACGATCTCGTTCGCATGGCTCAATCACGTCCTGGTTGAAGTTCGTTCGCTATGCTCACTCACCTTTAGGTTGGAGCTCGTTCGCTACCCTCACTCACCTTTGGGTTGGAGCTCGTTCGCTGCGCTCACTTGCCTTCAGGTTAGCTCGTTCGCTACGCTCACTTGCCTTCAGGTTAGATCGTTCACTACGCTAACTCGCCTCCAGGTTGAAGTTCGTTCGCTATGCTCACTCACCTTTTGGTTGCAAATTAGCTGTTGTCATAAATGTAAAAGAAATAATAGTGCTGCACCCTGTTGGTAATCCTTGTAACTTTAATGCTATTGAACATCATAGAACAGAACCAACTTGTTTAATTGAAACAGCTGTAAGATTCATTAATTCCATTTCTCATAAGGTTAACATGGGAAACTCCAGAGCCACTGGGGCGGAGCCGATTGGACGGATCACGAAATTGATGGTGTATAAACCTATTCCATGAAATTCTACACATATGTACCAAGTTTCGTGGCAATCGGTTCAGCGGTGTCTGAGTTTATCACTGCCAAATATATATATATATATACAGGGTGTTGAAAATGTCTGGAACCAACATTATATCTGGTGAGTGGTTAAAGAAAAACAACTGATATTTTGTGTACGGATATACTATGGTTTTACCTATCTTTTGGTGCCTTATGAAATTTTTTACCACTTATAGGGAACGTCCTGTGGAGGATGCAGTAAAAAGTTTTAATGGAAGCCTATGGTAAATGATACATCATTTTAAAGGCCATTTTTTTCTGAGTAAGGAGCCGCAAGTTTCATCTCAAAAGGACCACCCTAGCAAAAATGGCGACTGTTTGAAATTTAAAAACCCACTTATAGGGAACGTCCTGTGGAGGAGGCGGTAAAAGGTTTTAATGGAAGCCTATTGTAAATGATACATCATTTTAAAGGCCATTTTGTTCTGAGTAAGGAGCCGCAAGTTTCATCTCAAAAGGACCACCCTAGCGAAAATGGCGACTGTTTGAAATTTAAAAACATTGCTATTTAAATGGTCCGTATTTGTTTCCTTTAAATGCTATTACAAGCCAGTTACGAAGTACAGTAGTTTATAACGTGATAAACTGAAAAATGAATGGAAAAAAACATTTAACTAAATTGTTTGTGTTGTTTTACTAAACTTATTTTTAACATAAATACCAATTAAGCTTTCAATTATTTTCAAAAAATTCAAACAGTCGCAATTTTTGCTAGGGTGGACCTTTTGAGATGAAACTTGCGGCTCCTTACTCAGAACAAAATGGCCTTTAAAATGATGTATCATTTACCATAGGCTTTCATTAAAACTTTTTACTGCATCCTCCACAGGACGTTCCCTATAAGTGGTTTTTTAAATTTCAAACAGTCGCCATTTTTGCTAGGGTGGTCCTTTTGAGATGAAACTTGCAACTCCTTACTCAGAAAAAAATGGCCTTTAAAATGATGTATCATTTACTATAGGCTTCCATTAAAACTTTTTACTGCATCCTCCACAGGACGTTCCCTATAAGTGGTAAAAAATATCATAAGGCACCAAAAGATAGGTAAAACCATAGTATATCCGTACACAAAATATCAGTTGTTTTTCTTTAACCACTCACCAGATATAATGTTGGTTCCAGACATTTTCAAAACCCTGTATATACAAACATCCTCTTTTATACTTATAGATGTTCTATAGTAACTGTAGGAAAAATATTATCCACACACTCCTGCGGCTTGTGCCTAAACATTTCTCTCGTGGTTACACAAATAACTATTGATTTATTGAGAGTTTGATTTATCAGGAGAAAAATTTGCAATTCAAATTACAAAGAGATTGTTATTTTAAATAATGTAGTCCTATTAGTAAGGTACTTGATATCTATATATAAAACCAAATTACCCATGAACTTTTGAGAAAACTACAAGTAACACCCCCATAAACCATATACTTAAAATGTTCGTCATGACGAGAAACCTTGCGCAAAATTATCCATTATGTCATAAATTACCCTTTAAGGTCGTAATTCCTTTCTAAAGGGAACTTTTCATATACCTAATGTTAAAAATACCTCAGCTGTACTTATTTGTTTGTTATTCTTTCAATTTATTACCTTATTAAAATCAGGTGTGATTATTTGTTTCTTTTACTGTATTTTGATTATTTCAGGTTAACTTAACCAATCAATAGTTTTATTAATACTTATGATGTCAAACGGGGCGAAGCCCGTGGGTAACAGCATAGATAAAACATACTCCCTTAGTAGATTTCTCATCCTTATGGAACAGCTGAAGACAATTTTATTGTTAGTTCATGTACGGTTTATGTAGAGGTCGTGTTTTGTTTACAATTTGTTTCCCGTTATTACAGCCATTTAAAACCTCGTTTAACCAAATAATACGATCTAACCATAAACAATTCTTGTCCCCTAGTTATATAACCAAACAGTAAAGCACAAATCAAGAAATTAACCCTAAAATAATTGAAACAAAGTTTCATCGACACTAGCGCCTTTGTGTCACGTACATGAACTAGACACGAAAAACGTGATTCAAAATTTACAATGGGATGAGAAGTCTACTTGTGTTGGTTAGTCTATGGTAACAGCTAGTTACAATTAAACAGCTTATTTTAATTAGGTACTTCACAACAAACAACAGCTTACTTTTTTGAGTACAAGTTACAAAAAATCTGTTATTTTTGTTTATTATTTGGCTATTTTTATTCTTGCGTCATCATTCAAGACAAACTACTGTGCTAACAGGATGTATAGTTTCCCGTTATGTCAGGAAAGAATCCCTACCTTTGAATTATACTTGAATTACTTCCAAATAGGATGGACTGTACTCTGCTTGGACTTCGAAATACTGAATGCATCAAAATGCATGGTAAAACTTGGAAATATTAAGAGATTCTCCACGGATTAAGTTTTGATTTGAATTATCGCAGGTTTCAATTTGTCAAGTGTTTGAATTACCAAGAGTAAACTGTATCAATTTAGACTTGAACATTTTTGGGCAGAGTGAAAAAAATTGGAATAGCCTATTGGTAAAATTCTTCAGTGTGGCTTACTTAACTTGTCCTACTTAGTTAAATGTCATACCTGAAGAGACTGATCCAAAGCACCTATCACTGTTGTACAGTAAAAAGCAAACAGAGTTGTCAAACAGTAGCTTTTTTCTCCATGTACCTGTAATAACGGTTTGGTTTTAAAATATTCCTTGCCAATATTATTTCAGGAAAATGTTAGCTATATAACATAAGCACTTTCCGCAGATTAGCTGGGCTAGAAATTAGTTCTGCATACTTCAGTTTGAAATTGTAAACTTGAAGCTAAGACAGTCAATGAACATAAATAGGTCCAACATTGAATTCAGAAATATAGTAAATATACAGGTTTCTTGGTTAAAATAGTGATTTGAATAGAGATAAAAATGTAAAAATGGTATGACTCAATATTTCAACAATTTTTAATTAGCCATAAAAATCATTATTAAACGCAGTGCTCGATTTAGGGTGGAAAGTGGCGGGATGGAGTTTCGCTACCTCTCTTTCTGAAGGATAAAAATATTGGCATAAATAGGTTCTCGTCACATTAAATACAGTTCCGACACCTTATTTTTAACAAATCGAGCACTGATTAAACGTGATGTTTCTCAGGTATTCTACTTGAACAATTTAAGAGCATTTTAACACTGTAACACAGAGCAATAAGTTGTATAAATACTATAGGCCTACACCAAGTTTCATTCAAAACAGTGACAAAACATACCTGCACTGCCTGCAGTGGAAGATTGCAGATAAATTTGAAGAAAGAAGGATCAGAGGAAGCCCGAGAGAGCAAAAACTGTTTTGACATTGGAATTCCTTCCTTCTTCAAGGACTCCAGCCAAACCCATCGACTTCCCTTATCATGAAGGGGCAAAATTTGGACCATTCTCGCAAAAATGTTTGTGTCGTGATAAGGTAAAAAGAGCGCTACAACACTGTCTGTGTTGTATTGATGGATGTGATATCTGAAAAAAAAAATTCATAATACAAACTGAGTTATTCCAGAGCATGGAACATTAACATGGAACAAAAATAGCAGAACATGGGTCTCCAACCTTTTTTACACAAGGGCCGCACTGTCAATTTTCAAAGGAAAGGCGGGCCAGACCGTTTATTTCAGTGCAGAAGGGTAGCCACCTTTCCAATAACCCAAAATGAGGTAGTTTTCTTATTAAGAGCTCAGCAGTATAGTTTTACATTTTCTTGCTGGTTTTTTAGTTACTAATATATTACTTGTAGACTAACTAATATTCTGTACTTTTTGTGTGAACGATGTTGTGACCAATCAAAACAATAATTAACCTACCTCACAACTTTTTTTATGGGTACATAATTGTATTTCTCATATTTATAATTTGACATAACCTAAGTAGGTTCATGATTATTCTTAAACAAAGTTAAAATTGCATTTACAGTATATTTATTATGATATTATATTTCTTCTATAATGGTAGTTTAGTTTTTAAGTAGGGCTGATGAGAACACTGGTTAACACAACACCAAACATTTTACGATATTACGGTATTGCCGAGACCCCACGATATGCTCACGAGTGTTGCAGCGATCACAAGTGACGATCACAGTATCGCCGATACCCCAAATACTTACGGGTGTTGCCGCAGTCGTGAGTGACGATAAGGGTATCGACGAGACAGCAAGATACACTCACGAGTTTCCGTGACTTTGACGATCATCTGTGTATACATATTATAAAAATAATTATTTCTCATTAGGCCTTCGTGGGCCGCATAAAATCCATTCCGGATGTGGCCTGCGGGTAGGTTGGAGACTCCTGTTCCAAAGATAGGCCTATTTTGATTAACACAATACCAAATAAAAATTTCTTGAGCTTTGGCTCACTCTGCAAGAGTAAAAAAATTAAAAGGCTACACCAAATAAAAGGCTATCATAGATATAAATAAATGTTTATCAATCATCCAACTTCCAACACTTTGAACTATAATTTGTTTTCGTAAAAAAATACAACCGACTTCAAATGCTCTGAAAAGAATGAAATAATTTCAATAAAGTAATCTTTTGTATTAGTCAAACTCACGTATTTTAAGTCAGTATGATTCCCAATTGATTTTTAATGTAGCCTGGTAAGCAAACTTGTCCTGGTAGGCCTATATGTTATTCTTTGCTCTATGGCTATTTCATATTGAGGAAGTTTTGCAATTCACACAGTTCGCCTACCTAAAAGGCCTTTTATTTTTTCTGTACAGAAAAAATTTTGCTAATCTGGCACGTTTGGGACTTCGATGAATGAAGGATTACCAATGTCATCTAAAAAATTTGTTAATTGCAAGACTAGTGGGAACACTGTTAAATATCCTCATAAGGAAATCATATGCCCTTGAGCAATTATTTTGTATTTCATTGTGCTTTATCTTATTTAAATACTGCTGAAGTCTAATATATTAAAAATTATTAAGGTTTTCTTTTCCAAGTCGGTATGGGTCTTCTACCCAAACGATTTTCATAAGTTTAGTCTTAAACTAAAGGTATGCACACATCGGCATTCCTTTATCTGACGTATATTTCGAGTTATGCACAAAAACAACTTCCTCCCTGAACATTTCATGAGTTAAACTTGGTTTTTATTTTCTGAGTTTGTTTAGCTCTTCTTTTACCTATTTTGGGCTCAAATTAAACGTATGCACATACAGATTTGCCATTAAGCATTATAATTTATCTATCTACTGTATTACTCGACGATAAACAAAATTTTCTTTTCAAACTATTTCTTCCTTTAACCCTCCGAGTGTTAGCCTATTTGTCGACGCTTCGACACATAACACACTTTGTGTAGTGTTTTGTGTCGATGCTTCGACTCACAAACACTGTTTACGGCAAAGGCTCTATGACTGACAAAATCGGATTGAACTGGATCGAGTTAGGTATCGTTTTATTTGTCAGATTGTAAGCTTTCTCCGGAGGTCTGTCTCTAAGCGCTTTTTTTTTCTGGAGCCGATCATAATTGTAGCAGACAGCTGACGTGCGTATTTGTAAACAGCTTGGTTAACCTCGCACCTATGACTGATGTGTTTTATTACGTTTATCATTGTTTAGTGTTAAAAATCAAAAGTAGTGATATACGTGGTGCATTATAAGAAGATTTAAGTGATTTTGAAGGGCTGGTTGATGATCCTGAAGAAGTAGGTAGTGATATTGATGTAAATTATCAGCCAGATTCCTAGCTATGGTTAGGCTATGCATTCTTAGCTAAACGCTATGTACTGAAATCTGTTTTTTGCCCATAACTTATTTATTTGCAAATCTACTTCCTTATATTATTATATATTTGTAATCCTCATAAAATTTAGAACAAAGTGGCTATTTTCAAATATTTATAGGCCTATAATTTATACAATTTCATTGAGCGCGAACTTATTTTTTTTAATTTTCCAAAATATTTTTTTTAACTAAAAGATTTTTTTGAAACAAATTTTCCTTATGTTTTATGTATAATATTGCAGCCCATGATTTTCCAAACAAAATGGTATATAGAACAGTATAATTATCATTGTTTTTAAGCTTCTCAGATCCGTTTTAATAAAACCTTGCAAATGCGCAAAAAATAGGCAGACATTAAGGCCAAAACTAGGGACACTCGGAGGGTTAAAGATGTATTTCACCAGTTCTAATTAGAGTATCTTATAGGTTTTTGTCTAAGAACCTTCAGTGACATACCAGTATTCATTTGATCTTTAGATTATTTAGATCGGACGTATTTGAAGCACACTGCTGAATGACGAATCAACAATAATTATAAGTTAACTACTATATCTGCAATCAATTAATGATACATAACTCCAATTTTTATTTTAATAAGTTTATATGTCTTGGTTTTAAAATAGAAATAAATGCTTTCATTCGAGAAATTGATCGCAATAATCAGTTAAGAAAGACTGTATTACTCATTTAAAAATAGGTATTTACCTTCGTCTACAGCTCAAACTATTATAACTTGAGTTACGGCCGTTTCGGCATGATAATGCCATTGTGAGACGTAGAACATTCAGCTGAAATAGCGTCGTCGTAGTCAAAACACATAACACGAACAACATTTGACATTTAACGACAAATAACAGGCCTGTCGCACACTTGGTACCGGTTGACATTGCCGCGATCTGAACTGGATGCCGTACCGTGGGGCGACAGGCCTGTTATTCGTTGTATTTTCTTTAAATGTAAAATGTTGTTCGTGTTATGTGTTTTGACTATGACGACGCTACTTCAGCTGAATGTTCCGCGTCTGACAATGGCATAATGCCAAAACGGTTGTAACTCAAGTTATAACAGTTTGAGCTGTAGACGAAGGTTAATAACTATTTTTAATTACCATCACAACTCAGGGGCTAAAAATGGATTTTAATGTATTACACAAACAAAAAACATAAATTTGTTTTGATATGTTTTGATCTAAGAACCTTCAGGGAAATACCAGCTTTCATTTGAGTTATTGATTATTAAGATTGGACACGTATCTAAAGCACACTGCTGAATCACGATCAACCCAAATTGTTCCAACAACGGAGCTATTTATTATTGATTGATAGGTAAATTATATTGCTTGGAATCTTAACAGTAACTGTCGATTTCAACGAGTTTCGCCTAGTAAAATATTAAATGTAAAAGATTTTGATTTTAAACTCCTCCAAACTCTAAGTATAACTAATGTCTGTCGTTTAAGTCTGACATCTGCCAACCACTCCCGGCTCTGAAAAAATGTCATAAAATGATCTAAAACAGTAAGTTATACAACATTTTTTTTGACCAATGGGGTATTATTAAAAGTGGCTAAATTAATGTTTCACAGTGATTTGACGAATAAAATCTCCAGGATAAGGTAGGCCTAGTCCCTTTGTGGTAGCCCTTCATCAAAACAGAAATACCTAACTCAAAACTATTTTAGAAACCAGACATCACATCATGTCTTGAAAGATGTACATGTATTTATTTATTGATAAAGTGATGCAACGGAGAAGAATCATGTATATTGTTTGTGTATAATTTGCTACCGGTACTGCGTGAAAAAACCAACTAAGAAAATCTGTACAATTTTCTACTTACAATCCATAAATTTAGGCTTACTGCTTTTCAACCCTAAATGGAGCTTGTTCGTTAATAAACATCACAGTATCTCACCTTTGTATAAGCCATTCTAATGTTTTCTGGGCTCCTTTCAGGTTCACATAAGGAGACAGCAGAATGAGAAACCTATTGATAAGATTGTCAAGCTTATCATTAGCAAGCTTATCCTCTACAGCACGTTCCAAATGTTGACTTGTCTCATCAAACAATGTTCTCTCAAACTCTCCTAGTCGAGGGTCTATTGCTTTCAGCTCTTCTAATCCATTTGTTCCTGTGAAAGATGGAAACATGTTTTACAAGGCAGATAGTTAATATTCGACATCAGACAACATTTGCTATAGGCTAGTGTAACTTGAGTGCTAAGTTAAATCAAATATTGACAGGGTTATTTAAATATAAATAATTGTTTAGTTTTAAGGTTTAAAAAAGTAGGTAGGGCCTACCTAGGAAAAGACTTAAAGCATCTAAGTTTTATGAAACTATAAAACTTACAGTGCCCTTTAAAGGAATCACACCCAAGGTGTGTTGTGAAAGACATTTTTAAGAGCAATTGATTGAACTTTTGCTTAAAATTCAAGAATTTTGAGTTCAAAATATTTTGCTTAGAATTTGTTATGATTCTCTAGGTTAATAGATTAGTTTTACATAGTATACGGTAATTAAAACTATAATAGTGTTTTAGTTGACAGGTGTAATGAGAAATGGATATAAACAGTTTTAATCAGAATCAGGCACAACCAAACTTTACAACTTAGGTACCTATTTCATAAAATGTTGCTCGATCGATGTCTGCTGCATCTTTAGGGTCAAACAATAAAGACTGCTTCTTCTTTGTATGCACAAGAATTGAGGTTTGAGGAGCTGCTAGTCTCTTCAATTGCTCCGCAAGGGAAGTGCCAGCCATGGTGTTGACCTCTCCTGGGAAAATACAACAGTTCAACTTGAATATTTGTTGTCAAATTAGGTTAGAACTGACAAAATATAATGTGACCTGGCAATAAATGTCGACCTAACTTAAAAAAGTATGTAACATGTGTCAATTGCTAAATCAAATCCAATCATTTAATCAATACCTTCAATGGGTACCTACAATTATATTGGGATCGATTAGTAATAGTATGGACATATTATTAAAAATCAATTCAACTGGATACGCCAGCACCTCAGTTACTTTCTCAGACAGAAAAGTGCATTTTGTAGGGTAATGCACTGGGTGCAGAAGGTAATGCATTATTGCATTACCTTCATTGATCTCAGCAAAGCGTTTGACTGTGTCGACTATGATGTCCTGCTCTTATAAGTTGGATTTTATGGTGTCCAAATTCGTGCTTTAAAACTGCTGAAGCAGTTTTTAATCTTAGTAACCGAAGACAGATGGTTTGCAGTGGGGGTCGGTGGTCCACGGTTGCCTTAAGCAACTGTGGGGTACCACAAGGCTCAGTCCTGGGCCCTCTGCTCTTCTTAATCTCAATAAATGATCTTCCACCCAGTCTCAAATGTAACACATACCTTTGTGCTGATGACACAACTTTGCGTACACACAGCAGAGATTTAGAATCTCTTCAGCTTGAGGCAAAAAAACTCAGTAAACGTAGCAACAGAATGGTTCTCTACGAATAGCTTTTTGTTTAACAATGAGAAAACCCAAACTGTTGTCTTTGGACTTCTTAAAATCCCTGAAGTACAATGTGACAAGGTCAAAGTTGTTAAAAGTTTTTGGGTGTTTATGATGTGGATCAACTCCTGTCATGGTCATATCATGTTGAACATCTCTATACTAGACTAAGTGGATTGATGTTTCTTTTCAGAGAACTCAATGATGTAGTTCCTTTGGACTAAATAAAAACTACTTATTTTGCTCTTTTCTAGTCAGCCCTTAATTATGGAATAATCTTTAAGGACTGAAATTTCCCGAGAAGGTCCAATTTATTTATTTGTTTCCATTTTATGTGTATAAAAAAAAGTATGGAAGGGAAATGAGAGTGAGCCTAACCCTAACTTTAAAGTTTCTTAAGTTTAGGCCTACCTAACTTTTAATATAAAAGTAATACCATTTAGTATAAACTGACGTGTAGGCTACATACTCAATGATACTACTCTGAATTAAGAATTGTTAAGAGTTAAGTGTTGTAAACTTACCAAGACACAATAATAACCTAACCTCTGCTTATGTTGACTCCTAATTTGATTAAGGCTACTTAGGCCTACTTATGTATTTTTAACCCTTTGTAGTATTTAAATTTGCTTAAGAACAAAATACGTGTACTTATTGGTACTGCTTTATAATAACTTAAGTTATAAAATATGTTGTCATAACATTACGATTACAATAACCTTAAATAATTTATAAACATAACACTAACACAACCCGAACCCAGCTAACACATGGACTGATGGATGGACTTGTGATTCGATTCGCTACGCTACGCGACGCAATTCGATTGTGAATTGTGATTTGACAATTGTGTTGATTGTGACGATCAGCCGATCCAGTCCCATCCCATCCCAACTCACCGGAGGCACAATTTGTTTTTCAGGACAAATTTTGCCAACAGTGTCATTTAGAGGCTTCTGATTGACTATAACCATAACCATAGACTAACCACTATAACGAAGGTTTAGTAATTGAAAAATTATTTTTGTTCATAGAATAAAATTATAAATGCCTCAAATTCAATTTTATATTTTTTTATTATGAAATTAAACCGTCAGAACCTAACCAAACCAACCAAACGTGCTGACAATGAAAAAATCTAATGAATGTTTATTAATCGAAAAAATAGTTCTGTTCATAAAATAAAATTATAAATGCCTCAAATCCTATTTTATAATTTTTATTATAAAATTAAACTAACATAACCTAACCAAACTAACCAGACTTGCTAACAATGAAAAATCAAATGAAGGTTTAACCAAAAAATATTTCTGTTCATAAAATAAAACTATAAATGGGTCAAATTCAATTTCATAATGTTTTAATTATAAAATTAAACCGTCATAACCTAACCAAACCAACCAAACTTGTTGATAATGAAAAAAATCCAATACAAAAAAATAGTGCTACGGGTGGGACTTGAACCCGGGTCCTTCGGATTATCAGCCCAGCACTCTATCCACTACACCACCGAGGCCGATGGCATCAACCGTATCGTTGCTGTAATGATGTTCCCTCAGCCAATCAGAAGCCTCAAAAAATACTGTAGGCAACACTAGTCCTGAAATAAAAATTCAGCTCACCGGAGATAGTCGAAAAGAAACACGAGAATGAATTGAAATTGATTTTTTTTATGAACGAACAAAGCAAAAATGAATATAGCCATGATATAGCCATAGATAAAATATACTCCCTTAGTGTTGGTTAGTCTATGATATAGCTCAGAGTCAGAGAATGAAACGAGGAAACGAAACGACGCGATGGAATGGAATGGATTGAGTCACGGCCGCCTTTAACTCCATTCCATTCTCAGTTACCTTGTTCAATAATCCTTTGGTGCTATTAGATGACGACCGGTTTCGTGACGACAATCACATCATCGGGTCAATCCTCGTAGAACGATTCGTTATAATAAATACATAAAGTTTTTACCGAACACAAAACGAAAACACATTACATTTTACAAAATATTTACACACAGAAACCATCGCGATGCGTGCACCCTTATGTCGAGCCGGCCGCCAGTGGTCGCGGTCCCACCTCTAAAACCCACCTAAAACCCACTAAAAACCCACCTTAAACCCACTAAAAACCCACCTCTAAATTTCTGAAGTCTTCAAACAATGTTCCTGGTGCACTAGCTTTTCATCTTGGTGAAGCAACTGCGGAGACTGGGACGGGTGGCGTCGTCCTGTAATCCAGCTACAAGGAGGTCACGAATTGTGGATATTTATATTTATATAGGCATGCACTGTGGATGCGATACTCCCTGGTGTGGATTAATGTCCGCACGGGTGAGTACTACGACTATCCGCAGTACTATCTGATAATTAGACCAATTCGTATAATACCAAAGGCAAAAATGTGGTTCGGATTCCACTATAAACTGTAGGTCCCTTAGTTGCCATTAGCTGTATGGGCTATTAATTAACAGCTGTGTCTAAGGAATATGTCGGCCTTAGTCACTAACAAGGCTACAAGATCGTGCCACTCATCCTACACTCATGTCCATTCATACTTGGCTTAAAATTCCTACTTTGTATGGTCGCCATTTCATTGAAAAGTATTAAAGTATTAAAGAACAGGAGGCTACGTCGAAGGTTTCCTTAAGAGCTATTGGATGAATAAAACCTGAAGGAAATTAAATATTTTTATCTAAATTAACTATGTTACACAGAGTGTCTCAGGTATAGGCGAACCCTAGATGCTATTATTGTTATTTTCTTGTTTATTTTGTTAACACTTCTGTGAATAATGTCATCATTGAACTAGAAATAAATGCTGTAAAAAATGTCAACATTATGATTCCAATATAAGTTTATTTATTTATTTTACGAGCAACCCATTTTAACAAGATCATAAACCGATGATCGTTCTTTAATCAAATGCCATAGGGCAAAACCTAAGACTAAACCATCTCCAAATCAGGAAACTTGACTATTTTCACCACTAGCTTGAAAAGAGGTAAATAAGTTAGTATTTATTTACTATCAAAAACAATTTATAATATGTTTCAAATTAACTTTAAATACACAGTTTTTAATGTGCAATAAGTTAAATAAGTTTTTGATACAAGTCCTTGAAATAAAGGATACTCCAAATAGCCATTCCATTTATGTAAACCAAATACAGGCCTCTGGCCTACCATTGAGTTTGGATACTACAAGTAGACTTTCCATTTATGAGAGCTAGACGTACCATTAATGCAGACTTTGAATAGGTACTGCAAATAGGAATTCCATTAATGTCAACTAAAGCAGGGGTGCCCATCCCCCCCTAGACTCATGACGCACCCCCCCCCCCCCCCCAATTGAGCAACAGCCCCCCCCCCATAAATGATGTACACAACAAATGAGAAACATTATTCCCCCGCCCAGCACTATTTGTAAAAAGAAGTTTTATAATTTTGTTTAGATATTTAAAATTCAAACCCAGTTAATCTATATCAATAAAGTTATAGTTTTGTCTGTACATTGCTCAGAGTTATACATGTTTTGGGTTATTTATGTTTTATACATTGAAGAAGTTGAAACATGCCTTATCTCCATTTATGTCCGTCTGTCACGGCCCAGAAGGCATTTTATGCAGCCTACTCATGGCCTACTCTGAAGAAAACTAGAGTGCCGATTATGATTCTAATGGTTTAATTGTATCCACAGGATTGGCGAGAGAGACCTTATAGCCATTAAAATATGGCCTCACTATTTTGGAAATAAAATAACGGACGATAAAAAATACAATTTTGTGTGATTTTTCTAGTTTATTTTTTCCATGTTTACTACATACGTCATTAATTTATGAAATACTAATAATCTGTTAAGAGAACACGTCATATATGAAATTACGAACAGCTGTTTTGATAAAGATTCCTTTTCCTAGCTGTCACTGATATGTTTACATAAATGTTCTTTAAGAATACTGTGTAGGCCCTAACCATTTCCGATCACGTTTGTAAGCAAATCCAAAACCAAGTGAGATTAATAACCGTGTGGCTTTGGCTTACATAACGGTTTTGATTTATCACGAGTACTAATATGTAACTGTAAATTAAATTAAATAACTAGCCTCATCCAGGTCGGGAACCGGAGATTCTGTGTGTATCAAGTTGTACTTGAATTTTGATTACAGGGCAAAGACCGTGAATCAGTGTTGTACAGGACTAGAAAACTTATCTTTCTATATAAATAAAATTAGAGTTTTATAAGTCACCTCAATTTAAGGAATTTTTATTGCCACAGAATATCCATAACGAATTGTCAGTGTCTTTCTCGATATAACGATCCCCTCTCCCTTCCTTTAAAAACATCACAGCTCCTTTGATGAAAATGAAATGGAAACAACGTTTGCGCCAACAAAATCGTCTGCTCCGTTACACTTCTGTCTGTTGTGCGCTATGTTACAATACAACAGATTTCAGATTCAGATACAACAGCTGGGGAATGATGACGATATAATGCTTAGTACACTGTGATTGAGTGATAACCATGGTAACTTTAGTTAGGCTGTGATTGGCCAATGAGTAGGCCTAAATATGGCGACTTGTTGAATTTGTGTATGAATTGAAGAGAAACCTATTAATGAACAGAAGAACAAAGAAAGAGAATAACAAGATTGTTCTCGTTACATTCTTTTTAAAGAGTGTTATAATTATCTCCAAATCTAATTTTACACTTTTTTATTACTTAATATATCAATTCCTATGCACAGCACCTATCGGTAGCCTACCCGTCTATCATGAGCAGTACCTTATAACACTTTCTAAAGGTTCCTTTAATATTTACGTTATTGTTAGCAATGTAATGTTTGGCTAGTGATTAGTTGAGTTTGAGTTAGCTACAATTTTAAACGTTGCCGTTTGTACAACTGAACCAAGATAAATGATTTGAAATTTACAATAATAATAATTGTGCAATATTGAATTTCGTTTATAAAAATGTAAATCGTGACTTAATGGCTGTTTAGAGCGTTTTAATGAGTTTGTCATCTGTTTTTATACTATATTGGATTAACCGTATTTTTCATTCCCCCCCTCTCCCTATTAACTCAGGTAATCGAGTATACACAAAAGTGTAAAGTTTTGTAGCCTATGCTACTTGCAACTTGATTGTATTTTAATGAGCTTTATGTCAACAAAGCGTTCTGCTGTGCTTAAGTCGCGGTGTAGCTGGACGTGTCTGTACCACGCGTTATCTTTTATCTATCACAGCAGTTGAGCCATCCCGTGCGCTCCCTCCCTAGATCTCACGTCTTGCTAATCTTAAATAATAACTTTCTACACGAATCCTAAACTATCCTAAAATCCTATTTCAACTAATTTAATTCAATAATATAACTATTGTCATTAATTATCCACTTTCTATCTGGCGATTTCGTAATGTATTTTGGATTGTCGTCACGTTGAACACTGTTGCAATTAACTTTAGCCCCCCCCATTTGAATTTTTTGAGCCCCCCCCCAAGAATTTCAATGACGCAGTCTGCGTCACGGCCCCCCCTTGTGGGCACCCCTGACTAAAGATACAATTGAGTTTGGATAGTACAAGTATACATTCACGGCCGCCTAAAGGCACGGCCTCCTTTAACTACAGGCCGCGGCCTTGTAGAATTGGCAACGTCGCAAGTGGTGTTGTTTAGTGACAGACATCCCATAAGATAACACGACAGACAGGTGACATCAGCTTATTAATTCGCACTTTATTGATTTAAATTTATGAACATAAATTTATTGAAATATTGAAAATAAAACATACAGAATTGAAAACCGAAACAATATAAATTAAAAATGTATATCTGTACATTTTAAGCGGAGTCAATATTGTCATAGTCCAGTAACTCGTAAATACACAAATAACATTAGCTGCTTCCAAACAAAACAGCTGTTACAACACCACTTGCAACGTTGCCACTTCGAAGGCCGCGGCCTGGAGTTAAAGGCGGCCGTGCTAAAGGTGGCCGTGGTTGTGTTGTCGGTTGGTTTTGTTCGTTTTGTTTTAGTCTTTAGTTTGAATGTCGTTGAACTAAAACCAACCAGCTGTTAATCCTTAACTTTTCCACTCGTTTTTGTAGTTCGTATTTATTAATATGTCAAAATCTGTCTGTGTCTGGTCTGTGCAAAAGCAAACTGCAAAACTGCAGAGTGATTTTACAGAAATTCTGAAGTGGTAGATTAGTCAGTTGCAAACTAAAATTTTGAATTAAAATGTGTTTCTTCAGAAAATCTTTATCATCCTTTTGATTTTGACTTTATTTAGGTAGCTGAAATTGTGATCCGTGTTACTTTTGTGAATAATTGTATCCTCTAATGTTATGTTACACTCAAAATGGAAGAGCTTAGGTGAGAGCAATCAGCAATGGTCACAATTTGCCGTAGGTTACATGTCTAGAAATTGTTAACTACCTCATCAAATTGCACCTTTTCATCAGTTTTCCACACCGGGAATAGCTTAAGAAGTCATACTATTCAAAAGCACTTGTTTTTATTTCAAGCACAAAACTCCAGCAACAATAACTAAGTTAAGCTTCTTTTGTAAGTGATTATTTTGTGGTAGGCTGCAGCATCCAATTTCCAAGCTGTTTGAGTTTTCCCAGTGACAGTGAGGAGCTCCTCACAGATAACATGGCAAGAGAACCAATTATGCTGAATGTTTATGACATGGTAAGTTTATTCTAGATTCATCTCCTTAATGTTACATCTTACCTAAGTTAGCCTAGGCCTAATTGGTATTTTGGCCAGTGGCATATTCCATGAAGGAGAATCAAAGCAGCCCAAAGTCCTAAATGGTTCTTGGGCATGATGTGAATTTATTCCGTCACTATGACACCAAAGTCAGAAATATTAACTGCTAGACAAGCAAAAGCTAAAAGTGATTTTCCCTGAACAAACAAAAAGGTATACGTCTAATAACACTAGTAATAATATATTTACACTTATACTGTTGACTCACAAGACGGTAAATACATAACTTATGAAAGATGGTAAGAGTGGTGATCGATTTCGATTGGATTGTTCAATCGAAATCAATTACCACTTAACTTACCATCTTTCATATGTAGGTATTTACCGTCCTGTGAGTCAACAGTTAACTTATAGGTATAAATATATTATTACTAGTATTATTAGACGTAACTTAACGGTATATCTTTTTGGTTTTTCAGGTAATTTAATAACACGTACGATGCCGATCAAGAAGTTATTACAGTAAGTGATTTTAGTGTAGTGAGTACCACAAGTTAAGCCTTCTAAACTTGTGTGTTCTTAAATAGATTCTCGGGCTTAACGTACATTTCCTTTTGGATTTATCAATTCATATCAACAGATGCACTATTTTAAGTTACACTAACAAAAATCAAAGTGAGAGATTTAAACTTAGTAGCCCTAAAATAACTGTAAATTAGCTTAATTGTAATTTCATTCATTGGCCCCTACATGTAAGTTCTTTTTCTTAATACGTTCACTGCAGGTGACGGGATTACCCGTCATGCGAAACTACTCACGGGAGCGTGTGACAGGTGTACCAGTCATTGGGTCCCACCCAATACATTGAATCATTTTGAGCTCCGTTGTTGCCGGGAAACGTTATAATCGTTGCCAGCCTGTAGTTTGGAATGTGAGCTTTATTTTGGTGTGGGTTGGTACTAAATTTCCCGTAAAATCCCATCTGGAAATGCTTTTGTCCCGGTTTTGGGGATTTACTCTTTTCAAGCCACATTACAAAGACACTGGCTACGGATCCAGGCAGTGCTGCTATCTTCGGGTGTTTCAGTGAACTACATCCACTGTCGGGGTATCACAGTACAATCACTGTTGCTCTTTTGATATTCGTCAGACTGAAATATTTGAATGCCAATTGTGTTCGATGATTTGGTAGCGCGCCCGGGCCTCACCACCTTTGGCGAGCCCCTGTTTGACTTATGCCGCAGTGAGCACCTTAACACTTAGCACTTGGCTTGGGCATCACTCAGATTTAGAAACATCGGGCCTACCAGAAGCTACTTCTGCGTTTGGAGCAGGCTAATGAAGCAAACACTTAATTTAAATAATTTAATCATCAGTCATGATTTGATGCAAGCACAACGTTACTATGTGTTCAATGTGTCTTAACATTATCTATATATTAATAGGCAAGCATGTTTCTTTAAAACCTTTTTTCTCAGCTCCTGTTTATGGCAGGGGAAATCTACGCATACTGTTATAAAGCTATTTTCCTCTAGATGTGCAGAGTCCCTTTAAAAATTAAAATAGGCTCAAATATAAGCACAAAAAATGAATTTGAAAATAATAAAAAAATAACACGGGCTTTATGGGTTGCCATGCTGGTGACGAAATAACAACAAAATATAAACAGAAAATCAAAACAAATGGAAGAAATTACAATCACATGTTTTATTTACAGCGTAGGGTGAAAATAGAGAAGCCTGTACCTTTGACTTACAACCAGACATTCCAATGTTAAAGTTGTCTCCAGTTTTTAATTAAATTCATCGTAGTTGATATGAGCCACCAACAGGTTGCACTGATATAAATGACTGATTTATGTCAAATACTCGATGTTTTTACCAAGTTAAAGTTATGGAATAACTTATTAGGAGCTATAGCAACTGTTATGACCCATTAACTTTGTCAGCAACAAAAAATAAGGTATAAAATTGAATTTTATACAAGCATTTTAGACCTGGCTCACACAACTACATGTTTTTAATTTAAAAAATGGCGACAGCTGGTTCATATATAGGCCTAGATGGGATGTCTACTTAAGTATCCAATAGTCAATGCGTGTACATTACATATTTTTGGTCGAGTTTTCGACCACTGGACCACCACTAGTAATAAATAAATACATAAAACATAGACATACAAAACAAAGAACGAAAGCCTTATCATAACTAATCTTATCTTAAGTTAGACTCTGCATCGGCAATAAGTTTGACATGCTGAAATCAGAGTATTTTGTCATAGTCATAGGTCATAATTACAGTTCATGTAGTCATTGAGTTCATGTGTTTTATGTGTTCTTCTTTGCTTCCTCATAATATTCCCTGATGGTGTAAAATGGTCTCAGAAGCTCAGAAAGCTGTCTGCTCAATCAAAAAATGACCTGTTATTGTTACAGAAAGCTTTAATGTCAAAACAAGGAAATTAAAGATATTCTAGGGGGTAGGCCTTATAGTACATATACATTTTTCAACTATTTTTTTAAGAACCCAAATGAGATATTAAATTCTTGTCATGATATTTGTTGGCTAGGTATTTTACAATTTAAGAGTAGGCCTAACGGGTGACCTGCTTTAAATACTGAACCCGATTTAAAATAGGATATTAAATTTTGCCATGAATTTGTTAAAGGCAGATTAGATAGGTAGGCCTAGCTAATAATTTTACTTACTTAAAATGCATGAAAAACAACCACACATATTGACTAACTTCTTTATCATAATAGTTATTCCCTGCATCATTTTCAGTATTGGATAAATGAGTATACAACTCCAATTGGGCTGGGAGTGTTCCATTCTGGAGTTGAGATTTATGGACAAGGTAATTGCACTAAAATGTGTATTTTATTTACTTAATTATTATTTTTTACAAATAGTAGATCTAATGGCTTTAGTAGTGTTATTGTTTCGATCAAATTTTCTTGTAACACCGTGCTACCAGGAAATTCATTTAATTCTGCTATTTAGATTATTCTCTACACCCTATTTTTTAGTTTTTTAAATAAAAAATATGGGCCTAAATCAGTTTTATAGTGGACACATTTTAAGAATTTATAAAAAATTAACAAATTGAGTGTTCAAAGCTGCTGTTCAAAGATTCCATTCATCCCCCCTCGGGGGAACCTTTCACCATTTATTTTCTAGGCAGGTTTCTCCCTCAAAGTTTTACATCAGACAGGTGTACACTCCTCCTGAGTTGCCCACCAAAACCTGATCCAAACAGGGTTTCGTAATCTTAAACTCCTTCCCTGTGCTCTGTCTTGTGGCCAATATGGCGCTCATAAGATAAGTTTTTTTGTCCGTCAAATGCATCTTCAAACGTTTACTTTTATCTCTTTGGCAGGGTAGAAAACTAAGCATTCAAATGTATGTTTGCTTATCATTGCCATCAGCTTATTTATTGAAGTATTATTGAGTTAAGATTTTTAAGGTACAGTGAAACCTCACTAACTCGACACCCGGTAACTCCACAGTCAAAAGCTGATAGGCCGCATATCTAGCTGGCTTTGTCTTACTATCGTGTTTGATGTGTAAAAATTAGTCTGTTACGTAGGTACCGGTATTCATTTATTTAAACCCAATACAAATTGCAATGTTCTGGATAACTGTGACGCTTAGCGCCACTATTTTGTATAGTGCCACACAACGAAATCGGCTGCCATTCCGATCAGCGCACCCCTTTCGGTCTGTCGCTTGCTTTTTCCAAGAAACGGTCAAGGAGATACGGAACGGAGATTTCCTCCGTTTTGTCTGTCGCCGGCTTTCCTTGGATCAGCTACCGATCATCCATTTCTCATCTCACCATGCCCTTGTTAAATCAGGATAAGTCCATAAATATTAAGTAGTGCTAAGATTAAGATGACAGGCTAGATTAACAATATAAGGGTATGCCGGCAGGCTTTCGCCCCATTCGCAGAAATGTAAATTCCAAAATAATGATTACCTCGCTTAACGAGGTAATCATTCCTAGACATGCAATAGTCACCACGTTGAAAATTTAAGTATTAAATCATTCAGGAATCGCCTTAGGAGTCCAAATTTGTTCAATAACGAGTTAGGGAACGAAATTGACCTATTTTATCATCATTTAACACTACTATTTAACACTACAAGTAGTGTTATATAGTCAATGGTAGAGGATAGCTCGTTCTTAATTGCAACATGCTAGGGTCCTCCAGGCCCTAGCACCACAGTCAGGCAATTACCTACATATTTCACTCAATTACAATCAATACATATCATCACATTACCACAGAATTCATAACCAGTTTTCTCTTCAAAGGGCTACATAACTCGACAACCTCTGGGTTCAAAAATTGTCGAGTTAGTGAGGTTTTACTGTGGTAATTTATAAAATTGTATTACCATGTAGGCCTAACATTTTAATTTAAAGTAAAATAAAGTAGGCCTACTGATTATATTTTCATTTAGAAATTTAAAACTACATAAACCCTTTATTTAAATAGCTAAAATTAGTGGATTTTTGTTGTGAATAAAGTAGATGCCGGGTGGTAACATACATCTATGTATTACAATTCTGACTTGGTAGTCTACCTACCTCGCACTTTTGTAGTAAAAACATGCCAAGATGAAATGAAATGAAATGAAATATTATTTATTTATCCAGGCAAAAGTTAGGGCTACATGGCCCTTTCTTACACTTAACCTGTGTGCAAGATGGCCAGCTGCACTATGTGCTAGCATTACTTTATTGCTATAATAAAGTTAGCCTATATAATATAAAAATATCACCAAAAACCTTTAGACTAATATATTTGTACTCTTGTTTTAGAGTATGCCTATGGCGGACATCCTTATCCCTTCTCGGGAATATTCGCCATAACGCCAAGGGATGCAGAGGAGTTAGGTGAACAATTTAGATTTAGGCAAGTTTTTTACTTCTTTTTTACAAATTGTTAGTATACCAAATACTAGCATAAAAACATGTGATTCTAAAAGTTGATTGTCTTCAATAAATTATCTTACAATCTAATTCTAGTGCTAAGATCTGGGTATAACTTGTTTGATGAGTTGACGTCACATAGAATAATGGACGACATTGTTGCTGATAGGTAAAAAGTATGTACCTGTACTAAAGAAATATTTTTCCGTTTAAAATTTTTGACTGTGTTTTCCTGCTGTTTATCAACTTATACACACAAACAACTAGGCCTACGGTATATTTACTTTCAACGCAGGCATGTGAGATAAAACAAATCAATTAGGCCTATATTAACAATTTTGTATTTCCTGATTTAAAAAAAAAATGTTATATTTCCTGATTTAATCAAAAAACTATTTTTAAGTTCAGTAAAACCACCATTTGTTGATTTTGTTCAATATATTCAAAGTTATTGGTACAAGTCCTGCACAAATGTGTGTAATTACTGTAGTGAGATTACCTATGTTAGTATTTTAACATTTGTAATCAATTATTCCCATTTGTTTTACCTGATTGGATTGAGAATAAGCAATCTCAAATTTATGTCTTTACAACTTAACAATTAAGTTACACTGTTCAGTAAAATATTATTATACTTGAATATTTGTAGCTTCCTAAATAAGTTGTATTTTCATTTTGATATGATAAACAAGAGAAACAAGACATGTAGTAAAGTTGAGTGCTTTCAAAATTGTAATATATCTCATTTATTACACATGTATTTGATATTTACTTTCTTGTTTGTACAAACAGACAATCAATTCACGTAGGACACACAGATTTTACTGAGCAAGATGTCAAGAGAATAGTTCAAGAATTAGGCAAAGACTTTAGAGGAGATCGTTATCATCTGATGAACAAAAACTGCAACCACTTCTCTGGATCCCTGACACAGGTGCGTCTTGGTGGTGCGTCTTTATCTTAATTAATTATCAACAATGTGATTATGTTATATGATGATACAAGTTACATTGGAGTCTAAATATGTAACTCTTAACCCTCTATAATAAGTAACTTTTGGTTTTTTTCCTTTATAAAACTCCAGTATTCAAAAGTCTGATAGTTTGGAGTATTTGTAACTTTTAAAATAATTCTAAATCCACTTGAAATTTATTATAGCTCTAACAGTGGTTTTAAACAGTAGACTGACAAAACCTTCACTTATGTTAGCTATTTATGCGGTCATAACTAAAAAAAGGTTGTAAACTGTACCTGATAGGTACAGGTAAGGTTTTGTCTCTCCTCTTGTGCAGTAGGCCTAAGACAATCAAAATACTACTAGCAGTGAACGAGCTTTAAAATTACTTTGTCGTAGAATTCCGCTGTCTTCGATTTCAGTCTTTGACGTGTAATTGGAGACCTCTTCGTCACCAAAGCAAGTGGGAATCAAGGGAAAGTCACGCGGAGCAAGGTCTAGACTTTAGGATGATTGACAGAAATCATCCTAAAGTCTAAAAGGGAAAATCTTCCATTTAAATTAATAAAATGAATTAATGAATGAAATAATGTGTTTACTTTCCACATAATATACAGAATACAAAATACATACTTTTAAACGTTACAATTACAAAATATAAACTAAAACTAAAAGAAAAAGAAAAATGTCTGTATTAACATATTTGATTTTTTTTTTTATCAGCAGACATAGGCAAGTGCTGCCTGTCCGCTGGGTTGCTATTAAAAAAAATAGTAAACCAAAAATTAAATAATTGTTGCTTAAAAAATATTAGTTTAGGGAGATACGTATAATTGAATGAATTTAAAATAGAATAACAAAATGAAATACAGTTTTAATCAGGTGGGGACAACGGTTCCTGCTGGCTTAGGGCGGAGGGGACAAGGGTCGGGTTAAACACGCCGGTAATCAGCTGAGATGATAACGTCAGCCTCATCTATACCGAGCCTGAAGAGAAATTTCTTAACTTTGAATTTCCTTAATTTTGAATGAAGGAGATCTTGTGGCAATTTCCCATGTAAGGTTGGGCTTTGTCAAGCAATAACAGACTTTAGATGTCAACTTTAGTCCTACAATTTTTTAAACTGAATGATCCATTTCTGAACAGGACTTTTATTTATTAATATTGTTTCTGTCAACATCAACTACACATAAGTACATGACGATCAATTTCTGTAGGTTTTAAGTTTTCGGCCTACAAAAGCCGTATTACAGACTGCACCTAACGGCTAGCCAGAATTTTTGATTGCAGTACAATTTTTAAACTTAATTATTGCAATGGGCAACACGACACTTCTGATGTGACAGACAGCTGCTGATGAGGCGGACATCTCTGTACTTAAAAGTGCATTATTGGCGTGTGTCTAGCATCGTCAGACGGAAACGTTCCTTACTTTATGGATAGCCTTCATATCATAAATCTATAAAGGCGTCAGAATATACTAAAAAGTGTATATGCCTTTTCCAGATACTCTGTGGACAAGAGATCCCATCGTGGGTCAACAGGCTGGCGTACTTCAGCTCTTGTGTTCCGTTCCTGCAGCGTTGTCTGCCGCGAGAGTGGCTCACACCAATGGCTCTACAACAGTCCATCAACCAGCACAAGGAGGGCTCTCCCTCCCCCGACTCCCCTCTATAACACCTCCACTTCGCCATTCGACGATAATGCATGTCAAATTTAATGTCACTCTTTTTTGTAAAATCATTCTAAAGCTGCATTTTAAATTTGTAAATAGTTTTTCTTTTAGCGACATAAAGTGAATGGATTTTAGTAACAAATTTAAACAATTAAAACAAGTTTAAATAATTATTCTGTGCATTTTAAGATGAAGTTTTAAATTTGTAATTTGCAATGAGGAGTTTAGTCAAGGTTTTTGGGTTTCTATCTACTTCTTCCACAAATCAGGAAATATATTGTTAACTTAAGTTCTTTAAAGGAGTGAAACAATATGTTGGAAGGTTAGTCATATGTACATTTTAATATTTATTACATTCTCTGCAGTCACACAATACCTTATATACAGAGGAGTGTGGAGACGGGCTGAGTATGGGATAAATCATTTCATTAAAGGAAATGCAGAATTACTTCCATCAACATCCATGCTCACTGTCATTAAATTCACTTCTCTTCTGAGACGTCTTAAATCTTTTAAACAAACAACTTTTGATGTTGACTCGAAGATGTGGGAGATGTAGATAAAAATGTAAGAACTGATTTTACTACTGCTTCTTCTCTATTTATCAACTTCACCGGTACAACAGTATATGTGGAAATTGGTGAGAGGTTGTCACCATCACATTAATCCATCTACGGTTGGATTTTTTAATTCCAGTTTTATGTTCAATTATCCAAATGAATAGTAAAACAATGTATTGTTAATTTAATTATATATCCTCAATAAAATGTAAGGCTAAAGACATAATGAGGAAAAGTACAAGGGGTTCTTGAAGGTAAAGCTGATTTGTCAGGGAGAAAAGGTTTCAAATTACTATACCATAAAATATACTCTTTGATATGCCAATGGACAAACTTGTGGCTGTAAGAGACAAAGTCATTTTCTAGTATTGATAAATTGTAGATTTGGGCCTAATTGTCCAATTTTGAGTGTTTTTTTATCTTTTATACTTATCTTACGGTGATATCTTGAAGTATAATTTAGGTTTTGTTGACCTACTATTTATGAACAATGTAGATTGTTTGCACAACCCCTCAATTCTGGTGATTAGGAAGTATTATAATAGGGTCAAGATAGGTTAGATATCGTTTTAGGGGTATTTATTATTTATTTAAAAATATATATTAGTGTTAGTCAGTCAGTTAGCTTAATCTTTTTTATAAATGTTATTATCGCATAAATTTTATCCTAATGCCAAAGTTGATCGTTTCTCTCAATTATAAATTATATTTTGGTAGTCTATATACCGCCAAATCCAAATTTTGATATTTGCATTTTACCAGGCAATGTTTTTGTATTGCCTTTTAGCAGGGTTTTATATTGTTACTACTCGACAAAATTCATTTGTGAAGTTTTTATCTCAAAAGTTTACCTTATGTTTTAGTAAGGGTATTTGTAATACAAAGCATTGGGCAGGCCTACTTATATTTTTATGTACCAGTGTAGAAGTATTAAATATTAAATACGTGATTAAATGATGAATCGTTTTAGCACCAATACATGATGGAAATTTTAAATCCTCCCTTATTGAGAATGTCTGAACCATACATTATCGTCTTGTTGTAAAATCTATTATTTCCAAATCATGCAACTCCCTTCGACTAAGTTGATTTGATATCAAATGTAAATTATGTAGATACGGTTGCAGTTAGTGTACATAAGACTGTTGTTGGATGTTGTTATGTATATTGTGCATGTTACGTTTTGTAGTCCCTGCCCGGGGGCATTTTGCCAACTATTACTGACTGCCTTACGTATGTAATTCATTGACAAAAATGTTATTTTCTTCAAACATTCTCTTAAGTATTAAAATGTTTATCGATGTACAAATCCTTTTTAGTAATGTGACTCTAGCGTTTGACGTAGTGATATTTGAGTAAAACATAATTTTTAGTTTTTAAAATATTAATTTTATGGTATAATTTATGAATGTGAATGTGTTTTGTTATTCAAGTTTAAGGACATAATCTACATAAGATATGAGAAATAAACTTATTAATAATAAGTCTGTTATTAAACACTGTATGTTGTTTTTTACCTTTATAAACAAATTCCAGGATGAACGTCTGCCTGGTAAATGGTCCACCGAGGAAATATGTCTAATAGCAGTTTTTGTAGAATTTAACCCCCAAAACGTGGATCTGACTCATGAAATAGGCTAACTGCCACAAATGGTTCCCACACTTCGCACGGCATGCCTTTACTACCTACTTCCTTTACCACTTCCAACGCCGTGGACCTGTTTCCCTCCCTCCCCTGCAGATAGGTTAATCTAACTCCCACAAACGGTTCCCACACTCCGTACTGCTCGCCTTAATACTTTTAATACTTTCAGTGAAATGGCAACCATACAAAGTAGGTAATCTTAAGCCAAGTATGAGTGGAGATGTGTGTAGGATGAGTGGCGTGATCTTGTAGTCTTGTTAGTGTCTAAGGCCGACTTATTCCTTAGACACAGCTGTTAATTAATAGCCCATACAGCTAATGGCAACTAAGGGACCTACAGTTTTTAGTGGAATCCGAACCACATTTTTGCTTTGGTATATACGAATTAATACTGTAATGTAATGTACAGACTTCTCTATTTTCATCCCACACTGTAAATAAAACATGTGGTTGGAATTTGTTTGGATTTTCTGTTTATATTTTGTTGTCATTTTGTCACCAGCATAGCAAACCCATGTACATTTTTTCTAATTTCAAAATCATTTTTCGTGCTTATTTTTTAGCCTATTTTAATTTATAAAGGGATTCTGCACATCTTCAGAAAAATATTTTTTGGTACCTACCGCGTGTAATTCGGTCCAGTAGTATGGCCAGGCTAGCTGTGGTAACTTTTGCAAAAGTTTTTTCGTATGTAAGATCGATAAACAATGCTGTAATATGCTTCAACCATTAACATTGCCGTTACAGGCAGAAAATCCAAGATGGCCGGCGGGTCCTCACAGCAGTTATTTACTTCAAGGCAGGTCTGTAAATTCTTTGAAGCGCAAAAATTAAGCATTTTAAGTTTGAAGCCAAGCGGTATGTGTTCACAGTGGGGAGCAGGTGTGGCAGCTACGCTCGGTCCTCGACGTCGTAAAAGGCTCCTCCCTCAACTGCACTCACCGGTGGTCTTTATTTTAGTTTAAGATTTTTCTGAGACTGGATTATTGTAACTTCGGCCTAGCATTCAAATTGGCATACAAATATAATAAGAAAACCTAAACCTTTTTGGACAGTGTTTTTTTTTTATTTAAGACACAAACAGTAAGTGGAGACATACTTATATTTTATTTACAAAACAACCTTTAACAAAATAACGATATTTTTACAAAGAAATGAGACAGATCAATAGCCAATTTGGTATTTGTAAATTGATTTTAAGTTCTTTATTAAAATTCTTAACATAAGTAAAAAAAAAAAAAAAAAAACAGCTCTAACAAAAACTCATGTCCAAATAACATCCTCCAATACACTAATACAAGTACTACTGATATAAATATCAAACTATTTTTATCACAAACCATCAATTATCATTTTAATTGAAACTCAATCAAATTGGTGAAGGTACCAATTTGGTGTACAAAAATCCTGCTAGCATTTCAATTTACCAAATTGGCAATACAACTCGTAAGAAATTCCCTAAGTTTATAAATATAAGCTAAGGTACTAAAAATGCATTTAAACAATTATCAAACATCAGACCTGAGATGTAAAATTTATCGAGAATCTTCAGGCCAACTTCAAAGACGTTAAAGGATTATTATAAATGTTTACAACATACAATAAATAATTATATCACATTGAACACTATCAGTCATAGACTTCACTACTTTAGCTTGAATTTAAATATCACTTATACTGGCAAGTATTTGTTCATCAATCAGTATACAAACTTTGAAAAGCTTTAATGATTTTATTACAAAGAAAGCGGTGATCCAGAAAACCCATAACAAATAACAATAGGCAACAATGTAAGTAGTTTCATAAAAATTAACTACCAAATGACTGTTTACACATAATTTGAAACAGAATTAATGAATGAACATAAAATCCAATCTCCTCTCTTTTGAAACTGCGGAAACATTAGAGGTTGAAGGTAAGTTTGTTGGGACTGCAATTCGGGCTGGTTTCTTTAACAGTAAAGGAAACTCACTTTTTTACTTTAATGGTGGGAGGTACGTGTGGAGTTAGTTTGTGTTGGTAATCAATATATAAGATCTGAGGTGGTTTCATCTATTCAGTTTGAATTAGAGATTCTCATTTGTAAAAAAAAACCACACATCGACTCTTGGAACCAACTAAGGATTGAAGTCAACCTAGCATAAATGTGTAAAAATCGCATAGCTTTTTAAAATTCTAGTAGTGGTAATGAAAATAAAGTCAAATTTTTTTTTCTTACTTAATAAAATGTTTGGTTAGTGAATTGGTACACCCACTTTAAAGGTAGTATTTAGGAAGCGAGATTAGATATTACATTGGGATCCAATTTTCCCTTCATCAAACTTGAAATATTTATGTTTTTGATCTTGTATGGTTTTTTCCTAATGGAGACAAATTTGAAATAACCCCGAATATAACTTTAATGAACTTTATTATGATTTATATTATTACTAGAGGTCGTCCAGTGGTCGAAAACTCAAACCAAAAACATGAAATGTACAGAATTCTCTATTTTCACCCCACGCTGTAAATAAACATGTGATTGGAATTTCTTTAATTTGTTTTGATTTTCTGTTTATGTTTCGTTGTTATTTCGTCACCAGAATGACAATAAGGCCCATGTTAATTTTTTTAGTTTTTAATTTATATTTTGTTCCTATTTTTGAGCCCATTTTAATTTATAAATGGATTCTGCACATATACAGAAAAATATCTTTCTAATATAGTATGTGTAGATTTTCGCTGCGATGCACACATGCTGAGAAAAAAGGTTATAAAGAAACATGCTTGCCTACTAATATAAAGATCGATTTTAACCCTCCGAGTGTTATTTGTCGCTGCAGCGACATATAACACACTTTGTGTAGTGTTTTGTGTCGCTGCAGCGACTCATAAACACTGTTTACGGCGAAGGCTCTATGACTGACAAAATCGGATTGAACTGGATCGAGTTAGGTATCGTTTTATTTGACAGATTCAGAGCTTTCTCCGGAGGTCTGTCTCTAAGCGCTATTCATTTTAGTTCCGAAAATATTGTAGCAGACAGCTGACGTGCGTATTTGTAAACAGCTTGGTTAACCTCGGACCGATGACTGACGTGTTTTATTACGTTTATCATTGTTTTAGTGTTAAAAATCAAAAGTAGTGATATACGTGGTGCATTATAAGAAGATTTAAGTGATTTTGAAGGGCTGGTTGATGATCCTGAAGAAGTAGGTAGTGATATTGATGTAAATTATCAGCCAGATTCCTAGCTATGGTTAGGCTATGCGTTCTTATCTAAACGCTATGTACTGAAATCTGTTTTTTGCCCATAACTTATTTATTTGCAAATCTACTTCCTTATATTATTATATATTTGTAATCCTCATAAAATTTAGAACAAAGTGGCTATTTTCAAATATTTATAGGCCTATAATTTATACAATTTCATAGAGTGCAAATTTATTTTTTTTTATTTTAATTTTCCAAAATATTTTTTTTACCTAAAAATTTTTTTTGAAACAAATGTTCCTTATGTTCTAATGTATAATATTGAAGCCCATGATTTTCCAAACAAAGATCCGTTTTAATAAAACCTTGCAAATGAGCAAAAAATAGGCAGACATTAAGGCCAAAACAAGGGACACTCGGAGGGTTAAGTAATAAACAAAAATCCAGCTTTTTGAAATAAATTAACCTTTAGGTTGCATTGTAGGACTTAACATTTCACACAACAGACGAAAGTAACTAATTATTGAAAGATTCAAATATGCTTTTATGTAGTGACTTTATAGAAAATAAATATCCCTAGTCACAACTGAGATGAATCTTCTTCAAGCAACAAGAAATTACTTACATATATTTAAATATACATAACAATATCAAAATTTGATGCAGAACAGAAAAACTATACATGAAGCTTATAAACACAACTAAAAATATACATACATCTAAACAGCCTTCATATAACATGTTGCAAAGAACGAGTGAATTAACTCAATTTGGCTTATCTTCCAACAGTATACCCCAAGGAACTATAAGCCAATAAATATTTTAATATAAGCAACAAATATTCAAGCATACAATTTTAACTTTTTATTACAGTTTAATTTTTCTTACCGTATTTAGGCTGGCCAAAAATTGTTGTACAAACAAATCACACCTGTTAGTCTCAATGAAAGAAAAGCTTTTTGTATTACAGTACCTTTTCATAAAAAAGTGTCTTTGGTAAGTAAGATAAAGGCGGCTAGCTAGCAATATGTGAGCGATAAGGAGGTTATGAAACAAATGTCACTTTACATACCCTACCGCCTTTGATTAAACATACTCCGCTTAGTATATTTATCATCATTATAGATCAGCTGAAGACAATTTTAATGTAATTCTGTCCAATGCCGCTAGGGTCGTGTTTTTGTTTACAATTTACGATGTAATTATGAAAAATAGATTGTCCTATTGTTTTATAACCAACAAATAAAAAGCACAAATCATATAATTAGCCCTGAAATAAGATAAACAAAATTTTGTCAACACTGGCGGCGGCGCTCAGTGTTACCAACATCAACTATAAAAACACCAACATACAGTTTCAAGAAAACTTGTGTGGTAGTCTGATAAAATTTATCAATACTGGCCCTCAGTGTTACCAACATCAACTATAAAAACAACAACATATAGTTTCAAGAAAACTAGTGTGGTAGTCTGATAAAATCAGAGTGGTGCTGCAAAAATTGCTTCTGATTCGCCACTATCACACCTGAGACCTTACGGAGCAAGGAACAAGTTTGTTGTTTCATGCTAAAAATAGTTTGCTATGTTAACTTTTTAGTGATAGTATTTTTTCACATGCCTTTTATCGTTGGACTAACACAAACATGGGGGATCTTCATTCAAGTCTTCTGTTGGAGCAATCTTGAACGATTTAGTATCAACAGTTTGTAGTTCCATTCTTGATCGGTTAGCTTGAACTAAATGTTGAGCTATTTCTTGAAACATTTCTTCAACCCCTTGGCCGTTTTTACACGAAGTCTTGAATGTTCCACTAATCAAATTGTGGCACTGCTCCCTAAAGAGACAGTAGTTGGATTAATAATCATAAATAAATTGTTAAAAAATCCAAATGATAAAGCAATTCATTGTCGGTAATTTTTTCTTGCACTATAATAGCACAAATATCTACAGAGGGAATTAAAGAGATATAAGATAGAGAAAAATAACGTAACATAACTTTTAGTGCTCTAGGTAATTTATCAGTTCAAATATTGTACCTAAAATTCTACTCAAAATCAAGCAATGGATTTGTCCACTGATACAAATATTCAAGTTTTATGGAATCAATGTTATGAGCACTTCAACACCTAACTATTTTACATTAGGCTATATTGTTAACTTAAAATTAACAATTATGTTTGCATACCCAAAGTTCTCCATGTCGGCCTCGGTCACCTGAGGAGTGTCACCTTCCAAATCTGACTTGTTTCCACACAAATATATTTTAGCGTTTTCAGCATATGTCACAATGTCAAGCAAATGTTGCGATAGAACGTGAAATGAAGCAGCATTGTCGAGAGCAAAAACTAGAATAGCTGCTTCTGCAAACTTGTAGTAGCTCGAGGTAATAGACGCAACACGTTCCATACCTCCTGTGTCCCACAACTGAAGCTGTAAGAAACAATCTGAGGGTAAAATAATATTGGGACCTAAAACGAAACATAAATTTGAATTCATATACTACACATAAGTTTGATAAACTATAATAAACAAATTTGTGAACTGAACAAGGATAAGAACATTGAAAATAGGGTAGGTATGCCCAACATTTGAATTTTCTCTGTTCACGATACACTTAGTCAACCTAAGAACAGAGTTGAGCAGTAGCATGAGCATCAATTTCAAAATTATTTTTCAGCTAACGTGAGCTAGGCGATAACATATAGGCCACACACCCTATTGGTAATCAGCCAATGGGAAGGACTAATGAAGAGGATGGAGGGGTGCAGAGACTTGGTGTTCGTGGGCCCAAGGAAGAAGGGAGGAGAGAAGACCGCGGGCTGTAAGGAAGTTCGGGGACGAGGATTGTGTGTGTGCTTCAAAAGACTGTTGTAACATTCCCGGTATGTAAAAAAATATAGGCCCTAAACTAAATATAGGTATGCATTGTGTAAAAAAACCAAGTCACGTAGGCCTATAGCCTACCAAGCCTATTTTTGTTAATTTACTCAATCTTTAATATTTTTTTCATATTACACATTTAGTACACTTATTGCATGTCTCTTACACCCTTTTACCTTTCTACAACAGCTAAAAACATAGGCCTAAAAAAAAAGTTTGTAGTAGGCCTAACTTAGTTAAAAGTTAGACTATTTAATACAGTTGTAATTTTTACCCCAATGTTTATGTTTAGTCATTAACATATAAGGTAATAAAAAGGCTTACGCCTGATTTAGTAGTTTGAGTTCAGTAAGCCTCTAAAATATGGTATATTTTTTGTTGGTAAAGAGTTGTTTCAAAAACTAATTCTCATGTTTTTTCTGATTCAGGTACATAAGATATGAAGTCTTCAGCCATTTAAATTTGTTTAAAAATAATAAATTTGTTTAAAAATAATTATTAACAATTCTCTTATTAATCACAGTTTTTGTAACGGTGGGGTAATACGAGAATAGGTCGATGAACTCATTTTATTCCTGTTTTTTTTTTTTTATTTTACAAGAAAGTATTTGCTCTGCTATTGTATTTTTCATCATTAAAAGTGTTAAAAGTATGCATTGAAAGACATTTAGTAGAACCTACAAGTTTTAATTTTGGTTTTTGTTTTGATCCTGTAAGCCTACACATCAAAACAAAAGTTAAGTTAACACAAAAAAAGTAAAAAAATAATCATTAGGCCTATTATTTTTTAGCTATTAAGATATATGTAGGCCCTACAGTGTTAGTGGGGGTGGATACGTCCCAAGTAACATTGAAATAGAGATTATAATGTAGGCATAAGTGACCCTTAAGTTGAACTTAAGTTAAACGAGTGTCATACAAAGTGTCCGTTTTTGTTTCAATATTTATGACCCCTTTTATTCACCTACCGCTGCACCAATGTGTCACCTGCGATGGCCCGCTGTCGTGTGGATAGAGTAACAGTGCTGCCAACCCTTGTTTGTTAAAACCTTAGTTTTTTTTTAAATGTGACTCCTTCAATCCAACCAGTCTAACACAAATCATTGGTTTACAACTGAGAAGTCATCGATTCACTTCAACGGCTGCTATTTAAGAATTAAGCCTGAAATAAAGCTAAAAACACACTCTAGCAAAATTAAAATCGTGCAAGAGTGGTGTTCAATCTAAATTTTATTTACTGTAGCCTAGATAATTTCAGAAAAAATCTTTCAGTATTTATGTCCATAACATGACATGAAGTCATTTTTAACGGTGAGAGGTTCAGCTATGTACACGACCAAACAACTATAGTATGTAGTAGACAATGCACACAGTCGAATGACTACTTGTAGACAACGTGTAGTGAGTGACACTGGTGACTTGCGTTGGCAGCAATGCGAGAGCGACGGCGGGCTCCCGCGTTGAATAAACAATCTCATATAACACAATCCATATAAGAACCGCTATCCGCCGGCGGTTTCTAAGTGCAAGCGGGTGAATTTACAAACCTCCGCGGGCACCCGTAACTTCTGATACCACTCCTATTTGAATAAATAAATACCCCCGCCGCAGCAAACCTGCAGACTAAGCGAATTTCCATTTGACTGATTGGATTTACACTGAAATGTCTACTTAAAAATATAACATTTATTCTTGATTTAAATAGAATTAGTTTAACAAGTACTTAGGTTTGCTGCATCAGGGAGGGTAAAACTGTTTTTTTTTTTGTAAAATGTGAATAGTTAGTAAGAAATAAAAACATTTTCCAAATTTGATCAAAATATGTTCACAAACAAGCAAACTACAACAGTTTACTTATTCTCCATAAGAATAACATGGGAACTTTAAATTTACAATTTTTTGGAATTTTCTCCGTAACCATTAGGCGCATAATAACGCTTCAATATACTAAATTATTTGTTTTTTTAAGCTCTACAAAATGGTTTGGAAAGAAATTGCTAAATTTTATGTTTTTTTGGTCAAAAATGGGAAAAACCTATTTTTACCCCATAAAACCCCCCATAAACCCCCGTTCCCATGGTCCGATCATGCCGGATCGCGAACTCGTTCGAATAAACGTACGTTTACACGTTTGTACCAAATTTCATCAAAATCGGATCATTTTTGCTCGAGTCATCGTGCTGACGGACATATATATATATATATAAATAAGTATGATTGTGATTAGGGCTACTACTATATAAATAATTGAAAACATTATAAAAACATTAGTACCCTTTTTAAATTCATTTTTAATTAATAAACAACATGTTTATTAATTAAGTTAATTAATTAATTAAGTTACAGAACAAAAAATAATGCCTTTCAGATGATAAAAAACAAAATTTCTAATGAAGCACATAACAACCAAGTTAAAGATATAAACAAATCAGGCATTTATCAAATTAAATGTTCAGACTGCAACAAATCCTACATTGGCCAAACAAGTCGTAGCTTTAAGAAAAGGTTCCAGGAGCATATACAAGTGTTGAAATCGGGTAACAGAACTACAATGAAGTCAAATTTTGCAGAGCACCTAATCGAAACTCGACATGAGTACAAAAATATAAATGAAAATTTAGAAATTCTAGAATATGAAAGAAATAAAACAAAATTAAATGTCAAAGAAGATTTTCATATATACACAAATTACAAAAAATACCCTCAAAATTTATTGAATACCATGAACATAAATAAAACAAATCCGATATTTGAAAAAATCCTACAATTGCAATAAATACCCCCGCCGCAGCAAACCTGCAGACTTAGCGAATTTCCATTTGCCTGATTGGATTTAAACTAAAATGTCTCCTTAAAATATCACATTTATTCCCTATTCAAACAGAATTAGTTTAATGAGTACCTACTTAGGTTTGCTGCAACAGGGAGGGTAATTTTTTTTATGTAAAATGTTAAAAGGTACTGTGGTTTAGTAAGAAATTAATGTATTTTCCAAATTTGATCAAAATATTTTCATAAACAAGCAAACTACAACAGTTGACTTATTCTCCATAAGAATAACATGGGAATTTTAAAATTACAATTTTTTGAATTTTTTCCGTAACAATTAGGCGCATAATAACGCTTCAATATACTAAATTATTTGTTTTTTTAAGCTCTACAAAATGGCTTAAAAAGAAATTGTGAAATTTTGTGTTTTTAAGGTCAAAAATGGGAAAACCCTATTTTTACCCCATAAAACCCCCCATAAACCCCCGTTCCCATAGTCCGATCATGCTGGTTCGCGAACTCGTTCAAGTTTATCCCGCATTACACCTTCAAACCAAATTTTATCAAAATCGGACAAAAATTACTCAAGTTATCGTGCGGATGGACACATATATATATATATATATATAAAAATTTGAACGAATGGTGTTTTTGGCCTCTGGGGACATCAAAATGAAAAAGTAAATCGGTCCCGGGCCTAGGTCTTACCATGAGACCTACGGTAATAGCTACTTCCCTATAGGGAAATTCGCTAAAATGAAACATTATATAATATACACAAAATTAAACAAAGATTAAATCAAGATCCTCTAAATTCTAAGTTAACTTAACATATGACTATTTATTCCTTTCATTATTTTTGTTATTGTATTTGTAAATGTAAACATGACTATGACCTAAGTGTCGAAACATGTCGTTTATTAATTAAAAATGAATTTAAAAAGGGTACTAATGTTTTTATAATGTTTTCAATTATTTATATATATAAATATATAAATATATATATATATATATATATATATATATGAATTTGAACGGATGGTGTTTTTGGCCTCTAGGGACCTCAAAACAAAAAAAAAAAATCGGTCCCGCGTCCAGGTCTTACCATGAGTACTACGGTAATAGCTTATTCCCTATATGGGAAATTCCCTAAAACACCCATTTACGGAAATGCATTTATAAAACCGCGGTGAATGAAAGGGGCCTAAACTAATAAAAAAACTAAACTAATCAGTCGAGACTCGACACACGACCGACGCGCGTCTACATGTCCGTAGTAAACAAAATAAAAGTAGGCCTACAGTGTATTTGTCTTTTATTCGTAATGTATATAAGTGTTAAGTTCGTGTACGTGTTCCAAAACTTCAAGACGCACCCTACGGGGAAGATCAAGATCTTATATTAGGACTGATGATGGCAATTTATTCTGCCGAAATGCATATCCTGTAATAGGACACAGCACAAGGATCGACTGGCGGACACAGGTAATTTAACCTTTTATTGTATAATAAAAAAAACGTAAGTTAATAAGCTACATTATTTTGTTACTATAGACTGTTTCTTTTCCATGCATGTCCTAAGGTAAAATAAACTAATTTTTTTTTTCTCTAGCTTATTTACCAATCAAGAAATCTGCATTTTGAGTAATTTTCCACACAAATTTTGACAGCGTAATATTCAATTATTAATAGCCTAACTTTTAAATTTTTTTATTTATAGGTACATATTTTTTAAATTTTCTCCCATCAAGCTTGTCTTTACATAAGGTTTCTCTTGATACCCCATAAACCTCAGAATACTTTCAAATATGAAAATCACAGCCTCATCTCTTAACTTATTAGGCCTACCCCAAAAAATATATATAGGGGAGGGCCAAATAAGAGAAAATTTTTTTACAAATTTCAAAAATCATAAATTAGAGCTTTTAAATCAATTGTTCAGATTCACCATATGGACCACTTATTGCAACATTTTTTCATTCTTTTACTCCTATTAGATTTGGAGATACAAATTAGTGGTTCTATTTACCGGAAATCAGAAACTTTTTATTGTTATAGTTTGTAAGATACATGCATATGACAAAGTCAACACTAAGGTTACAAGTGAGAATAAATACCTGTAAGATTTAAAACGAAAAACGTGGGGCGCATGCAATAGATCATAATAGTTCAATAGGTGAAGTTTATTGTTAACCAGCATGCGCCCCACGTTTTTCGTTTTAAATCTTACAAGTATTTATTCTCTCAACATTTTATAAATTATTTTATACTTTTTAATGCGTTTAAAAACATGGCATTTTTAAAAAGTATTTTTATTTATAAATTATTTTCTCTTATTACCCCAGCTTCCCTAAGAAAGTCTGATTCCTAAGATATGGTCGGAAGGTTGAGTGCCAGAATATAATATGACCGTTACATAATATACCTATAATTTATTGTGAAATAATAGAATACTTTGTCACAAGGGCTTAATTAAAATGACTCCTTTCAACTCAGATAAATTACAAACAGCTGTTCCTTTCATTTAGATGCAATACATATGAAGTTTCTCCCCGAACACAATTATGAATTTACATATTTTATTTATTGAATTTTCTTACATTTCAATTTATCATGTTGATAAAGGGGTAGGCTATGTTTGTAGTAAATAAAACATGATGATAAACACAATCAAATGAGAATAATAATACAATAGCCTACGTACCTAAGTAGCATGTTTTTCAAGTCTATTTAGGCCTACTTCAGCGAAACTAGCGCACGACTTTTATAAAAGTGTGTGGACAGCTGATGTCGGCTTTAGCTAGATTCAGCTTTAAGTTTAGCTGGAGGAGATAAACTACACTAGCACCCCAACGCAAGTACTGTACCGTCTTGCAGTATAGGCTATTGAAAATTTAAGTCGTTTTTGCTCCAGTGTAACGATTTGAGCAGTAGTTTTTTGTTTTATAAATGGTTTGAGTGTTGTCTGAAAGCTAACTTAAATATTTTTTTTCTTAATTAAACTATAGCTTAATAGCCTAAGTAAAAATACCCCCGCAGCAGCAAACCTGCAGACTAAGCGAATTTCCATTTGCCTGATTGGATTTACACTGAAATGTCTCCTTAAAAATATCACATTTATTCCCTATTTAAATAGCATTAGTTTAACGAGTAGGTATACTTAGGTTTGCTGCAACAGAGAGGGTGAAAAGGTGTTTTTTGTAAAATGTTAATAGTTTAGTATGAAATGAATGCATTTTCCATTTGATCAAAATATGTGCATAAACAAGCAAACTAACACAGTTTATTTATTCTCCCTAAGAATAATGGGATTTTTAAATTTACAGTTTTTTGGAATTTTCTCCGTAACCATTAGGTGCATAACTTAGTAACGCTTCAAATAAATGATACTAAGTTAAATTAATTAGATTTTTTAAGCTCTACAAAATGGTTTGAAAAGAAATTGCTAAATTTTAAGTTTTTAGGGTCAAAAATTGGAAAAACCAATTTTTATCCCATAAATCCCCCCATAGACCCCTGTTCCCATAGTCCAATCATGCTGGTTCGCGAACCCGTTTGAATAGACGTAGGTTTATACATTAGTACCAAATTTTATCAAAATCTGATGATTTTTGCTCGCGTTATCGCGCTAACGGACACATATATATAAATGAATTTGAACGGATGGTGTTTTTGGTCTCTATGGACCTCAAAACAAAAAAGTAAATCGGTCCCAGGTCTAGGTCTTACTATGAGTACTACGGTAAGTAATAGCTTATATTCCCTATATGGGAAATTCACTAAAAAAAAACTGTTCATATTGAATTCAAGTTCCTTTTTAATGTAACTAATTAGGCCTAACCACTCACTAAACAAGACTGATCACTAAAATGGAAGAACGTATGTGTAGCTCATAGGACAAGTGAAACCCCATCAGACGATAACTTGCATGCGATTGTTTTCGCTCTTCATTTTTACCAGACTAATCATGTGTGATTTTGTAATGTTGCTGAATTTATTACTTCTGAATATTACTTCTCTGTGGTTAGGATATTTGTTTATTGGGAGATAACTTAAAACTTGAGTGCAGTAAGTTATTTAAAATCAGACCACTATTCATCTTACAACCAGTAAAATTTTAATTCAACCACAATCAATAATAGCTTAGGCATATCATGGCAGGATGTAAAACTTAGATATTAACATTATTACATAACACTAATAGTGTAAACTTAGGTAGTTATCTGTTCTGATGAAGGAGTTGTAGTAGGTCCTCTAGTTTATACTGAGTAGTCTTCAACTTTTGTTTTGAAAAATTGCATTAAGCTACTAACCACTTACCCGAATTCTTTTTCCATTAACATTGTATTCCTTGTTAAAATGATCAAGTCCTAGGGTAGACTGTCTGCTAGTTGAAGTGACAAAAGAATTGAAGGCGTATCTTCTGAATAAAGAACTCTTCCCAACTCCGAATTCACCACAAAGGATAACTTTTTGTTCAGGAACTTTAACAGATGCCATGTATCCGTATCTTGTTCTTAACCAGGATTTATTTATAAATTTAAACAGTATTATTTTTGTTTGATTAATATTTCGAGGTTATGTTTACAATCATTTCTAGATTTCATTTCTGTCTAAAATTTACACAAACTAGGGGTAAAGCCAACTTCAAAAAGAATCATAATCATTAAAAGACAACATTAATTGACTGGTAACTAATTTATATTCAATTCAACTAAATAATGCGAAATATAAATTTAACACCAATAATTAAGAGCTCAACAACTAACAACATAGAATCTAGAATCCTTAATTATTTAGCCTAATATTTTATTTTATTTTAATTTTTTCTATCACTCAATCACTCCATGACTCCATGTTCCATTCCACATTCCATTCTTAATAACTTTATCTAACTACAGGATCATTGATTATGAACAAATATATTTTTTTCAAAATTATCTATTATAAAAATGGATTTGAATGGTAATTGGCGATTTTTATGGTACCAGTCGACTCGAGCCTAGGTGCTTACTAAATGCAGAGGCTGTGGCGCTCACCAAGTAATTCGGGTAAGATATCGGCATAAATCGCATGCGAAGTAACCATGCTCACTCTCGCTTTGATAAAGTTAAAATTGAGGTGAACTACTTGGATGTAGAAGTTGCAGTATTTGATTTTGCATCAACCATGCGAGAGTGAACTGGGGCGCCTCACGCTCGGCTGTTGTGCAGTTTGCAGTCTCGGTGTACTTTGACTTGAGCCAAAAAAACCGACTCCAGACGGAGCGCAGGCACGGCCGCCTTTAACTCCAGCCGTGGCCTTCGAAGTGGCAACGTCGCAAGTGGTGTTGTAACAGCTGTTTTGTTTGGAAGCAGCTAATGGCATTTTAAAACGTTTTTAATAGCTCGCTTTCTTGTCTGGTACAAATTTTGCAATCAATTTTATACTAACTTCCCGATGAGCTAGATCCTTGAAACTTGAAACATAGCTCACAACTGGAAGACAATGCAATATAATATAATTTAATTTTCATATTTCCCTTGGGCTACGCCCAATGGGCTTGTTTTTATTTGTATTTACGAACGATTGGTTACTGGACTATGACAATATTGACTCCGATTAAAATGTACAGATATAGATTTTTAATTCATATTGTTTCGGTTTTTAATTCTGTATGTTTTATTTTCAATATTTTAATAAATTTATGTTCATAAATTTGAATCAATAAAGTGCGAATTAATGAGCTGATGTCACCTGTCTGCCATGTTATCTTATGGAACGTCTGTCACTAAACAACACCACTTGCGACGTTGCCAATTCTGCCAGGCCGCGGCCGTGAGCGCAGGCGAGCCCAAGGGTAGGTGGAGCGAGACAGCCCGATCGAGACGAGCCAGGGCAGTGGGGGATGAAACCAATCGCACCAAGTACAGTATACACTCTCCCACTCTCACCCGCTCGACTTGTCTCGGCGAGAGTGTACTGGGGCCATAGAAAATAGAATCTAAAATTATAAACATAATTTATGTCCGTTGCCACTAGACAAGCCATTTGATTTATTACCAATCAATGGTAATACTTAAATATTATTTTGTTTTAGATTTTGCACAATATGTATTTCATGTCCAATGTAATTACATTATTCAAAGAATAAAAAAATATTACAAATAACTTTGTTGACATTATGTGTTTGCTCAAACCTATGGCACGTCTGGCTGCACTTTACTTTAGGTCCTACACTCATTCGAATAAAAATATCGATCGATATTTTCATTCGAATGAGTGTAGGACCTAAAGTAAAGTGCAGCCGCACGTCTTAATAGCCCAGTCACTTTAGGTAAGAACCTAGACATGAAAGATGTAAAAAACTGATTTTTAGCATGGTTATAGTGTATGACAGGAAGGGTGTTTTCTGAAAGTTCCCCGAATTTCCCCCCCTTGCTTCCCCTTGAATCCCCCTCCCACCAACCATCACCTCAAAGGGTTAATATATAGATTTAAATTGCATGGTGAATCAGGTGGATGGCATAAATTATAACTAATCTAGTACTGTACCGAAAAAAACTATCATGGAGGGGGGAGTAATTCATTAAGGGGATGGGATTTATTTATGCTTCTTGGCACGCAATTGGCGAATTAGTTGGATTCTACTTAATTGGATTACTTAGTTGGTTTACGAAATTGGATCTAGGTAGGATATTCATACAAAAGGAATTGCAAGCTCAAATAAGCCTACCAATGTATATGACTAAAAAGTAGTTCTTATAATCAATGTCAATATAACAGCAACAGGCCAAAAATGTGTGTACATTGTAGAAAGGTGACCGTGACTTTAGTATCCTTTATTCAATGACTTTTTTGTACATCTATACTCTATGTTCCTCACAATATTGAACAGCTGTGTGTAGCTTAGCTAGATGTGGATATGGAGGGAAAACTAAACTTGGTGTAACAAAAATAATTGAGGTTAGCTGGTTAGGCATAGGTTTGTTTTGTATGTTCAATGTTCGACGTTTGGGTTCGGACTTTTTTGTTAGTAGGCCTACCTAAAAACCTATCCTATGACCTATATAGTGTCTGTATTGTAACTTAGTAACTTATTTTAACTATAAAGTTTGTTTGGTTAAGTTTTGCCTCGATCCTTGATCTACCCAGTCCCTCGTCATTCGCCACTTTAGTTTGATTATGCAAATGCCCATTATGAAGGGTTTTTTTTGCCATTTTGCCAGAATTATAGTTAAATTTTGTTAAGTAATATTGTTTAATCAGAAACATTTTTCAGTAATGTCTGCTAAACTAAATCCAAGTAGATATGCCCATTGTGAGGGCCACACAGACGTTTGCTTTTCTCAAGATGCAAGGTAGGTCGATTTTCAACCTAACAACAATGGGTAGGAGTAAATTTAAAAGTAGATTACGCCTAGGCCTACATTTTAACCATCGGCTTTTCATTTAAAATAGGCTAATCACTAGTTTATTCAGTTTGACTGCAACATTCAACATTGGCTTACATTTGTTTCTCATTTGGGCACACTTTCATGTTGCAATGCATTTTACCAACCTCATAGTAATACTTTGTAATGCCTCGTTCACACAGGACGAGTTTACACGCTACTCAACGGCGTGTAAGAAGCCGGCGAGTTGGCGAGTGCGCTTGTATTCGTTCACACGGAGCTTGTCCACTTGGCAACTCGTCGACGTGTAGAAAGACGCCAGCGAGACGGCGAGTGCGCTTGTAGTCGTTCACACAATGCTTTTTCCACTCGCTCAGTAGCTGGCTTGAGCTAAATCCTCCGACATCTTCGAATAACATGCACACAAGCACAAGCAACTGTGATCACGCTGGGCTACTTTACACGCCTACTCGCTCAAAAGCTGGCGAGTTGGCGTTTAAAGTAGCGGCAGCGTCAACTTTTTCCAGAGCTTTTTTACAAGCAGCTTTTGAGCGAGTACGTCGTTCACACTGAGCTATTTTACTAGCTGTGTATAAAATATCCGGCTTTTAGCTTGTAAACTCGCCCCGTGTGAACAGGGCTTAACAAGCTAGGCCCTACCTTTTACCTTATACTTTCAATTTTCAGTTATATCGTCACTTGTGGAGGCGAAGGTGATATTCGAATCTGGACTGGCATTGAAGACGATGAAGCAACTGACAAATGTGTTGGTGAAAAGGCGTTTGCTATTTGTCAAAGAGTAAGGCATTTAGCTACATTCAATGGTATTTATAATTTTGGCCACACAGGAAGCAAATGCCCATTATGAAGGGTTTTTTTTGCCATTTTACTTAAGCAATTTAATAAATGTGGGGTTTCTTACATGTTAAGTTTAATTGCTACTAGGCTACTATAATAGACTTCAGGAAAAGAGTACAGATAAATAGAGTAATTAATTATAGTTTTGTTAAATTATTGGTTGGTTCTTAGTTTTAAGGTTTTGGTGGTATTCACTGATGCCGAATGTTTAAAATGTTATATCTTAAAACATAATACTATCTTAAATTTCGTTCGGTATGATTTTACTTACCAATTTCAGTAAATTTTTATATAGGCCTAATAATAAATAAACCTGGTTGCACTTACCCAAGGCCACACTAAAAAAACAGGCCGTAATGCTCGCCAAGCATGACGTCACGATAGAAGACGGCTATGACGTATAAGTACTTATTTATTTATTTTCCAACGTAAGATTAAAACAAGCAGCTGATCACAAACGGCAAAATTACGTCATTGCCGTCTTCTATCGTGACGTCATGCTGGACGAGCATTACGGCCTGTTTTTTTAGTGTGGCCTTGACTTACCCCACTTTACCTTATTACTTCAAGCATGTGTTCAACCCATTTTAAAGTTAAAAAAATAGTAATACACTACCTAATGATTGTTTAATACTGATCATGTTTAGGGAGAGAGATTGTTTGTGGCGACTGACGCTAACAGCGTTCAAGCACTTACATTCCCTGATGCAGAACTAGATGGTGTCGTTGCTCGCTTTACTGCTCCTGTCGTCAATATCGATGCTTCATCCGATGGATCAATATTGGTGTCTGCATCATGGTAAATTCAATTAAGATAGCCCTACTATAATCAATTAAACAATGTTTTGCGTAAAAATAGTTTTTCAGTTAGGTACTTATCTAAATTATAATGTTTTAAACCAGAAAGTTAAGTGTAATATGAGATTCAATTTACATTTTTGTAAGTAGAATAATTTTTGTTATCTTTGGGTAGTCAAAGCAAAACGAGAAATAATAATCCATGTACAGGTTGATTCATTAGTTTCTTAGACCCCAATACTACACTCAATTCCCCAAACCCTACTACCCCAATACTACCTTCGTAGTTTTAATTATTTTTTTTGCTAATTGTTCACAGTGACATGACTATTGGCGTAACAGATGTGGCCAAGACAACTACAGATGTGTTGACAGGCCATCGAGCTCCTGTGTTGACTGTTGCTTTGGACCCAAAACGTATATATCTTGTAAGCACATATATGTCAACCTTTCAAGAAAACTCTATACAGGCCTAATACATTCTAATTACTTGTTCACTGTACTTTCTTATATCGTAAATCTACTTAACTTACTCTATTTGATGTGTTCAAATTTACACAACCTGCCATCAGTACAAAAAGTTAATGAAGTTTATGTTTATTTTAATTGAATCTGTCCTTTTGCATGTGTCATGCCTTGACGTTAAAAACAGCTACCTACTGTACTACCACAATGTTACTGTATTCTAATTGTTTTGTTCTGCATCTTTTCGATTTATTTACGAAGATTTCATATTCCTTCCTTTCTTGAGATTAAAGACAAATATGTAAATTAACTTAATATCTAATCAAGTATCAAGTTTTTATAATTGTATATATAACTGAGAACAGGAACATCAAGTTTTTAAGTCATGGCTCGGTATTTTAATCAATCACATCAAATCACTGTAATTTCAGATTACAAATTATATGTAAAAAAATTTGTAACTCTAAATCACCAATATTTTAAATCCTCGTTAACCTAGTAAATGACGTTATTTCTCCAGCATTTTCAAAGTTATTTAATAGCTATTTTAATTTGAATTATGTTTATAATATAGCATCTATTACAATCACTTTTTTCTTAATAAATATATACCATTAAAAATAGTTTTACAGTAATTATAAAGTGTTGTCAGTATTATTACAGTAATATAGGCCCTATGTATTTATTTGTTTTGTGTTTTTTTATGTTTCAAATATACCCCCAAATTACCAATAATAACCCATGAAGACCAATTTTGCAACATTTATTATTTTTAAAGGCATCCTCAAGTTGTGATGGGACTGTACGAGTGTGGCGTCTTGCGGATAGATCTGAGGTAATGTATAGATTATCAAGGCTATAAAAAGTAAATCTTCAGTGTTAAAAAGAGGAAACCTAAAATAATTGTGTCTCAAGTAAAAGTTGATGGGATATGAGAGCTCTTTGGGTGAGGATTCTCAATCAGAACCTCTGCCAATTATGCATCCTTACTGTGTGTGTGTGTGTGCGCGCGCAATTATTGATTTTAAGGCCAAAATCATTATCAATGATTGTGTGGATGAAAATATTGTCTATAGTGTGTGAATCATAGACTTCTTTCATGATAAATTGTATTTTTATGTTCATGAGTTTGGGTAAAACTTTATAAAAATAGGTTTGGTTAAATCCATGGCAGTCAAAGGATGTTATTTCTCAGTTGCACTATTGCAGAATCTTGGTATTTAATTTGGATGTTGAAGTTGATATTCTATCCAGACATTCAGCTTTATTTGAGCAGGTCTTGCATCAGACAATGTTATTACTTTTACAGTAACATTTTCTTTCTTATTTCTACTTGCTATTGTAGATGAAGATATAAAATTATTCAATATTTCTAGTTAGTCTTTGAAATTGACACAATCAAAATGTTATATTAAGAAAGAAAGGGGTATTTTATGACAGGATACTATGTGTGTTACGTTTATAAGTTACTGAATTCAACTTCATTCCTTATTTTAAACCAGTATTCAAATACCTTGTTTCCCCCTGATGCAAGCTAGTTTACTATTCAATTTTAAAAACTGTTTGAGTATACTCCATTAACAAAATTTAGGCCGTTCATGAGGGGACCCGCCACCTTTTTTTGGTTAATGTATTTTGCAGATTGACATTTTGGCTAACTTCAGCTGTTGCTTTTGTTTTTAAAGTAGGATCAAGTGGTGGGGATGGATTTCTTCCCCTAAAAACCGCCTAAATTTTATAAACGGAGTATAATAATTAATAGAACTATACAATGAAGAACAATAATATTATGGGATGAAAACTTGAGAAACTCTTTTTCCATTGTAATGTTTCAACAGGTTGTCCACCGACCGGGAAAACCAGGAATTATGCGTAAATTTCATATTTTACCGGGAATTTTCAATTTTCCGCGATTGTGCATAAAGATGACGTTTCCGTAAGCACGGGAGATGACGATGACGTTTCCGTGACCTCGGGAGAAGACGATGACGTTTCCGTGACTGCGGGAGACGACGATGACGTTTCCGTCACTGTGGAAGACGATGATGATAACCAAACGGGTGCGGGATATATTAGTGATTTTGCGGCGATCGCGCAAGAGGACGATGAAGTTTCCGTGACCCTGGTAGAAGATGATGATGTCCAAAAACTATTTCTCGACGATTATGACTCCGGGAAATTATTAGATATAGATTATACGATTGTAGAAGATGATGATAACTTCTTTGTGACTGCGGGAGACGATTATAATGTTTCCGTTACCCCTGAACAATATCAGGATTTGGCCACGACCACAGAATACAGTGGTAATGTTTCCGTTACTGAGGGAGATATTCAGGATTTTGCAGTTATCACGGAAAACGATGATGGTGTCTCTACAACCATGGTAGATCATCACGATATAACCTCGAGTTTGGCTTGACCTCAAAAATTTCAAAATGGCATACTTTTAGAAAGTTTTATTTTTATATTTTTTGTAATATCTTCATTTACCTCTAACTTGGTATTTATTTAATGTGTTTAGAAGGGTTTAAAAAGTGGCTATGGGAAATTTTTGTAATTTCTGCATTAAATTATTTTTGTAGGCCACTTGAAAAACAACCCATAACTCCATTACATACTACGTGAAAGTACATAAAGACAGGGCTCGGTGTAGTAATCCTTACAGAAAATTTGGTAAAATTAAAATTTTCAGTATTAAGAATCTATTTTTCAGGTGTCGATACGGAGATTCAATACATTTTGGTATTGGCATATTACAATTTTTAAGAAGTTATTGATAAATTGCAGGTTTAAAGATTAGTTTTCAATTTTCTGATTATTTAATCAGTAATATATAAAAATTGCATAGCCTACTTGTGTCAGGCAATATTACGGTAATTATAAATTTTGTTTCATTTACTGAGAATGCTTTTTCCAATAACTAAAATAGCGAACTGTGTTAGCACAAAAACAGCATTGCAGTAGTTGGCGCATAAACACGTTAGAAAGTTTAGCATGAAAAGTACGACCTGAACTACCTGGAATTACTCATGAATTTTTTCTGGTTGGCTTGGTAGACACCCTGTAATCAGTGTGCTTATCCTTATTTTGCAGTTGGTGTCGTGGGATTGTGTGCCCAAGAGCAACTCTTGGCAACGAGCTGAAGCTTACTGTCACACTGCCTGGACACCTGACGGCGCGACGCTGGCCGTACCTTGGGGTGACCAGGTGCGACTGTACCAGCGTGACACCTGGGAGAAAACTGGCACTCTAACTGACTCTTGTCTGGACAAACAGGTAATGGATCGTTGAAATCAGCTGGTGTCATGAAATATTATTAGCATTAGCTATTGAGTTGGGGATGCCACCCAGGCGCATATTTAAACCCAAATATGAGTGAAGGATGAGTGTAGAATGGTGTGAGATGATCTGTGTAGCTTTGTTACTTACTAAGATCAGCTGTTTCATTAGCCAGGATAATTTATATAAATCCCAAAGATCAAGGACAGCGGGTTCCAGTTTCAAACCATCAAAAACTTACTGAATTTTCTCAGGGTTGAATTGAAGATTTTTTGATTATAAATATTGGATGCAATAAATGTATTAAGAATGATTTTTGAAGCTTGTCAATCTTATATTTTTTTTATTGCTGCTTGCTACATAATACATGTATCACAGAGAAAATAAACCTCCATCAGTTTTCTCTATACATCACATTAAAAGTTAAATTTGGAAAATGTTTGATCATCCAAATAATGAGATAACTTAGATCATCTGATCAACCAATGTTTTCAATTTATTCTTAATTTAACTTATTCTACAAAATACCTCAACTGGCTGTTGCTGTATCATGATGATCTGAACACACTGAAGTACCATTATACTGCAAGCGAGTGCAAGATGTTTGCATGCTGCTGTTCTCGAGCCAGCAATGTCCACTGAGCTACTGTCTTTGGTTAAACCACACGGTACATTTAGATTTGATAGTTTACTCTCTACTGTTGGGTTTAATGCTTTTCTTTTTGTTATGAAACTGTGTATGTTCTTTCATTTTTTGGCCTAAATCATGAAGTTCCTTGCTACCCATCTGTTTGTACAGACTTTATCAGTGGTGAAGATATCCCACTGTGGACGTTACCTAGCCGCCAGCACCACCGCAGGACATGTCCTCGTCTGGGGCCTCGGCTCTCGTCGGCTGATCACTTCACTACAAACATCGGAAGCGTTACACATCTGCTCCTTAGATTGGAACCCTCAAATGACGTATATTGCTTTCTGCGACTCTGGAGGAAACTTTGGCTCAGTGGATCTCAATGTTTCCTCCGATCAGGTTAGTTTTACACACTGTTTTTATTTTTACAAATTGTTTCTCTACTTTAAGTCCCTTTTGTTGAACTATTATGTTTTATCAATAAAAATCTGGTAATAAAATATAATCTAAAAATAGATTGATATTTAATGCCATTTATTAACGAGAAACCTCACGATTGATACCTAATTGTAAGATAACCACAGTCAGTGACAAATATCTAGGATACTTACGACCCTAGGTCAAATCCACCCAAGCGAACCCCACCCCTCAGGCGAAATTTCCCTGTGATCTCAGCAAAATTGTGAACATCTCCTATAATCACAGAAGCATCGCTATCATTATCCACGATCATGATTAATTATGAATTTTAGGAAATAATAATTCTATTTTTGTCTCAAAAAATGTCTTGCTAAATGAGGTACTTACACAGTAGAACCTCAGAGGACCGACTCGCCAGAATTATCTGACCATGCCTGCTGAGCTGTATTTTTGTACTGCAAAATACTCTTAACAAACAATATAATCCCACTAAAATCATAATGGTATTGGTAATATAATTCTTCTTAAAATCTCTTTAAGTTTACATTGTGTATCCCTACAATGCCAGAAACAAAACTCAGATTATCTCTTCACACGGTATATTTTTGACTCTTTTAATTTTGGTCTTCTGCATTTTGAACTGTGGTAGTGTGTTTTGAGTTTTGATGTTCTATCTAGAATATCAACTACACAGGCCTGCATTCAATCACTAATGAAGCTGTTTCACAGCTTACAGTGCCATAATTTATTTAATATCCTTGCTGATAACTGGGTAGGTATTTGGATTTATGATCATAATTAGCAGGCCTAAACCTTCATTCTAATGTTGTTCAGTTAGCAAGCACAAAGAAAACAGTTTTTTTTAGTGCAAAGGTTTCTATGAAAGGCTACTAGCTTATTGATAGATACGTACACCCACGCATAATGGTAATCCTCTATCTAGGATAGTCATGAGAATCAACTTAGAGGTACTAACCCTATAGAAGAGGATTTTTTAGTGTCCAATGCACCAAATTACCTCAGCCAAAAGATGGATGAAGTTATAATAGAGAATACTGTTTGACAGAAGACACGGAACAACAGAGAGCCTATAAGCAAGGAGAGGACAGACATTAGGTTTGTATAAGAAAGAAACAAAAAACACTGGAAAGTACCATAAAACACGTTCTCCAATCGTACATAGTTGAATCTGAAGTTGGTGGTGGACTATGAAGAAGCAGTCTCCATTCACCATCCCTACATAACTACGCAAAGCCTTAGCTTTTGAGGGGATGATTTGATGACATTTTAATCAATACACAAACATAATTATTTACAATCATAAGTTTGTAGGTTTACCTTATAGTTTTCACTTCCATCTACATTTCGCAACATGTGTGGCATCATCAGGAGTAAAGTTTATAGTTACATAATTTCCAAAACAACACTACACTATGCGTTTACATTGGTCAGCAGATGATTTACAGTGAAGGCATAGCAACCCGTGTGTGTGCGTAATGGTGATGTTATTGGTCAGCAGATGATTTACAGTGAAGGCATAGCAACCCGTGTGTGTGCGTAATGGTGATGTTTGTCTCTGTCTGTTTTGGCTTGAGGTATGGTTGGAGGGTGATGGGATGGGGGTGAGATAGTGATGTTAGAACCCTAACTTCTATGACTGTGGTGTTGCCAGTCCCCCGCAACGCTGCCACATTGTTTTTTTTCTCTCCTGTCTCTGAGTTAAGTATGATTTCCCATGATATGCGGCACTACTGTAGCCAATAACTTAAAACATAAACAAGTGTATTCCTTCACCAGGGTGAGGAGTTGAAGAAACCAGAAGACATCCCCATGGGAGACCCTATGTTTGTAGACTCTGATGATGAGGATGGTGAAAATGTGATATCCTTGGATAAGATCAAGAATGAGTCTGGCTTCTTGGGCGATGGTTTGGAAGACGATGATGCTAAATCAAGCATTAAAGGTATTGATTTGTTTTTGGGACTGTTATTGTTAGAATTTATATATACCCTAATATATGCTGTTTTTGGGAATTTAAATCTTATCTTCTTGGATAATTTCCCCAAGATAATACTCAGATTTCAGTGTTGGTTTGCCTTGTCTAGTGTTTTATTGTGAATGAAATTAAAAATAGCTATATTGAGGCGAAGTTACGACTCGTAAGTTCTCTTTTTCTTTCACTTAACATAAAGAACCAAGAGCTTTATTGTCGTTGACCTTTTACAAGGAATAGATAGTCAATAGAAATAAAGACTAAAACTAGAAAAAATAGTGGGTTATAAATTAAAAATCAATATTAACTTTAGACACTAAATACTCTGTTATACAATAGTATGGATCTTTGATGAGCCACTCAAACATTTTGGACTTAAACCTATTATAATTTATTTTTGTAAAAAAATACAACCGACTTCAAACGCTTTAAAAAGAATGAAATAATTTCAATAAAGTAAACTTTTGTATTAGGTAAGCTCATGTATTTTAAGTCGGCGCGGCTCTATGATGATTTTTGATACAAAATTGAAAGAGGGTGTCCATATTGCAGGTGACTATCTATAACTAAAGGTGTTAATCTGCATGTCTTTTTCATAGTTATGCGTTAAGTGTTATTTTATTACCGTAATCAGAGATCGGCATTAGAGTGGTATTAACGATTATCTTTAAAAATCGTATAACGCATTTAAATGTTTTTTAATTGGAAAAGTAACGTTTTAATACTAAACTAGCTTCTTTTCCCTATCATAATATCAAACTAAATTATTTTCCTATTCATATAGAACATTTGTGTGTGTTATTTTCATAATGCATTTATTCTGAAGTAGGCCTAAACATAAAATACAAGAAGATATTTCCTTTAATATATAAACAAAACAGTTCAGTATGTTTTTTTTTATATATTTATGTTAAGTTATCCAGCTACAATTTATTAATTTTCAAAATACACACACAATATTTAGTTTCAATCATATTTGCAGTTTAAGCCGCACCGACTTGAAATACGTGAGCATGCCTAATACAAAAGTTAACTTTATTGAAATTATTTCATTCTTTTTAGAGCGTTTGAAGTCGGTTGTATTTTTTTACAAAAATAAATTATTTCATGATTTTTAGTGACTGTATAAGTTTTTATATATTAAATACTTGAGGATTTTTGATAAGCAAAACTGTTTGACACAATCAAAAGTTCCACAGAACAATCATTATTTTAAAACTGCTTGAGTCACCTGTTCAGGTTACATAATCAATGGGTATGAAAATAAACATTTTTAGATATTCCTTAAGAAGGAAAGAGTTGTCCATTACATTAGGCCTAATGACAAACTAATTGTCTTTTCTAGATACATTGACATGTCAGACATCATCGTTTCCTGCAATCGGTGTACTTCTACATTATAAAAAGAAATACAGTAACGTCTCAAGCCTTATGGAATGAAAGTTATTCCTCAGCTACCAGCACTAAAAAATCCCTCAAAAGTGGAAAATTGGTCGTTAACACGTATAGTACCTTTGGAAAATATTATATAAAAGATTGGTTCAGCTTAAAGTGGTGTAAGTCATGTAGGGGGTTTTGTTTGCTCAAGATATAGCCTAGTCGAAATTGCAAATCATCTTCCTCTAAGACTTTCCAAAGCAGGCATAATAGTATTGATATGATATAGTAACTGGGTAGAGAATATTAATAAACATTCCACATCTGCAAATGAAATATGTATATGAAAGATTGGTTCAGCTAAAAGTGGTGCAAGCCATGTAGGTGGTTTTGTTTGATCAAGATATAGCCTAGTCGAAATTGCAAATCATCTTCCCCTAGGACTTTCCGAATCAGGCATAATAGTATTGATATGATATAGGCCTAGTAACTGGGTAGAGAATACCAATAAACATTCCACATCTGCAAATGCATGTTTAGTAATTAAAATATTTATCACTTTTAAGACAATTGACGATTATGCACTGTCACACTTCTTCGGTCGTGTAAGGAATAATTGCATTTAATTTATATTTAGACCTGTTTTACGAATGCTTTGGTTTTCACAATACACCTTTATTTGTCAATATCATACAGCTATTCACTGAAACATATATGTTTTTGTAAGTCAGAATATTCAATACTAATAACAGAATTACTGTATACACAAATCAGGTGAAACGTTAAAATACATTTTTTATAGTAACCAAAACAAAATGCATTTTTCTCAATGTAATTCAAAGGCTCCATGGCAAGAAATAGTTTATTGATCAGTGAAGCAACTGTTTTATGAAGAATTGTCTGTAGCTTCATTTAAACGGTTTCAACTAACAGCTGTAGGAATGTTATTATTATTTATTGCCTTCTCTGCACAAATGTAAACAATCTGCACAAATGTAAACAAAACAAATGTTGAATATTTAAGGTTTTCAGAATATTTCACCGAAACAAATATTATACTTAAACATAATATATAAGGTACCAAATAGAAATTTTCCTGGTTATTTTGGTGGTGGAACCACACTGATCGGTAAAAGAATCACAGAGAAATTGGTGAACATACATAGAAAAAAAAAGACATCGCCACAAACAAATTGAGAACCTCCTCCTTTGTTGGTAGTGGGGAAGTCGGTTAAAAAGGGACCAGTTTTGCTGCCAGACCTAATTTACTAAAAACTCGAATGCAATTTATTTTATGGCAGTTATCTTTTTGGCCAATCTACGGGTAGGGATTTCTATATTTGATTTGCCTCTTGTATTGTAGGAGTGTATACTCTCTCTACAAATGAATTGATAAGATTATATTTAGTGTAGAGGAGTAAGTGAAAAATATACAAATTTACCATGGTCATAATATTTTTAATGTTTATAAAAAGAAGTCGACAGCTATCCACAGGGCCAGCCCCACAGATTGTTCGTATCACTTTTTTTGCAATAAAAGAATTTCATGGGTGTGGGGGGAGTGTCCCCATATAATAATCATGTAAGAAATATGCGATTTAAAAAAACCAAAATAAGTAATCCGAAGGTATTCATTACTAACAAAATCTCTGAGTTTCCAAATTAGATAATTTACTCTAGAAATTTTTTTGCATGTGATTTCTATGTGACTTTGCCAATTTAATTTTGAATCAATTAGGACACCTAATAATTTTATTGATTTTAATTCATTGTTAAGTGGGGATGGACTCAAAAGAATTTGCTGTGCCATCCAAAGTAATACTATTCTGTTTCATAAATAAACAATTAACAAACATTTTAAATTATTAAGTTCAATAAAATGAAATAGTGAGTAATATTTAGCACTTTTGTTGTCAGTTTATATGCTCACTCTTATCCACTGCTGCTTTTTGCTTTGAAAATATGTCGTCAAAATAGCCAAGTAATAAGACCAATGAACAGATTGATTACAAATAGTTCCTGAAAAATCTGAATTTGCAAAATAACATTCACCGGAGATTATTTACCGACCAATCTGATATATCTTTAAACTCACTTGAAAACCTCTCTCGTTGGAAATTCCAAGATATTCAGATAGTGATTCAAAATATGTCTTACTGTCAGGAAAATTCAATTAAATTGAGGAACTGCCAACCCTCGAACTATTTACCACCAGGGAAACATTACAGGAAATGTTGGTATTACTATTCCAGTCATAGGGAAGTTTTGTGAAATCCCTTCACTTAGGTTCACCAAATTGCCCAGCAGGTCTCCAATCTATGTTGTATGAAGTTAAGGATGTAACATAGAACACAAGGTCCTAGGTTTTAATGATTTTTGGGAGGATAGCAGGCTTACCTGAATGGGAAAGAGTCCAAACTGGTACAGGATACACAAAACATTAGAATATTTCACTTTCACTGACAACATTTTCAACTAAGGAAAAGAGTTTTCTTTAGGCAATATGGACCTTCAAGATATTGGACCTAAATAAAACTCTCACTTCCTTAGTTGAAAATGCTCTCAGTGACAGTGGAATAATGTTTTGTGTATGTATATAGTGTAAAGCTTTGTGTATCCTGTACCAGTTTGCTTAAGCCTGTTATGTTGGATGAAGTTATCCTCAGGTATCCGTTTAAAAAAATAGAAGTGAAGTTTTGATCCCCATAGCATACACAAGTGCACTAGATAACCATGAAAAATGTTACCTAATCCTATTTTGCTACTTTCGTTCACCTCGGTATGATCTTGTATTGATTCTAGGCACAGAAGAGGAAGGGAGACAGAGTCGACAAAGTGAGATTCGTCCGAGTGTCAATATAGACCTACAACCTCCCTTCCAGCCATCTTCTACACCTGTCAGTCTCCAGTATCGTTACATGGTGAGTGTACCATGGATACACCACTTTGATACTTAAAAAGTTAAAACCATCTAATGCATGGAGGATTTAAGTGTTGAATGTTGTTGAATGTTGGTTTTAAACTTTCAAGCTTCATTAAGAAAACTCCTCTAATCTTGTCAATTTTTTTTTTTCAAATGCAAAGATAAAATACACCTAAAATTCATAGTGTGATAAGATCTTGATAAAAATGTATGAAATATTTTGACTCGCTTTTTATTGATTGACGTCAATAGTTTAATATTTTTTAATCAAATTTGTATCCAGTTTAGAAAGCATTAATAATTGCTTTAGTGTTAGTTATTAACTCCTAATTGGTTCTGAATGCTTCTACATTTGTGTTTTCAGCTACATTTTATCATATTATTAGGCTCATTAGTTTGCAATTTTCCTGTTACAACACCCATAAATGAATTTTTTTAGACATTGGATGAGATTAATCCTCAAAGTATCTGGTAATGCACTCTTAGTATCTTTCAAGACCAAAACGCTTATTATTGGTCTAAAAAGTTACATACCACTGAAATCTCCTGCTATTGTAGAAACCTAACAATTTATGCCATAAATCCTATTTTGAAACCCGTGAGACTCTTCACCACCATTCACAATTGCAGACTCAATTTATGGTTCAAAATTTTTTATAAGAACTGGGGTTTTTGTAGGTGTGGAACGATGTAGGAGTTGTGAAGCAGACCAACGTGGAGGAAGAGACGGCTATAGATGTAGAATTCCACGATACTAGCCTTCATCACAACTTCCGAATGGGCAACGAGGCTGGTCACACTCTTGCAGCGCTCAGTAGTGAAGCTCTTGTACTGGCGTGTGAGGCTAGTGAAGACAATCCAAGGTAATAAACGAGCCAAGAAGTCAAGTTTAAGAATTTCTTCAGACATTTATTTGTCATCATATTTGGTCCGACAAGCACTTTTAATTTTTATAACACAAATTCACCCACATGCTACTCCTGTTTTTCAGCAAGGTGGTGTGTGTCTTACTGAACGCGTGGGATGGCACAAAAGAGTGGTCAGTGGTGCTCCCTGGTGAGGAGGAGGCGATGTGTGTTGCCGCAGGAGAAGGCTTTGTGGCAGTTGTGACGGACACACGGGTGCTCCGAGTGTTTACGACCTGTGGCACTCAACGCGAGATCATATCACTGCCTGGACCAGTTGTTAGCATGACTGCACAAAGACACTGGCTGACAGCTGTTTATCACTCCGGCACTGGTAAAGTAAACAGCTTGCTTATTTCATGTGTGAAGGGATCGTAGTATAGTGGTGAGCACTTTTTTGTCTAAAAATGCCGTGCGATTTCGCAACTGTCGTTCGTTTCTCAATCAAATCACGATATCATTTATACTATCGATTCGATTGTAGTTGTCATTGTCGTTTGTTACAGATCTGTCAGAGGCTATTGTGATAGGGACGAAATGGGAGGCAGATATCATCTAATATAAAATTAAACTGTCATAACCTAATCTAACTAACCAAACTTGCTGTTGGTTAGTTGAAAAAAATGAAAAAATGAAATTGAGGTTTCCTAATCAAAAAATAGTTCTGTTCATGAAATAAAATTATAAATGCCTCAAATTCTAACAAAAGATGTACAGTTAAGAAGTAATCACATTCTAAGCAAGATCTTTGACAAAAAGTTAGTGTCACCGGTGGGATTAGATCTGATTACCTCTTGGGCATGAGCTGATAACTCTTTCCAGTACACCACGAACACCGATGGCAACACTTCGTAGTAGCAAAAAATGTTCGATTCAAAGCAATGATTTGGTTCAAAAGATTTTCGATTCAAATCGATGCAACTTGATTTGAAGCAATACAGCATTTTTATATTAATACTTGTCAATGGAGTGAAATAACATAGGCTGATTAAAATTTACCACATTTATATAATGCAAATTTTTGTTGATGTGGTATTAGGCCTATTCAGTATTTATACATATGACAACATGAATTTTCGGGGACAAAACATTTATTTTCAATCATATATTAGTATTAGAAGAACCTGTATTGCTGGAAATGTAAGTGAGCTACTTTACTTGCCTATTTCATAATGTTAACTTGCAGAATCATATTGTTAAGCATGTTACCTATTTTATAATATTGATTTTACAAATAAAGATATGTTTTGGGTTTGGTGTAAACAAATAAAAACATTTGCAAGGTTTATACTGAAACTTTCGATTTGATTACATAAAAAAGATAAAATTAGAAGATAGAATCAGACCTACAAAATACAAGGTATACATAGCTTGAGACCTAAAATAATACCAAATTTATCAGTCTAAAAGATCAGTTTTACTAGTTAAGTATCAAGTAAAAATTTTTCAGACTTGTGTTATTTTTAGAATGATTTTGGAGTGAATTGTTTTGGCTACCGGTATGTTTACAGAAGTAAAACATGTATCACACTGCTTACACTTAACAAAACTTCTCATCATTTGCAATGTCATAACAAATAATTATAAAACAATTAAAGCAATATTTACAAGCAAAGAATTAATATATAAGAAGGCCTTCGCAAAAGAAACTGAACAACGCGCTGCTGTATTGCGGGTATTGCATTGACTTTCTGCAGGCGTTTTTCGTGTATGGATACTGACTCCCTCATGAATCAAATTGTTTTTTGATCACCACTGAATCGAATCGTAATTTCAATGCATTTTCGATGCCTCGCACACCTCTAAAAAAAAGCAAGAAAAGTAGTTAGTAAAATTTTTTAAAAGTAGTAAGCGTAGCAGACTTTTCTGCCTAGTGTCATTAACTTTATGATACTGAGTATAAACATCACATATTTTTATCTAAATGGACATAGTTAAATGGGTCACTCAAAGTGTAGCTATAGTATTTTCCGTTAGTTTTTGTTACTGTAAAAGATAGCTTACTATAAGTTGTCCTTTCAGTTGGATTAAAAATGTTACATATTCCTCATTAATCAGTTTGAGTGCACTCTGTTTTTGGCTTGATTCAGCTATGTTTATCTTGACTCTAAAACTGTCCACAACTTATAAGTGAGAATGTGAATGTAGCTCTATTCATAGTTAAAGGTAGTGTTAATAATATGACGACATTGCAAGCTGAATTATTTTAAGCCCCTGACGGACTGATTTTCGCTTGACAGAAAGTTAAACCAGGATAATCCACTGTGAGGACGAGTCATAGCTGAAACGTTATAATTTAGTATGACCACTAATCAAACAGCTCTGAGGCCAATCATCATGAACGTTATTAACGTAAGCATTTTTGTATCCAATTTGATTCAGGTCTGGACGGAGATCAATGTATGAGCTACCTGCAGTTGTGGCTAGGAGATGGTGATACTCTCATACGACCAACTTCCTCCAGACCTCTACCCCTCACCCCTCGATCTCGTCTGCGCTGGATAGGCTTCTCAGAAGAGGGTGAGTTATTTAAAATAATCTCTTTGAATCTATATTTGGTTGTTATTTTGTGCATAAGTTATTATCACAATCTGCAGTAATTTTGTTCTAGTTGGGGTTTTCATTTATGATTAAATTGACATTAGGTTATTTTTCAAAGTTTTGATTCACCAAAGTACAGTAAAATGAACTGTGTTTTCAGGATCACTTTGTTCCTTGGACACTGCAGGAGTCTTGCGTAAACTCACTCCGTCCTCTAACTGGACTCCCATATGTAATGTGGATGAACAGGTAAGAATCTCTTTGAATTTTAACGAGTTTTTCAAATTTTTACTTCAACAAAATTATCATTCTTTACAGTTAATTAAAGTAATAAACTCTCTCAATGAATTGCAAAAATGTAGTACCTACAGTATTCGTGGTTTTTGCACAATTTAATTATTTTCCATGGGGAACTTTAATTTGGACTATTATGAACTTTCCAAAGCTTAAGATAGTAAATGAAATGGGTTGTCCATAGATTAATGTCTCCAACAGGCTCCTTGCTCCAATGTTGTTAAGAGTTGTACTAACAATAATTGTCTAAATGCAATTTTTGAACATTTTGGAATCTGGCATATTTAGGTAGTTTGAACATAAAATTTGACTATGGAGATAGTCCTAGACTTTCCATTGCCATGTTAATTGTTGTCGGTTTCAGAATGGAAATAGCCCTAATTGAATTAAGCCACCGACAGATAGCGGTGAACATTATTACTTATTTCTGTTGTATTCTATGTTGTAGTACAAGGGAGGAAATATAATTTTGAATGAAGTGAAAAATATACTACAGCTGTCATTCAATTTTATAAATCAGATTTGAGATCCTAAAACCTAATGAAACTTCTTTCAGTAGATCAGTAATTGAAAATATTCACAATAATCATTTAAACAACATACTCTACTAACATCGAACTTTAATCCAAGAGCAATGAATGTCTAAGAACTGGAAATACTGTATTTCTAACTGATTTGAGTGATTTGCCTCATGATTGCAGTGCAAGGGCAAGTCGGACCACTACTTTGTGGTTGGTGTATGTGAGAAGTTCCAGACAGTAAGGGGTGTGTTGTGCAAGGGTGCGTTCTACCCTCCAACCTTCCCCCACCCAACTGTCTCTGAAGTGTCTTGGCTGGTAAGTTCTTCTCAATCACTCTATCAACCTCATTTTGAAACTTTCTTATGGGTTTGATTGTAAATTTAGATTTAAAATGTTTATACCTGGTGACCGTAAATAACTCGATGTTTAAAAAATAGGCTAAGTATTATTAAGTTTAGGGATGGGCGAGTAGTGTTTTTTTGAGTCGAGTCGAGTAATTAGCCCTAATTCTCGAGTATCGAGTCGAGTAGTTCACGAGAAAATCAACAATTTTATTTTACATATATTCCATCTTCATTTTTACGAACAAAGCATTTCTCAATTTCTCACCAAAAATAGACCTGGTTAAAAACTTTTATACCATATAAAAAAACACAATATGTGTGTATCAAAATTATATTTTGGTGTTAAAGGTTTATTATTAATTGAAAAAAAAATTGCAAAAATATGGAACTAAGTGTTTATTTTAAAATAGGCCTACTGTAAATGTTTGAATTTGACTAAAGCATGAGATCTAATAAAGTTTCCTCTAATTTATAAATAGGCTTATAAGTATTTATCTAAGTCATTTCTCAGTTTTTGTATTTATTTGAAATTCCATGAAATTGTCTTAGTTAACTCATTAGTTTATAATTTTTTTTTTATTACGTACCTAGCCTACATCTTGGTCTACAAATACTCTTTGTAAGGTAAGTTTTTTCCCCCAAGTGAGTAAAAACTAACTTCCTATATAATGACATTTTCTCACTAATTATATTTCTTCAAAATTTGTTTAACTATGAAAAAGTCACCAAGTCTAGCTGAAAACATAATCATAAATGAGGATATTTTTGAAATACTGAATAACTAATCAAACAAAATTTTTAACACTTTTATTTCTCAACTTTTTTCCCTTGAAAATGTCAACAGTTTTTCACTTATTTTTAATAAAGATTATCACTTAAAATTGTTTTAAAGAAGTCCAGATGTGTGAACTTGAAGAGCAGACAAGAGACATACGTCACTGCCACAAAAACTCTACTCTACTGTGAATGAATGAACTTTTTATTGTGTGAAGCCCCACCCACCGTCTAACGGGACATGGGGGAGGAAAAGAGAAAGTTTGGCAGAATTTGCCCTTGTTCTAAAGCCTGGTTCACATGCCCTCCCTCACCCTCGGCCTCAGTGGCTTGCAGATTTCCATTACACAAGAGTGTTAAATTATTTTGAAATACTGTAAATGTTTGAATTTGACTATGATGAGATCTAATAAAGTTTCCTCTAATTTATAAATAGGCTTAACTTTTTAAGTATTAATCTAAGTCATTTGTCAGTTTTTGTATTTCTTTTTAAAAGCAATTGCAGTTATACATTAAAAAAATTACAAACATCTTGGCCTACAAATACATTTTGTTAGGAGAGTCTTTTCTCTAGTGAGTAAAAACGATCGTGGTCAAGGAATGAACTGTGCTAAAACAGCACATTGTCAATGTTAACAAAAGTATTTTGACTAAAACCCTGGTATTTTTTAAAGACATTGCATAATAGCCTATGTCGACGTCTGTGGAGAAAAGTATGGCAATAGATAGGTTTTACTTTTAGCCTACAATTAAGATTATGTTTTCGGACTCAAATCTCCAAAAGACCAAAAGAGTGCTTTTAACAAACATTTCATAGTTTTATTTAGTAACAAAAGTGTTTGACTATGTTCCCGATTATACCAAGAACAAGGTTCGGCATAGTGGATTCACTGTGAACCGGCCTGCCTGGCCCTTATGCACGACGTCACTATAACCTCCGTGTAGGGGTGTCAACAATGGATTGGAACAATCGAAGTTTTGAACCTGTCTGTAACCTAGTTTTTTATACTTAAATACTCATTATTTATAAACAAACACGTCTGACATATCGGATCTCGAATCACGATATTTATCGATACCCTTACCACCCACAATAAAACATTAAACGATGTCAAAGCAATCGTCATTTGCTCAATTGAAACACGAAAGTCGATTGGCTGACATGGTAGTGCACTGACGCCTCCTGACCAATGAGAACTGTTGTTACATACTTTTATTGTCAACATTCACCAATCGTTTTAACATTACAAAATCGACACGGACTAAGGCTTATAATATTTTTCAATAAATACATTATGTTATAGTAGCACTTAAAACTTCACTAAACTCTTTAATCAGGTAGATAGTACAGATCAAAATATGGATCTACTTTTTGGCGCAATATAAAGCAAGCCTAACCATACGACGATAATGGTTGAATATAATTTTTCTAATGATGCGTATAATGCAGGGATTATTAAACTGAAAATTTAGACGTGTTTAGGTTATTTATTTTGTACTAAAAATAAAAATAATACATCTAAATGTCTGACTTATTGATACAGACATTGTTTAGTATAATTAATTTCGTGTTGGCAGGACATTCGCGCGCCGGTTGTCACTTGAGTTGAGTCTGACATCTTGAAATGTAGATTCGTAGATTGTGTTGTGCAATGCTGAAGCTAAACAATGTCACCGGCACCGTCGCTGTTTTGAACTAGATAGTTTCTAAGTTGGCTATGAAAATTGTTAACCGTGATGACAAAACTAATACTGTAGCTATACAGTAAAAAAATATTTATCCCTGTCGGATGTCGGTATCATCGGAATCGACTTTTGGTTTTGACAATCGAGTCTTGGTACCGATACCAATGTCCAAGTATCGGTGGTATCGATGACGATAATCGAATCATCCCTTTTTACTAGTAGAGCTGTATCGTGACGTAATCGATGCATCGGGATTTTGATGCATGCTGGATCGAATCGGGATTCGATGCATCGCACTCGCACACCTACACCACTGCCTATCACCCAGTGTCAGCTCAGCTGTCGGCGCTGTCGCTGTCAGTGAAATGGATGACACAAGCGATGTCTAGGTTGCCGATTATTAGTAGGCCTAGTATGTCAATATTTAAAGGGGTTAAGGGATTAAATAAAACTCAAACATTTTCCTTTCTTACTATTTATTTGTCAAATATCAATGAAAATAACGAAATCGGCTTAACGTCTACTACTCGACTCGAGTCACGAGTATCTTTAACTACTCGACTCGACTGTCGAGTATTGCCAACTACTCGAGTAATTACTCGACAGTCGAGTACTCGCCCACCCCTAATTAAGTTTTTGTATCAATTATAACTTATATTGCATTAAGATGTTTGTAAAATCTAAAAACTACTGTTGCTGGAAGTAGGAATGATGTTTAAATATCCAAATTGCATACTGTTATCACAATTTGCGTGCCTTGAAATCTTTGACACTTACTACTTAAGACTCGGACGTTGGAAATGAACAGAACTGGACTAGTACTAGACACTGGCAGACTATGCTTATGCTACTGAAACTGGAAACAACCGCAGTTTTTTAATTTTTCTCAAAGAAAACTATACAATCCATGCTCTTGTTTCCATCTAACTATTTTCAAAAAAGGAATCTCTCAACAGTATAGTTAAAACATCACTTGGATGTAGGATAAATTGTCTGCAGGGTAAAACCAGCAATCTTTGTAATTTAAGGCAAGCACTCAAACCACTTGTATACTGAGTACAAAGCTTACAACTATGCCCAAACGCAGAAAATAAGGTGTAAACAGAAAACAAGTCAGTAAGCTCTATTTTTTAGGTTCCAATGTGCGAAATGTCGGTGGAAAAAGGACAGCTTGAGGAGCAGTTTTGGCGATGTAACGTGGCTGTGTCGTCTCTCTCTGATGCTGACGACGAAAGGGACTCTGCCGACCGGACGATCAAGAAAACACTTCTCAAATTATTTGCGGTAAGATAACATATCTGCCTATTTTTTAGTGTGCAATTCAGTGTGTTTTTATAAATGGTCCCAGCTAAAGAATCAGGTGACCTTAACCTGTCAGGTGTGTAACAGACCTGTCATTACATTCATTCAGCACTCATCTTTGCCTTAAAATAAACACCCTGTAGTGTCAACATCCTGAGCTCATTCTAATACATTAACAGATAAACATTCTACAGCCTCCATTTTGGAAAAAAATGTAGTTGTTACGCACTGAGGTTGGGCTCCTGGGACTAAAATGGCTTAGAGATTATTGTCTTTAGATTATTTCAAGGCAATAGGTCTTCTTGATGTACGCAATAGTGCAATACATGAGAGGAATGAGACTTTGTTAGTTTTTGGCTCACCCTGTATCGGAAAAAGTTAAAAATATTTTTACGTTATTCCTTGGGGTCGATTTCCTTGGGAAAATAATTTTATATTATCCTTGTAGGTTAAGCCGTTTTTCCGCTTTCAATTTGAGACATCTCTCATGAGACAACTGTATATATACGTCCGTGAACGCGATAACTTGAGTAATTTTTCTCCAATTTTGACGACATTTGTTTTGAAGGTGTAAGGCAGGATAATCTTGAATGAATTCACAAACTAGCTTGATCGGACCATGGGAACGGGGTTTTACGGGGGCTTTTATGGGGTAAAAAATGTTTTTATCTCATTTTTGACCCTAAAAACACAAAATTTCCCAATTTCTCTCTAGACCGTTTTAAAGAGCTTAAAAAAACAAATAGTTTAGTACATAAAGTGTTTTTGTACGGTTATTGGCAGTGGAATAAATTCAAAAAGTTGTAAATTTAAAATTTCTATGTTATTCTATTGTAAAATATTGTAGTATTGTAGCTTGTTTATTGATATATTTTGATCAAATTTGGCAAATTTATTTATTTTATACTAAGCTATTAATATTTTACTAAAAAAACACGCTTTATTTGTTTTTTTTGTAGCAGCAAACCTATGTACTCGGGGAACCTAATGTTATTTAAATAGATTTGATTGAAAATCAATTCTGAGAAATGGAAATTCACTTAGTCGGCAGGTTTGCTGCGGCGGGGGTATTTTTAAATACAGAAAAAGAAGTCTGTTTTGATGTATTCCTTAGTACCATATCTATACTATAATACCCCCGCCGCCAATGACAGTTTTACGAAAATGTAAACAAATGGATTTTAACATATGCTTGTAACAAATCATCTACAGTAAAGTAGCAAATTAAAAAATACAGTAAAAAGGAAAAGAACATTTCTATGAATGCTATTGAGCATTTATTAAGCCCCCCATACACGGGCGAGCATGTTCGCGAGTATGCTCGTGACGGTGTTGGTGACGAACATGCTCGCTCGTGTGTGGGATCCGTCGCGGCGAGAATGTTGGGCTCGGCGCTCGGCTCGTCGGACCTGGCGAGCCTGAACACGAACATGCTCGCCCGTCTGTGGGGACGACCAATATGTTCGAGAGCATGTTCGCCGCTGCAACTCACCCACAGTGGGTAGAGATAGGCTTAAATTATTCCATCGATGTAGCCGCTACTATGATTCCAGTTACACTCATGGACTCATTACAAGTAACCGTTCCGATTCCAAACTATTACTTCGTTACCGCCATTACAAAGTAGCCGCAATAGACACATTGCACTTGTAATCATCATGGTGTTGATATTCTGATGTATTCCAGTTACAGTAATAGATTTAGAATCAATGTTTACAAAAGCTAAATATATATTTATTTGTGTTTGTAACGTAATAAATACAAATTTAAATGAGTTTCCAAATAGAGGATACATCAATTAAAATTTGTATATTATTACACAAATGTTTACAATCAATTCTGTATTAATTTGTCACAAATAAATAATTCTAAGAAAGTCTAGAATAAGCAAAACTACGAGATATGTTTTTGCACAACGACAGAATTTTAATAGTTCTCTTAGAAGGGACATGGTTGAACCGTTTTCTGTTTTTGAGCCAATTTTTACACCATATTTTTCGTAGCTTACTTTTGCTTTCCTCTTCCAAACAAACTGCACCATCGCAAATAGCCACAACAGCATTGGCATCCATTTAAATTTAATCCAAATAAAGTAATCAAATATTAAATACACTCAACTTGACTGTCACAGCGCACAAGAGAAGCAAGAATAGGCCTAGGAACCGCTACCGAGCAACGAGCATGTTCGCGAGCATGCTCGTCCGTCTGTTGGGAACGCCAAGCATGTTCGCGAGCATGCTCGTCCGTCTGTTGACAACACCGAGCATGTTCGCCAACATGCTCGCGAACATGCTCGCCCGTGTATGGGGGGCTTTAGGTTGAATGTAATTTTATTTTTCTATAATATGTTTGCTGTTATTTGTTCTGTATTTAATTTAATATGTTGGTAACAGCTGATTGTTATAATAAGAATTTTTGAACAAGATATGATAGAGTAAATAGTTATTTGTGTAACTAGTGAGCAAAGTGGCACTTTGCTGCACACGAGAGCAATGTTTACGAATGATCTTGAGTGCAGCAAAGGCCTTTTGCACTCGTGTTACACATTATATTTTTCCTACAGTCACTATAAAGCATATAAATAATTAATCTTTCAAACACTATACAACACATTTTTAGATTCAGCTGGCAACACAAATAGGTGCCCTCGAGAAAGTAGTCACCGGTTTGTATCACTCCGCTATTTTTTCCTTGGCAAGCAGTGTGGTCCGCAATTTGAGAAAATAGTTCCGTATTTTTTTGTAATTTGTAGTCGTTTCCACGCCTAAAAAAATGCTTTAGAGGTATTTTCTTGTTTATAAAGATCGTAGGAATGTTTTAAAAACGTTTAAAAGTAAAGTCCAGAAAGTTCAGAAATACCTAAAAAAGAACAAACTATAAACACGAAATGACAGGTTAAATCGTAGTTATAATAGTCAATCAGCTGCTCATAGTATTATTTTTCGTTAAGTGTTCCAACCTATCTCCAAGTGTACACGGATTACGTGCATAATAGAACCACGCTGTTTTGTGTTGTTTCGTTGGAATCCTGATTTGCGCCAAAGTATAAACCGTACGGCAAAGTATAAATATGCAGCAATTAGCAGCTTTCTGCCAACTTTGTCGGGTGACTGTTGAAAAATGTTTTTTTTGTGCTTCAGTAAAATAAAATTTACTAATTATTGTAACAGTAAAAACTTAGTACTACAGCCTACTTCAATGTACTTTCACTTAAGTCAACATATTAAACAATACATTTGGATTGTATGATGTATTACTAACCAAAGGGATAATTAGGACTGTTCAAAAACGTTAAGTGTTATTCCACAAAACGTAATAGGCCTACATTAATATTGAACTAAAAGTCTAAAGGAAAGGCCAAGGGCGTTTAGTAGTTTCTGACGATGTGCCGCCAGAATTGATGCGTTATTCAACAATCCCGTGATTATAATTGTGATGTTCCACGATCCCAGTGACTAACGCAATAACGGTCAACAGATGATATGCAGCATGAGTTTTTATATTGAAGTTTATTGTAGAAATTTTATAGATTGGTCGAATTTTATAATTTAGAATTTTATAGTTTTTTGTAGAAAAGTTTTTTTTAGGTAAACTAGATGTGAGGTCTCACACTGTGTAATATTGTAACTGTGTAGATTAAAACCTCAACAAGTAGGACTAGGCCTAAATGTGTACTATACTTCTCAGGATGTATGTAAAAAAATGTTTGTTCCTGCTTGCATTCAATTTAAATATACATCTCTACGTAAAAAACTATTTACAAAGACTTGAATTTAAAAATTCAAATCACTCACTGAGTTTGTCTTACAAATGTATCGTGATCACAGCTGGCGTGTCAGAGCGGGCTCGAGGTGAGAGCCGTGGGTCTGTGTCAGCTGATGGGTCCAGAGGTCGTTGAACTCGCTGTCAAGTACGCCTCTAAGCTCGGCCGCATCCAACTTGCCAACAGGATAACCGAGGCGGTTAACAAGTCACCTCCATCCCCCCCACCTGACTCTAGGTTAGTTTGTCTGTGTAACCAGTGTTATTGGATACAGAAAAATTGCTCGGGGTTTTCAAATTATTATTAATTTAAAGATAAAATCATTATAATATCTATTTGATTGAACTCACAAGTATCGTAATTTAAATGCTCAAATAGTTAGTCCCTTAATTGTTCAATGTGAGCACCATTCGTCTCATGGCACAAAATAAGTAAGTTTTCCACAAACATTGATGAGTTATAGAGTAATGGTTGCAAAAGCTGATTCAAAACTGTTTCTAAATTTAGGCTGGTCAGATGGTAACAGACCCCTGACACTCTTATGTAGGGCAAAAGACATGTGTAATATCATTTGGTTAACGTTGAGGAAATGTAAAACAAGCTTTACCATCAGGCCATGATGGATCATGATGTACGTTTAATTTTTTTCATTGTTCTGCAGTGAATGCTTTACAAAGCCTACTTCTTCCAGCTCACACTTGATGTTGACAACAATGTACCTAAACTATTTAAGTAACTTTTCCATTTGATGTAGGATATGATTCGTCTGTGTAATTTTGAATGAAATTTAAAGTAAAGTTTAGCCTTTGATCTAGCTTTAATCTTAAGCTTTGATTTGAGTTAGGGATGGACGGGTCCCGAAATTTCATGAAATTTTCGGGGAAATATTATTCCCGATTTTTGTGACGGGATTACATTTGAATCGGGAATTTTTCGGGACGGGATTTGGTCCGATCGTCAACGATTTTGCCGCTTCGCGAGTGACGATGACGCCGCTATCGCGAAAGATGTTCAAGATAGTTCCGCGAACGCAGGAGGTGAGTCATACTACGATCGCGCCGTGACCGCTAGTAATACCGACGATCACGCCGTGACCGCGGAGACATACCGACGATCATGCTGTGACCACAAAGTCATACCGAAAATCACGCCGAGAACGCTGAGTCATACGTCATACCGACGGTCGCGCCATGACTGTGAGTCATTTCGACGATCATGCTGTGACAACAATGTCATACCGACGATCACGCCGTGACCACAGAGACATACCGACGATCCCGCCGATCGACCGCGAGTCATACTACAATCGCGGCGTGACCGCTAGTAATACTGACGATCACGCCGTGACCACTAGTAATACCGACGATCACGCCGTGACCGCGGAGTCATACCGACGACCACACCGTGACCGCGAAGACATACCGAAGATCACGCCGTGACCGCGGAGACATACCGACGATCATGCTGTGACCACAAAGTCATACCGACGTTCGCGCCATGACCGTGAGTCATTTCGACGATCGCGCCGTGACCGCGAGTCATTTCGACGATCATTCTGTGACCACAAAGTTATACCGGCGATCACGCCGAGACCGCTGAGTCATACCGACGATTGCGCCCTGACCGCGAGTAATTTCGACGATCGCGCCGTGACCACGGAGTCATACCGACAATCATGCCGTGACCGCGAGTCGTACCGACGATCGCACCGTGACCGCGAGTCATTTCTATACCTGTAAATTTTTAGGCCTACCCATTTTCTTGTTTTTATAGGTCAGTACCATAAATGGTAAATATTGATTTTGTTTGTCTTGTTTGGTCACTGCAATACTCAAGACTTTCTTTTTATACACAGGAAAATATCCCGTCCCGTTCCGTCCCGAACTAAAAATTCAATTCCGTCCATCCCTAATTTGTGTGATTGCTTGAGGAAACGTCAATGATTGAGGCCAGCTTATTTTTTTTAACTATGTTGTGCTGTTATTTGAGGAGATTATAACAGACATTTTCATCACAGATTAAATTTCCTGTGTTACTCAACTATCAATTTGTTTACTTATTTGTATTACTATACGGTACTTTGGTATTATACGGAGGCCATCCTTATACAGTGCGCTGTGGCGGTTATGTTAGGTTGGGTTATCATAAATAAAAAGTATTACTCATCTAGTATCGCTCGATTTATAAGTCCTACGAACATTTTTATGATAACCCAACCTTACATAACCGCTGCAGCGCGCTGTAAAATAAGTGGCCTCCGTATAAAACCAAAGTACCTATTATACCAATATGATATTCTGTCCATATGAAATTTGATATGTATGTTTGACAGTTTTGGAAAAAAAATTATATATATATGATTTTTACTCTAATTTGTTAGATATGAGGACAACATAAGGGACAACTGGAAGGAGTCGTCTGAAAGAGACCCACCTCCTCTGTCTCAGGACTTGTTCGCTCCTTCAAATGAAGAACGTGTTCCAGGTAAGGCAGTAACTCAAAAGTCTTATGTTTCAGTTTTAATTATGACCTAGATCAGCATATTATGATTGTTAATGATTCATTAATGTTTTAGCGTTTTAGTTAAATCAAAAGAATATAGGAAGTTTAATTTTTCAATAGTCTCTTGATTTAGAAGACTAGGTTTGTCATTAACTATTGGACACTGAAGGTTTTTACAGTATATCTCCTTTTTTTACAAGTTTTTACAAATTGACCTTTAAATAAGATGACAATTCTTCCCAGTGGGTTTGCTATCTATTTGTCAAATCATTCGGCAATTAAAGGGTATTTTAAAAAAGCTGTTTTTAACAACTGAAACGGTCAATTGTGATCTGTGCAGTTTACTATCCATAAAACTCCATATTCTCTAGTTTGAATATTTGTACTTTTTCAGAAAACGAAAACCCAATCTTAGCCCTAAAACAAATTAAATCATCACTGGCCCCAACCAGACTGTCCAATCCGATGAAACGGGCCAATCCTTTCAAGAAGACAACAGACGACAAAATTGAGGACAAGGGGTTGGCAGGACTGACTAAACAAGTGTTTAGCAAACCAGTTCCAAAGGCTGCTGAACCAGTTTTTAATAAGGTAAATGATATATTTAATTTTGAAAGTTTTGAAAACCAAGTATGTATAATATTACAAGTTATTACAAGATTATAGAGACATACAGATTGTTGAAATTTTAGTTTTAGTAGGCATATTCATAACGTTAGATTAAAATAAGGATGCACAGTACTGTATCTAAACTAAATTTAGTACAGTTTCAAATGTTGCCTCATCTTACTAATATTATAAATGTGAAAGTTTGTGTGTTTGTTTGCTTGAAGTTCAATCACGCATTAATTACTGGATGGATTGGGCTGAAATTTTGCATGATAATAGCTCACATTCCCGATTAACATATAGGCTTATTCTTATCTCAAAAATCAAATCAAATCAAATCATTAAAAAAAATAAATTAAAAATTGGTTTTTCTCATATTTGACCCTCAAAACACAAAATTTCCCAATTTCTCTCAAGACCTTTTTAAAAAGCTTAAAAAACAAATCATTTAGTATATCAAAGTGTTTTTGTACAATTAGTGGTAACGGAGAAAATTAAAAAATTCTATATTTAAAATTCCCATGCCATTTTTATGGAGAATGTTGTAAAATGTTGTAGTTTGCTTGTTTATGGATATATTATGATCAAACTTGGCAAATTTATTTATTATTTACTAAGCTATCAATATTTTACTAAAACCCACACTTTATTAGTTTCATTGTAGCAGCAAACCTAGGTACTCGTTAAACCTAATGTTATTTAAATTGTTTTAATTGAAAAGCAATTCAGACAAATGGAAATTTGCTTATTTGGCAAGTTTGCTGCGGCGGGGGTATTTGTAAATTATTTTAGTTACAGTAGGCAATTTTATTTACTTACATATTTATTGAAAACAGAACAGCGGCATAAGATATTTTGAGGTGGTTTGTTGATGAAAAAACATTATCAAAACACATTATCAAAACATTGTTTTTTTTTTAAGACATGTATGGATGAACTCTAGTTCTTACACTGTCAATATTTCTAATTTTATTACAAGATTGTCCAATTACACTTTCAGAAAGCTACAAATGAAAACCAGCCAAAGAAGAACACATTTTCCGATTGGTTCTCAGGCCATAAATCAAGTTTGCAAGAAGAGTTCCCCGATCTTGATACCTCAGAACTGAGCAAAGTCGCCCTCAAGAGGTTCAAAGAGGAACAAAAGACAAAACCAAACAATAATCAAGGCATGAAGAAGTTTTTTGGCTCTGCAGCTTTAAACAGTGAGGTAGGCTTAAAGAGCAAGGCAGTTCAGTTGAGGATAAATGTAAACAAACGTGTAATTATAATTTCGTTGCCTTTTTTTAATTGACAGTTTCCAAACATTGAGAGTGGTAAGCTGTATTGTATCCTTATTGAAAATACTGAGCTGCTTTCAATACTTTGGTTAAAGCATTGTTAAAGTAAAAAATCAATTATACGATACAAAAAGAGGTTTAGTACCTGGTTGCAAAGAAATTCTTGTTGTTTCAATGGCGGCCCATTTCGATGCACTTAAGGTGTCTTTATCAAACCCTACTGATAAGTGTATTACAGATACAAAAATGTTACAATCTTTAATTTTAAGAACTGCATAAAACTACAAGTACACGTTTACAAATTTACAATGTACAGGTCCCTGTAATTACAATTTAACAATTACTACAGGTGTTGCTAGAATAATTTGTATACTTGTAAAGCTAGGTTTTCCTAGGCGCGGAAGCGGAGAGCGGAGAGAGGAACGCGGAGAGCGGAAAAGAGATTAACATGGTGTTCCGCTCCGCTTCTAGGAAAACAGTAACATTAAATTACCTAAGACAAGTGGAGTCCGCTCTCCGCGTTCCTCTCTCCGCTTTCCGCTTCCGCGCCTAGGAAAACCCAGCTTAAGAACAAGTACACAAATTGTTAACAGCTGATTACAATTTTACAATAAAATTACACATACGTCATTTGTTTACTTTTTCAAATATTGGATTTCCGAAAGGAGAGCACTTTCACTTGGTAAATAGTCCTTATTTCACAATGTCATCTTCACTTACGTAAAATGTTAATATATTGAATTAAAATATATTAACATAAAAAAAATAGTAGAGCTGTTTAGTTTTAAGTTTCAGTTTAGTTCTTAAAAGTTTTTTGAAGTTAGTTTTTATTAATGTCAAAATGATAACGTATACTATTCTTAGTATTCTGCCAATATTCGTATAGACTAATACAACCAATATCCTAATTAATTAATTTAAAAAAATTCATACAAATAGACAAATTAGTTTTATTTTACAATACAGAAAACAAGCTTCAATTTTTATAACATGAAAACAGTCATATATTGGAAAATGAACTTAGAAGCAGTGTCAGGCTATTGTCAATGATTGAAGTGGTTGATTATTTCCTGCTACCTTACAATCCCGTCTCTGTCAAATTGTTCTTCATTCATATTCTGTTCTTGTTCTTCGACTTCGTTCTCATTTTCAACCACCTCAATCAAACCCGCACGCCGTGCGTAGTTGTACATGGCTACTACAACAATTGAAAATTTCATATGCAAAAACAGATTACACGGCAGGTGATTTAAACCAGGAAACTTCTCCTTTAGCATGTCAAGGGAGTTTTCCACAATGCGCCTTGGACACTTGTGTTTTCGGTTGTATCTTACAACAGGCGGATCTTCGAGGTTTACTCCAATAGGCGTTATCAGCCAGTCAAGAGTGGATACCCGGAGTCTCCCCTCCTTCAATAGGGCGCCAACCACCCTCCATTCGTGAACGCTTCCAGGCCATCGGGCGCTTACATAGAAGAAACAATAGTCTGGCCCACAAACCAACATGCAATTGACGGAGTGGTTATTCATACGGTCAACATACTGTTGTTCATTTAAATTCAGGGCGTCTATTTTAATCAATGTCCCATCGATGCAACCAATTACAGTGGCATTTCTGCAATTGCATGGAACCCTTGAACAACTTGTACAATACTTACTGGATACCTTGTGTGCTGGTTGTGGAGGGATATTGGCGATTTCTCTGTCAATGATCTCCTTAAAACCCGTCCAGTTGGCCTTTTTGAAATTAAACCTGCGCCTTAGAGGAAAAACTTCAGGTTTAACAACAGCACTAACGGTGCATACTATAGGTCTGTGTTGAGTTCGGGGAATCGGATCACCTACAGACTTTTCACACTGGGAGGCAATCCTGCTGCTCACAAAGATGTTGTCAGGGTTATAACCCCTCTTCCATCTACCGCTGTTAAAGGAGCAAGGGAGCTTAGGATCGTGTATGAACTGCATGTCATTTGCCTAAGCCCAGGTTTCAAGTTTTGTCCCATTTTCACTTGTCTCTTTGTATCCCCAAGCTGAGGTTCTGAGGACATTAGGGTTAGCGCCCCAGCATCTGCTGGTGAGCTTCCTGATGACATTATTCCTAGCTGAGACTTTACCTCTTGTCGCAATACAATGCGCCTTAAATGTCAGTGTTTGGTCCAGTATGACACCAAGATATTTGGGTGTAGGACAATGCAGAAGACAGTCTCCCCGCCACCTCACATTCAAGTCACGGCCTGCTTCTCTATTGTTTAGGTGAAAGGCACAAACTTGGGTCTTAGCAGGGTTCGGCTTGAGGTGATTTGCGTCATAGTACTGGGAAAGTTCATTTAGAGTCATAGTCAGCTTCTGTTCCACCTCTTCAAAACTCCTACCTTGTGTGCAATCAAAAGGCCAATCAACTACCCTCGGAAAGAGAGTGTTGTTCACTGCTCTAACTCAGTTATGGACGGCACGACATACAGTCGACTTATGCACACCAAGCATGTCACTGAGGTCATGGTATTGGCACCCATCACCCATCCAATGTAAGCCAATACATAAAACTTGTTTTAAAGTTAGTGCATGATTTCGTGCTGTTTCCCTTTTGAGGTTAGGTCTACTATTTCTAAAAGCTCTTCTAGTTTTTGTGGTGGCATTCAAAATCTTTCGTTAATTTCAAAAGCATCACTTTCAAATTCAAAATTTTTTCTCACCTTGAAGGTCCTTTTGCGACTTGTGAAGACTCTTTATCAGAAGAATCATCACTATTCTACATTTTTGTCTTAAAAATAATAAATTGTACAATATCAACAAAGGTTTGCAGGCCAAAGAAGCTAGGTAAAAAATTCTTACATTTCTTCAGGGCTCTATTGCATAAAACTACAATTTTACAAGTTTGCACGTTTTCAGGCAAATTTTTGAAGAATTCCTCTTAAATTGTAATTACAGGTGTTTCATAAACTACAAGTTACAGACTTGTAACAACTACTAAAAAATTCAAATTTACAGGAATTATTTTAGTAAACTTGTATTTACAATAAAATTATTACAATTTTACATATACAGTACCTGTAGAAATTTTAGATTTTTTACATAGCTTCTTTGGCCTGTAAACCTTTGTTGCTATTGTTCAATTTATTCTTTTTAAGACAAAAATGTGAAATAGGGGTGATTCTTCTGATGAAGAGCCCCCACAACGCTGAAGAAGGACCTTCAAACTGAAACTTAAAACTAAACAACTCTATTATTTTTATAATGTTATAGTAAGTGAAGATGTCATAGTCAAATAAGGACTATTATAGAATTTATGATCACTAAGATAGTTAGTTAACTATTGATTAACATCAATAGACTAACCACTTACTATAAAAAACAGGAATTTATAAAACTAATTAGAATATTATTAATAACATTTAAAAACTTTATTGGAATTTCGATTCTCGCTCCCTTCCTAATTTTATTGTTCATCTTACCAAGTGCAAGTTTTCTCCTTTAAGACCCTGTCACACGGAGCTGGTTTTTTCACCGCTAGTGACTAGCGGCTAGAACCAGCATAAAACCAGCGTTGTGTGACTGATTCTCTAGCTGCTAGAAACACTCGCATGAGCGGTATCTACAGGGACCTGTAAACTGTTAATTTGTAAACTTGTACTTGTAGTTTCATGCAATAGGCCCCCAGGTAAATGTAAAATTGTTAAAAAATGCCTGTAAATTTGGGTTTTTGAGTACCGTAGTTGTTATAAGTCTGTAACATGTAGTTTATGCAATACCTGTAATTACCATTTCTGAAGAATTCTTCAGAAATTTACCTGTAAACTTATAAAATTGTATGCGAGAGGTCTGCAGGACTCTTGACTACTAAGAGTTTTTTAGTCAGGTTTTTTATTACAAAAATGTTTAACTGTCAAAAACTATTGTTATAGCCTTAAGATTGGGACAACAAAACAATCTGTAGTATTGTATAAGAAGGAAAATGACTCAAAATCAGAGGGTTTTTTTTTTTTTGTTTTATAATGCTTAAGTTACATTTCTACTTCTGGGGACTCCAAAAATAACTTCAATTTGCATGATATTTTTCCATTACATTACAAGATTGTTTTGGTTTTACAGAATAAAATTGAAAAGAATTCCCCACAAAGTGACAAGGACCTAGAAAACAAGAAAAGGAAAGCCACAGAAGATGAGGATGAAATCCCCCAAACTCCAGAACCCAAGAAGTCTTCAACTGCTTCAAAACTTAAGAAGTTTTCATTTGTAAAGCCCTAAAAATGCTTGCCCAAGATGAAACTTGTTCTGGTAGCTTTAGCAAATTTTGTTACTGTGTATAAACTGTATTTTTAGTTTTATCACTAACTATTTTACTTAATTTTATAATTGTAAAATAAAAATAATCTTATTACTTAACCAGTGTCCTCTTTTGAACAGTGTATAACCTCTATGAATACACTGAAGGTATGTTTTTTGAAATGTCTTTACTACAGTTTTAACTCATTTACTAGACTTTATAACATTGTAAAATTAATATTTAATTATTTTAATTTTTTCCAGACTCCAAATTTTAAGGACCTTGGTCGTCTGTAATGAATGATGCCATCAAGATGGCAGCCGTAAGACGATGCTAGGTCGCCATTGCCATGAATTGGTTATAACACCCAAATGCCTAAACTGATTTTAATGAAATTTGCCATACAAGTGCTTGGATACAATATCTCGGCCCAGGTTGTCAATGGTTGAGTTTGATGAAGTCGTTTCAAAATGGTGGCTGTTAAAAACTAAAAGAATTATGAGGAAAATAAGTGTGAATTGCTATGAATTAAAATACCTATGAGTTATTAAAATAATATAACAGAGTGTGTAAATTCAGAAAAAAACGTTTTAAAGATCCCCCTCGTTTTAAAGGACATGTTAAAAAAAAATTTTTGATTGAACATTTTTTTGACCAAAATGTACGCAATGGCGGCCTAAAAAGCTTTAAAAATGCAAATAGGCTTAAAAAAGACTTAAGGAATTTAAGCCTGTTTTACCATTTGCATTTTTAAAGCGTTTCAGACTGCCATTATGCATACAAAATTTTCAATCACACCAAACGTTTTCTTTTATCATGACATAGTTAGAAATCAATCTTATTTGAAGTTTTGGGTAGATTTATCAGTTTAATAACTTGAATTAAAACCAGTTTGTATTTTTTTGTAGAATTTTGAAACCTTTAGTAAATTCCAAAAGATATCTAAATAGTTTGTATACACAACATTCCATATTAGCTGTTGATAAGGAATTATATTGTAATTGCTAATTCAATATAGCACTGAAGATTAAAATAGTAATATTTCACTGCCACAGTGATCTTAATATAGACAGAGATTGGAGTAAAACTAGTCCAGAATTGTTTTCTCTATTATTTCATCTACCGTAGCTGTTTAGTGACACAGGTATGTACAATACAATAATTATTGTTTTATTATACTCTATCTAAGCAAAGAATGGTTTGATTTATATTAAAGTAGAGGTAATGGTTGATCTTAAAAATGTTCTAGACTAGGTTCGAAGTGTTATTTATGTCCATGCTATAATGGGATGACTGGATACAGTAAAAACATCCTACATAAAGCATTTGTCTCTCCAAATCCAACATATTCTACCCAAAAAACGGGTTAGTGGCCAAGATTATTAATAAGTTATTTTTGTCTTTATATATCTCTGGGCTTACTACTTTAACCTCAGAAAATTATCCATTTATAAAATAGGTAGTTACCATCATATCACCCATCACTCATCTTCTTTTGTACCACAAACAACAAACAAGTGGAAAGCAGTAAAATTCAAATTCAAATTAAGCTAACCAAGAGATAAATAACTATCAACGCCATTTTTGGACAGAACTAACATACAGGGTGGCTGAAAAGTAAAAACTTGCACCCCCTTAACTTTTTACTTGAAATAGGATATTGCAGCAACCTTCTTAGATATGAAGGGCTACAATAATGATGGTTAGTTTTAAAGATTTTAGATAATTTTAGGGGTAGGGGGTAGCCCAACATTTTCAAACGGAAAGTACAGTCAACTTTCATACCATTTTACAGTTATTAATTAAACAAAACAATCAACATAATAGCAGGGGTGGCTCCAGGAATATATTTTTTTTTGGGTAGGCCTGACAAAGGATCAAGAAGGAGTTTGATCAGGGTACAGGTTTGAGGGGCTTCCCTGCAAAAAGGGGGGAAATTCAAAATTAAAATGCAAAATAATTAGTTTGAATGCTTTCCCTTTGTTTACATATAATTAAATTTATTTATAATTTTGAATTATCCGCCAAATTTTTGGGTAGGCCCGGGCCTACCTTCTGGAGCCGCCCCTGCATAATAGTCCTGGAGCAAACTGCACATATCCAACTTCTGTGGGATTTTTTGTGAAGGGAAGGTGTGATTATGTGAAATCTCTTTATTATATGTCACATAATGGTGTAGTACCGGCTGTTTACCTTCAAATTGCACTGTTTGATTTTTAATGAAGTCGTAAATCCAAGATGGCCGCCATTTGTGACATCTAATCATTAAATTAATAATAACACTTTCCAGACTAAAATAATCAAATTTTAATTTAGACCATTTAATTTTCTCGGAAAAAAAATTTGGTATTTTGAATCATTGCTCTATGTCCATTGGTTACCGAAATATTGAAAGCGGTAAACACAGAACATTGTACCCAAGTTATTCTTATGGGGAAAAAATAAAATTTTTATCTCGCTTATTTCTCAACATAATACAAATTTGTATGTAGCTTCATTTAGTAGAGATCGCTTGATTATGGCCTAAAATCTCCCATTTTGACATTTACCTATACTTGGCAGCAAACCTGCATACTCACTTCCCATGTTATTCTTACGGACAATATGTTTGCATGCTTGTATATGAGCAGACGTTGAGAAATGTTAATGCATGGCTCCGTTTTAATTATTTATAAAGCATTTAAAATCACTGAGAATGCAGGTCTGCTGCAATGGGGGTATTAAAGTTATAATAAATTTATAGGTGGAAAATAAAATGAAACAGGCTAGGCGTTTTTTTGTAAAATTAGTAAGGGTTTTTAAAATTGATATTCTGAAAAAAGTACTTGATAGGTTTTGATATTTTTTGTATGTTTTTTTTTATAAAATAGCCTTAACTTCATTTATTTTGCTAGATTCATTATATCTCCAATAGCTTTTGTGTGGTTACATATTTAACCTTTTTATAAAATAAAATATAATATAGAATTATTTTTCAGTCACTAATAAACTTAAAGACCTAAATCTAACTTAATATTTACATAATGTTGTCTAGAATAAGTAATGGAAATTTCAATAATGTAGCTCAATTTATTCTCATATAAAATTTTACCTTTAAAAAAATTAAACTCCGAAGTTGCGGAAAACAGCGTTTGAATGAGAGCGTTTACTATGTAACCATAGAAATAAAGGAAATAAACCGATGAATATAGCCAAAAACTTTGTTATTGTTATATTAGCTTATTTACACAACAAATTAGTAACTATTCATCAGGCCTAGAAGTTTTTAAAACGGAATAGTTGTTAAAATTTTCTCCTTGATAATCTTTCTTAGTGAACATCCACCACCTCAGATCTCCAATGTTTGATACGCTAGTGCCCGGGTAATAGACTTGACATATACATTTTTCTATTAAAAGTCTATCAGTTTCAAGAATGTCCATCTTCTGCTTTGTTGAAGACTTTCCAAAAAGAGGTTTTTGCTTTCTTTGCCTATTGTCACTTCTGGATAATGCAAGCAAACCAGGTAAAGCTGAAATTTTCTTTGGGCCCAAGAAATCTGTGGCTTTGCTTATTTTGATTATTCTGCAATTTTGACCAACTCCAGTTATAAGCATAAACATAGTGTCTGGTGGAAAGAGCTTTGATCACCACCGAGCTAGGACGAAAACCTCTGTACCGGGTGAGTAGATTAAATAAAGAAATATATGAAGCTGTCTGGCATCACGATGGCAAGCAAATATGGATGCAAAATTATTTTTGTATGTGCCTCTTCGTGATTGCTTTTGAGTTCATCAGTTAAGTATTCATTCCATGTATTGGCAAGTAACTTTAAAGGTGGGGTTGTGCTCTCCTTTAGCGATTTCAACATTTATCAATGTATGTTGTTCATAAACAAGCTTTCACAAATATTGTACACTAGCAGAGTAGGTACCCGTCCTTCATACGGGGTTGGCATATAAGTATAAAATTCTTATTGCATTTATACTCAAGCTTTGCGTTTTCGGATCAATGGAGGAGGACACAGTTTGATAAAATTGTTGTGAGACAGTTTATTTCATAACACCTGTTAATTTCTATTAATTATTATCATATGTTTATTTGTTATTCTATCTAATATATAAAATTCTCGTGTCACAGTGTTTGTCTGCAAACTCCTCCGGAACGACTTCACCGATCGTTATGCAATTTGGTGTGTAAATTCTGTAGGTATGCGAATCGGACGTAAACTATTTCCCGTTTCGAAATTCTTAAAAGGGCTCCGCCCCAGTGGCTCTGGAGTTTCCCATGTTAACCTTATGAGAAATGGAATTAATGAATCTTAACAGCTGTTTCAATTAAACAAGTTGGTTCTGTTCTATGATGTTCAATAGCATTAAAGTTACAAGGATTACCAACAGGGTGCAGCACTATTATTTCTTTTACATTTATGACAACAGCTAATTTGCAACCAAAAGGTGAGTGAGCGTAGCGAACGAACTTCAACCTGGAGGCGAGTTAGCGTAGCGAACGAGCTAACCTGAAGGCAAGTGAGCGCAGCGAACGAGCTCCAACCTAAAGGTGAGTGAGCGTAGCGAACGAGCTCCAACCCAAAGGTGAGTGAGCGTAGCGAACGAACTTCAACCAGGACGTGATTGAGCGATGCGAAGTAGCGAACGAGCTAACCTGAAGGCAAGTGAGCGCAGCGAACGAGCTCCAACCTAAAGGTGAGTGAGCGTAGCGAACGAGCTCCAACCCAAAGGTGAGTGAGCGTAGCGAACGAACTTCAACCAGGACGTGATTGAGCGATGCGAAGTAGCGAACGAGCTAACCTGAAGGCAAGTGAGCGCAGCGAACGAGCTCCAACCTAAAGGTGAGTGAGCGTAGCGAACGAGCTCCAACCCAAAGGTGAGTGAGCGTAGCGAACGAACTTCAACCAGGACGTGATTGAGCGATGCGAAGTAGCGAACGAGCTCCAACCCAAAGGTGAGTGAGCGTAGCGAACGAACTTCAACCAGGACGTGATTGAGCGATGCGAACGAGATCATCTTGAAAATTAAACGTAACGGTACTTTCTTCCCATCGGTCTGTCTTAGGGGAAACCTATAACTTAGGCGATACGAAGTTCGCCGGGTCAGCTAGTGTTTATATAA